GGAATGCAATCATTAATTTCTCTTTCTGTAGACCTTGTCATGTGCTAACATCTTGTACATGCAAAACAGCATTTGGCTTAGCCTTACTTCACATCATTTCCCTCTGAGCGACATCTGACTTGGAAGCTGCCATAGGTCCATCTATCTAGTTTAGAATTGCCTGCACTGGTTGGCAGCAGCTCTTCAATGTTTGAGGCAGGAGTCTCCCCAGCACTGACTGGAGATGCCTGGGATTGAATTTGGGGTCTTCAGTGTGTAAAGCATGTGATGTGCCATTGAGCTATGGCCTCTTCCTGTTAGAAGAAGCAGTCTCTAGTTTTGGATTAAAAAATGGTCAAGTGATGCTAATAGGACAGTTACATATGACCCAGCTGTTCCGATTTTCCAGAAGTGGCCCCTGTTTCCCTGCTGTCTTGATTCTGGTGTCTCTTTTGTCTCTGTTTTGCCTTTCCAGGGATGTTTTTTGGGGTCCCTGTTAAAACTTTTGTTAGAATGCACACTGGCACATCAGCTTGTGGTCGTTTTGCTTCGATCTCCCCATAACTAGCAATTGAGGTAGTAAATGTGTTGGGTGTCGCTGCCATTCTGCAATCAATACAACCGGATCTGCTTTGTGATTAAATAGGCAATTGAAAATTCCTAGGTGGTTGGGTTTTTTAAATAAAAGGAAACTGTTATGCTTCAGAATCCAGCAAAAGATGGGTTATTTCAGAATCAATAAATACAGGGAAGAACATTCAGCAATTCATAGCTAGGTGTGCGGAGTTAAGTGGTGGTTTGGACACAGGGATGTTACAGGCATACATGGCTAACCTTTTTTCGTCTGTGAAATGTGGTGGTGAACATGTAATCACGAGCCATATGATCCTCTTCTTAGGTAGACTGATGGTAACCTGTTATCCCAAATCTCTGGGTGGATTGTGCAGTGAGTGGCATGTGATTAAGTCAACCATGTGGTTTCCATATGCTCACTTTCACATCTGAGCTGTTTCAGTGCACGGCCAAAGTCATTATTCCTGGTCTGTTTCCTCTAAAGAGTCAGCAGAAAACTGTAAAGCAAAGCCCTATGTGGGTGTCCTCCCTCATATGACTAACAGGATTGTAAATCACAAGGTTGTAAATCACAGAGAGCCTGTGTGCCGTACAGCAGGTGTGTCCTTCCAGTGTGAGTAGCAGGGACATGATGTTTCTGCACACATCAGGGCCGGCGGGTGCTGCCTCCGCTCTCGCCCCCTCTGCTTACATGTTTGTTAATTGTGAGAGGGAGAATGCCCAAATAGGGATAATATGGGAACTGACTGTCGGACTGGGAAGAGGTGGCGAAAGAAGGCAATGTGAATATTGGGTGGAAGCCTGAGGAAATGAATGCTTGATTGGCAAACTACATTATATGGAAATATGAGCAACAAAGCCCTGATATTTAAAAGAATGAAAAGCAGATTGGGGAGTTTGAGATTCTGAAAGAGAAAGTGCACTTAACCCTTTCCCCCTTTCAGTCATTTTCCTGCCCAAAATCATTTCCCCAAAGTTGTTTTCACTTGTTTCACTTTTTAATATATATTTTAAAACACACATTATTTGCTCTTTAATAGTGTGAGACATACAGTTAATAACTGTATGTCTGTAGGGCTCTATGCACATCTGTAGCTGAACATGTGGAGGCTATGGGTGGATGAAATTCGGGGCATCACCCTGATCCCCTCCCTGCTCCACATGTTAGCTGCATGCATGATTTTCACATGAAGAGGGCTTGGATGTTGGGGGGGGGGGAATAAATATCCCTGACAGCTAGTTTTCTAGGCAGGGGGCTTGTTTGTCCGTCTTGAGGAAGCCAGAACTCAGACACAACCAGGGTGGAAGGAGGGTTGGTCAGTCAACTGGATGCTGGAGAAAACTGGGATTAGCAAACCAGACAGTCCAGTCCAGTACTTACAAAGGCAAGGGTAGCAAGCAGGCAGGCATGTCCAGGGCCTGGAAAATAAGGATGATCAGACATAACACTTGCAGGATCACGCACAGATAACGGGAAGTGAGTTGTTCCAATTGAGGCCTTTCATCTCTCTTGCCCCAGGCTGCCATGCCAGGGATGACACCCTTGCTGAGAAATGGAGTTCCTTGAAAACATAGTCAGACCATGGGTAGGCAAACTAAGGCCCGGGGGCCAGATCCAGCCCAATAACCTTCTAAATCTAGCACACGGATGGTCCAGGAACCAGTGTGTTTTTACATAAGTAGAATGTGTCCTTTTATTTAAAATGCATCTCTGGGTTATTTGTGGGGCATAGGAATTTGTTCATTATTATTTTTCAAAATATAGTCCGGCCCCCCACAAGGGGACTGGCCCCCTGCTGAAAAAGTTTGCTGACCCCTGCTCTAGATTCTCTCGCCTCTTTGCTGCTTCCCACCTGGTGGCTCTTTGCACTAATGTATGGCTATTGCAGATAGGATAACCAGATGTAAAAGATGGCAGGGCTCCTGCAATTTTAACAGAATTTTTAATGCAACAATTAGAGGTGCAGGAGCCCTGTCATTTTTATTTTTATTTTTTGCATCTGATCCCCCAGGTCTGACTTAAGATCCCACCAGCTCATCCAGCTCCTTCACGTCCATCATGCTGGTTGAATCCTGGCTGCTGCTTTGATGCTGGGCTTGTGGCAGAAGCTCATTTGGTCTTGCGACCTCCGACCAGCAGTCTAAAGTGGCAGAGACCAGACGCTTTACGCCCTCCATGAGAGCTAGGCCGTAAAGATGGTCGCAAGTGTAGCTGCTGCAGATTCATCTCTTGCATCGTACGCAGCTGACGAAAGACATTTCAATTCTTATATGGCAAACCAAACTATGTTAGGCCACATTTTGAAAATGCCTCTTTAGCTTCTTCAGCTTTTTGACATAGTACTGCTATATGCGTTCTGTGACATGGGATATCCTCTTTCATTGCCGGCTAAAGAGGATGACATGGTGGCGCAGATGTTGGGACCCTGAGGCCAATGGGAGGCGCACTGAGTGGGCTGAAGGCTTGGCAGCAGAGGGTTGGTGGCACAGGCCTGAAGAATACTTACGTACCCCTTCTTTGGTGAGCAATGAGAAATTCCAGGTCTGCAGTACTTACTTACTTTCAAATAGACAGGTTGACTATAGGTATATGGCCCTTGTGGTCTCTTCCAACTCTATGATTCTATGATTCTATGTGGCCTATATGGCCCTTGTGGTCTCTTCCAACTCTATGATTCTATGATAGGTAGAGGAAAGCGTACACACCTCTGTAGACAAACAACTGGACATTGCACCCATATAAGATTCCAGCCAGACCCTTACAGATCCCTGCTCAGCTCCCTGTCTCTTTGTTTCTGACTCATACCACACACACAGCCTGTCCTTTGCACACAGACACCTGGACTGCATCAACCTTTCCTGGAAAGTGGAAATGTCTGTTCATTTTGAATATTCAAAACATTCCCTAAAAGATCCTGTATCAAGAGGCAGTTGACTAACTGTTTGGATCCAGTGGTGATGTATCACCTGTAGTTTACCTAACCAAAGGATGCAATCAGCCAAATGTGGCCCTTTGTCCACATCCCTAGGCTCGCAGAAATATTTTAATGTGCTCCCCGTGTTAAGCACACCTGATCCCGCCTGCATGTGTTGCTGCTTTTTGCCACTCTCTTAAAAGGGTGATAGTGAATAAGGTATATAACTTCCAGCTTGACATTTGATGTCCCCTTCCTAAGAAGAAGAAGAAGAAGAAGAAGAAGAAAACACCCATGAGTTGCCATCAGTGGAGTAAAATGGACACCTGGAAAATTACCACGAATAAAATGGACACCTGGAAAATTACCACGATGCAGTTACATCTCTGAAACTGTATGGTTGAAAGGAATTTAACTTCTGTGGACCTGCCACAGAAAGAACTGAGTTTGTAGCGTGCTTTTGCAAGCCCTCAAAAACTGCATCAGACTGGTCACGTGTGCCCAGTAGGTTGCTTTGAAAATCACGGATTTCAATGGGTCGATTCTGAGCACGACTCAGGGTGCAACCCTAACTCCTACCTGCCACCAACAGGGGGTGGTGGGGCAGTTGGACCACTGCCACATCTGTAGCCCTTTTGCTCACAGTGGCTGCAATAGAAGGTGCAGGACGATCAGGCCTGATCTGTACCCAGTCAGTTAGATTGGGCCGGATGCCATTGTATGGCAGCTGTGAAACTGGGATCCTGCAAATCCTGGGCCACCTCAGGCCCACCCTGTCCTCCCTCAAATCACCCCATTGCAGGACTTCTTTCTGCTAACACCTATTCCTTTATTCAGGGAGAGTCAGGAGGCTGGAAGGGCTTGGCAGAGAGATACCACCACCTACAGTGGTACCTCGGGTTACATATGCTTCAGGTTACAGACGCTTCAGGTTACAGACTCCGCTAACCCAGAAATAGTACCTCGGGTTAAGAACTTTGCTTCAGGATGAGAACAGAAATCGTGCTCCGGCGGCACGGTGGCAGTGGGAGGCCCCATTAGCTAAAGTGGTGCTTCAGGTTAAGAACAGTTTCAGGTTAAGAACGGACCTCTGGAACTAATTAAGTACCATATTTTTTGCTCTATAAGACTCACTTTTTCTCTCCTAAAAAGTAAGGGGAAATGTGTGTGTGTGTGTTATGGAGTGAATGCAGGCTGCGCAGCTATCCCAGAAGCCAGAACAGCAAGAGGGATCGCTGCTTTCGCTGCGCAGCGATCCCTCTTGTTGTTCTGGCTTCTGAGATTCAGAATTTCCCCCCCTTGTTTTCCTCCTCCAAAAACTAGCTGCGTCTTATGATCCGGTGCATCTTATAGAGCGAAAAATACGGTACTTAACCTGAGGTACCACTGTATTTCAACACACACAGCATCCCAGGCTAAGGGAAGGGGGGTTGTACTGTGCTGCCCGCCAGATACTACAACACACACTGTGTGTTACAGAATTGCTGACCTTCCCAGGTGCCCCCCCTTTTTTTGCCGCTGTAAGCATCTATACAAGAGCAACGGTATCATTTATTCATTGAGAGAGAATCTAGTGAACTTTGAAATAATTGTAGGAGAATGCAGCAGCCTACTGAAATAGCATTTCAAAAAGACTCTAATCTGTGGAGTGATAACCTCCCCACGAAGGATCAGCAGCAGCAGGTACAGTGAGGATTATCAGAATTTCAGTGCTTCAGCTCCCTCGACATTAGAAAGAGAGAGGGGGGAAATCCATGAAAACATCTGTGATAAGCAGATTATTCGGACCTGTGTCATATATAACCAACATGGTTTTCGAGTATGTTAACTCCTTCAAGAGAGGTAAATGCTCCCAGGTGGTTGAAAGAGTGTCCATTCTGCCATCTGCGTCTCCTTTAGAAATGCATTTCTGCTGTTTTCTGTGGTTGCTGAGTGCTTTTTCTGTTTGCTGTTGTTATTGGACGTTGGCTTGCTTTTGCCGTTGGCTTGCTTTTACATTTAAATTAGACCTGTAATGTGAACATGGTTTGTTGTATTTATTTTTGGAACATTTTACTGTTGAGACCCGGGTGATTTTTATAGAGGAAGTTCACACAGCAATTAATAGAGGGGAAGCTTTGAGCAAATGCATATTTCTTCTCGCTATGCACAAAGAACTCGGAAAATCTAGTGACGTGCCCCATGTGGCTATTATTTCAAGCACTCTGCTTGGAAGCTGCTGGCATGGGGAGCATTTGTTTAAAGAGAGAGGCTCTGATGCAACCACCAGCGGTTATTATACCCGGGTGATACTCTTCTTGCATTACTTTTCCAGGTCAACGCTCTCCAGAAGTCATCTTCTTTCTTTCTCTCCACTGTTCTACAGTAACTTGGAGCAGGGCTTTCAGAGTGGCTGGCCCCATTTTGCGAAACAGCGTCCCTGTTGAGATACGACAGACACTCACTATTTGTCCTTTCTGAGAATGACTGAAGGCCTTTTTGTTTGGACACACTTTCCAAGCTGGATGAAATGGCCTTGGGTGTTATTTTTGTAAAGACCTATCTTTAGTTGTTGCATCTGCACTGTTTTAAAAACTATATTATCTGTTTTGATAGTGTGTTTGTAAATGGCCTTGAGACACGTGTAAAAGGTGTCTCATCCTCACCAGTAATGAAGGAGAAGACAGGCCTGTGTTTCTGCTCTAAATATGGGATACATTCTGCTTCCACCTGCATGTGCTTTGCAAGAACTGATAGTGGGTGTTAGCATCTAATTTACCAGCCCCTTTGCTGTGCATTGGGGGTGGGGAGTTCAGTAAAGATTTTGAAGAGGGCTGCCCAACTAAGAGCACTCCAAGGACCACTATCTGCGAAAAATGGGCTTCTTTCTTATACACACTCTCTTAAATACCCAGCCTACATTACTGTCATAATCTCTATGTGGTGATGCCTTAAAAGACAGTCTGCAAACTTGAGCTGATGCAAAATACAAGCCTGTTTGATTATATCACCCCAATTTTGCATCAGCTGCATTGGTCGCCCATTCATTTCTGGGCTTAGTTTAAAGTACTAGTAACTAACCTTTAAAACCCTGAATGTTTGGGAACCACGTTATTTGAACGTTTCCCTACACCCATATGAATCTGCCCAGGTCCTCAGATTGGTCTTAAGAGTGCCCTGCTGTCTGTTGTGCGCCTCTGATAAAGTGATCATCTTAGCAGTTACCAGGAACAGGGCCTTTTTCAGTGGTGGCCCCCACACTTGTGGAATTCCATCCCTTCAGAATTCTGCTTAGCTCCCTCTTTTTCAGGCTTTAAGTGGACCTGAAAGAATGGTTGATCCTGCTAAGCACATATATATATGATAAAGTTTTTTCTAGTATGTTCGTCCGTTGTCTTCTAACATTTTTTTGTGAGCTGCCTGAACAGTTGGGTAGAAATAAATTAAATAAATAAATAAACAGTATGCAAAACACTTTGAGTTCCTTGGAGAACTAATAGGATATAAATACACCTTGTATGTCTTGATAGACATATACCTTATAAAGCTACCCTGGTATGTATGCACATCTACCTGCAATCTCACTTCTCTGATGCCTGATGCACTTGCTCAAAGAGGGTGTTCCCACAATGGTCCTCTATGAAGTTGCCACCCACCATGACATGAGATGAGTAGAACTACGTTATATATGTTGGGAGTCAGGGTGGGGAGCCTGTAACTCTCCACCTGCTGCTGGATTACACCTCCCATCAACTCAACTAAGCCAACAGGGCCATTGGTCAAGGATGATGTGAGCAGTGGCAGAGGAACCCTCTCCTGTACCCGGGGCGGCGCAGCCCATACAGACTGTGCATGTGCGGCATCCAGCGCATGCGCACTCCATACGGAATGCCGCACATGCGCAATCCATACCGCACATATTTATGTGGCGGTGTGAGCGGGGGCGGGGTGCACCTGCACATTATAATACTGCATTGCTATTAGGGAGTACTTTTTATTCTAGTTGCCTTATTTCTTACAAGATGTTACTCGATACAGCGAAGCACTCAGCAATGGAGCCATTTGGAGCAGAGGCATCTGAGCCAAGGTCCTGCTCTTGCTCGCCTTATCATTTATTGATCACGGGGGTTGTTTTTAATACAGAGCATTTCTCGATCTCTTTCAAGAAGCTCAAGAGCAGCTTGTATGGGGCTTCCAGGAAGTCTCCTACCCTGGTGGCAGGTGCCAATATGAGATATGCTTATGCAATAACAACGTGCCCTTGGAAACTCTCACTCTCATCTTCTTCTGGCTTATACTAACTCGAACAAACAGTATGCTACAGAGGCATCCTCCACTGGTGCTGTCCTGACCCCAGTGCATACTGCAGTGACATAACCAGGGATGCACCAGAGAACCACATGCTCTTTCCTTTCACATATTTTCTCTCTCTCTCTCTCTGCAGCATGCTGAGAAATGAGAACACTTTTCTAGTGCACAAAGAGGAAACTGCAACAAGAAGCCCACAGGAAGCAGTGATTGCCACCAACTTAGAAGGCTTCAAAGGAGGATTAAACAAATCCATGGATGAGAGAGCTATCAGTGGCTACTAGCTATGATGGCTATGCTCTACCTTTCCGGCTGCCTTTCCAGTAATGCTAAGAAAATTCAGTTGCTGGAAACCACAGGAGGGGAGAGGGCTCTTGAGCTCAGATTCTTCTTGTGGGTTTTCCCAGGCATCTGGCTGGCCACTGTGAGAACAAGCTGAACTACATGGGCCACCATCCTTGGCTGGCGATGATGGAAGAGATGGTCCTCACCACCAAACTCCACTCCTTCCATAGGACTGTTCTCAGCTGAAAAGCAGGAGAAGCAGAGCAGCAGAGGAGATGGTGCTTATGAAGAGGCTGGCAGCATACATGTAAAGTGAGAAGGAGGAACAGTTGCGTGCGCAAACACACACACACTCTCCAGATGAGACACACCCCCTCCCTAATTCTTAGCTTTTATTTGGAGGAAAAACCCCAACCCAAGTCTCTAGCCCTTGTAGAATGCAAGTTATGAGACACACATTGTGCAGGTACTATTCACCAAATTTGTTTTGGGAAAAACTAGGCTATACCTGCCTGTCTGCATTTTTAGTCAATGAGTGAAGTCTGAGGAATGGCTGACATTTAGGAAAGCAGCTAATTAGACAAAGAAAAGGCTAGAGTGGAACACCCAGACTCTAGAGAAGGAACTTCCTGGTTTGTTTTTAAGATTTTTGTGCTGGTGGAGAAGTGATTGCCACCCCACGGAAAACAACTGAGGGTTTCAGTTGTGATTGGAAAGATGTCTAGATGCCAGAGCTATGCATAGATGAGCAGCAGGTCTACCTACTAAGAAACTATGTAAGGGTAGATCTGGAATACAAGTTTCTCAAAGGCCATGTTTAGCCAGGCCTTGGCACTGCCCATTCACCAGATACACTGCTCTCTGGTGCTTATTATTAATGTCTGGATGTCTGGATATTTATCTATTTGCAATATATCCCCCACACATGGGGGGGGGGGGGAATCCTGTGGGTGCTCATAGCTGGCAGTCCAGATTGGTGAGGCCTGGCAGGCCAGCTTTGACCAGCAGTCAGGAATTCCCCACCCTTGTCTTGCCCAACAGATCCATAGAGTACTGCAGGCTTAGGAACTCTGGGGGGAAACAGCAATGCTAGAGTTATTGAAACCACCAGTTGATCTACTCTGAGTAGGGCTAACATAAAATACCTCTCAAAGATGTTGATAATAGACAATTGCATAATACTGCACATTTCTAAAATGTTTGAAATAACAGATGATAAACAAACGTGTTTTGTATTCCCCGGCACAGCTGATTTTCTGACTCATTTGAGGTCCAAGAATCTCCAAGTGAGAAACAGGCTAGTAGCAAATAGGTGTAAAATTCTGTAAATGTGAATCATGTGCTAGGATCAGGGTTACGACCCAAAACGGGGGGGGGGGGGTGTCCTGAAGCTGGCATAGGAGTAACCACATGACGCAGACAATCCACATGATTAGTGCTTTCACATTTTATCAGTGATGTAGGAGCCTGGCCATGGGAAGGCATCTTCTTGTTAGCTACTGCATCACAAAATAAATTAACTGGGCCCCAGTGGCATGACGGCATTCTTAATCACATCAGGCTGGAATCTAGACATCTTGGCTTAGCTGTACATCAGCACATAGCCAACATGCAATTGTCTCATGATTTGGTGCAGCTTATGAAGGTTGGCTGAGCGCTGGCATTCGGCCAGTATTTAACAATTCCTTCCAGCATTTTTAAGCGGGCGCAGACAGAGCCCAAGAGCACTAATCCATGTTGTTCACAGCAAGAGCTGTTGTAGAGGAGTCAAAGCTGTCACCACCCTCAAGGCTCCTTCCTACAGAATCCCCACCACCACAGAACTTGTATTGTTCTTTGCTCTCTTAATTACAGCCCTGTTGCCAAACTTACCGTTACCTTTAGTGACAGTTCTGTACTTCTCCTTTTGTGCTTAAAAGGAAGAAGAATAAGTCCTAACTCTCTTCTGCCAGCAGGATTGTTTTGGCATTTCCTTGCAACAAAATTTGTTTAAAGTGCATTTAAAAGGAACAGAACAGACAACTTACTACTAGACCCTGGACCCGATGGGGCAGTTGGAAACAAGCAATGTGAACTACAGAAAAGAAATGATCTAGACAAAACCTACTTCAAACTCCATCTCATTATAGTCTTTATATGTTGACCCAATTTTTTTGAACATTTCAGGTCAGAAAGACTGGGCATCCCAGGGTAGGCGATTCAGCCATGCCATTAAGCACAGCAAACTCTCATGGCAACCTCTCTTGGCAACCTCTGACAGACTGCAATAAGCAGATGGCATAAATTATCCTTGAGTGCCAGTCTCCTCCTTCATCTCTCTCATTTTTACATTACCATTTTTAGAAAGCTTCAAAAATTTATTTTCCAATGAAGTTCAAAGTTCCAAACTGAACAAAGGGGAGATACTAATAGTTTCAGCTGATTGTTTTTGATGCAAAGTTGTTTTAACTCTTGTGTAGAAATGTTTTAACTCGTGTGTAGAAGCTGGATCAGGAAATTGGCACCTTTTATACTCTATGGGAAATGTGGCTTCATGGGCCAAATCATACCTCCTGGTGGGCCAGGATTTGTTTGCAAGCCAGAAGTTCTCCACCCCTGTTTTATAGAGAAGCGACCAGAAAAATCTGCTCTAAAGGGCATCACTCAGCCAAAACAATAATTTGACAATATTTAGCTCAGCAACTTAGGCTATTATTACATTTCATTTTGGAAAGTTTTCAGATGAAGAATCACCATAGCAGCTGAAACCAACTTTAATGCAATTGTGGGTAAATTGGGAATACAAATCCAAGTTTGTGCACAGCAAACCCTGGCAATTTAAATTTCATTTCTCTCTTTACAACAGCACAGTTCAGGTCTAAATCTGGCTTCACAATTCATGGGAATGTCAAGCAAGTTCCACTGCCTTTGTTGGATTATTAATAAGTTCCTTATATTCTTCAAGATTTCTGCCTTTTATATTTTTAGTAAGTTAATCTAGAAATCATTCTTTTTAGGAGCTTTCATCTATAGGGGTAAAAAGCAGCCAGAAGGATGAAATCTCTGGTAATGAACTATCTGAATTCTTTTTTTAAAAAATACATTTATTAATAGAAGAAATATCTGAATTCTTCTGAGTTACTTATTTTTCTGCTTGCGCTTGCTACAACACAAATTTGTGGAGCTGAATGACAAAGCTGAAACAGCGGGTGAAAAAAACATATAGCTTATAGATTTGTGTGTGTCTGAAATTAGCAGTTTGTTGTTAACAATTGTTAAAAGTTGAGACAATAAGCAGAGCCCATTCTAACTTCAGTGGTTATAAAACCAGCACAAGCCCTTAACAGTGCCAGGATTTCCATGTTTGGTACCATTAGACCAGGAGTCAGCAACCTTTTTCAGCTGTGGGCCGGTCCACCGTCCCTCAGACCATTTGGTGGGCTGCACTATTTTTTGGGGGGGGGGGGGAAATGAACAAATTCCTATGCCCCACAAATAACCCAGAGATGCATTTTAAATAAAAGCACATATTCTACTCATGTAAAAACACCAGGCAGGTCCCACAAATAACCCAGAGATGCATTTTAAATAAAGACACATTCTACTCATGTAAAAACACCAGGCAGGTCCCACAAATAACCCAGAGATGCATTTTAAATAAAGACACATTCTACTCATGTAAAAACATGCTGATTCCTGGACCGTCCGCGGGCCAGATTGAGAAGGCGATTGGGCTGCATCTGGCCCCTGGGCCTTAGGTTGCCTACCCCTGCATTAGACCAACAGTTCCTCTACATTAGTTCTAGTTTTTGCTTTCATAGCAAGCAGTTCATACTAGTCTTACTACTAGCTAGTAAAAGGTAACAGAAAGGCAATGGTCCAGTGACAAAGTGAATCTTTTGCACACAATTCGTTTCAGGTTGAGTCCCCATGCTAGTGTTGGGAGCAGTACCATCTGAAATTCTGGAGAGCAACTGCCAGTCAGAGTAGACAATACTGACCTTGATGGACCAGTAGTCTGACTCAGTATGAGGCCTGTTCCTTCAATGGAGTGTTCTCCCTTGGAGGAAAAATATTTCATCAACCTTGGTCCTTGCTGGTGATCTGTTTCTGTACTTCATCATGCCCAAGAAAAAACTTAGAGGAACAAACTTTCAAGCTACATTTTGAAGCATGATACAGTTATTTGTGAAGCAAAAGGTGTGGCATGAAAACTAAGGAAAATTGTGTTTTGGCATGTATGGTTGTGAATTTTTCTCTGTTTTTTTGTTTTATCTCTTTGTAAACCACTCTGAGGTTTTTTACAATCAAGCAGTGTATAAATGTTATGAAATAAATTAAATGTAATAAAAATCCAATTAGCAGGTCAACAAGTACATAACAATATTGCTTTATTCAAGTATCAATTTTTCTTCTGTACTTTTACTTATCGGTGAACATGAGGTCCAAAAGTAATTTAACTACTTTGAATTACTGTTGTAATCCTTAAAAAGTCGGTATGATACAAGAAAAATATAAATCTGACTGCACAGTTATACATACGGCATGGCTATACAGCCTGTGTTTTCATTACACAGTTGCATCCCCAACTATTGTTTAAGGCTGCATTCCATATATGCAAACTTACTTCTGGTGTATTGATTGATAAGGAACAACTGAAGGCCTGTGGAGGGTCATACAGTTTTCAGTATGAACATATGGTTAATGCCACATGTAACAAAGGAAAGTAAATTTAATTCAAAGGGTAGTTCTAAGAAATATGACTAATTCAATGATACAGTGATTACATTATTTCCTGTTGCTCTCAACCAGTTATTATTAAAGTTATGCATTATCAGTCACATATCACTCTATATGTTACTTAGAAATGCATAGGCATACAGTATAAATGTAGCTTTTCCTATAGGAGTAAATTATGGAAAGGCAGTTGTCAAAGAACAAAAGCATTAAGATTTGAACATGTATTAAACAGGGTCACTGTATGGTGTCATTGTGCGCATGCAGGAAATACAAAAAGCAATGAACACAGGCTGGTTTACCAAGTTTACCAAGAGTCCAGCTTCACTGGGGAAGCTTCACACACCTTACAAGGATGTGTGCAAAGAGTCAGTTAGGATTAGCTGTTCATAAATAATATAGTTGGGTATGTGTGTAATTTTAATATTTAGTCTTCTCTACGGGAAGTTGACTTTAATTTATAATGGAAATTCTCCATCATGCATTTACTGAGGAAACACAATGTGTGTGAACTAAAATCAACAAGTGGAACAACTTTACAAAATATTTTTGAGACACTTTCAGTGTGGGTGTGAAGTAGTATGGCCTGTTTGGAAGTATAAAAGAAAATTATTCTGAGATTTACTCATAAATTATGAGTGTGGAGACCAATAATAAATACACTTACTCCTGGTTTAAAAACTAATTAAAGTGCACTTCTGAGAAAATGTGGGTGTGAGGAGGTGGTTTATGGATGATGGAACTACTGGGTTTTCTGTTGTCTCACCCACATCGACACTCAGCCTTGCAGAGAGGAGAGTAATTGTAGTTGCGTGAGTGAGAAAGAAAAGAGACATATACAGTATTTCAAACTATATGTCTTTGCTGAAAGGTTGGACACAACAACACATGCATACCAGCATTTCCAGTTTCCCCATAGCAACCATGGAGCACCATTCAAGAAAACTGAAGGGCATTTTCCAAAAGTTGTAAGGTCCAGTAAAATCCATCCAGTAGAATCCAGTGACTAGTACTTGCTGGGAAAAACAGGTAGAAGTTGACTTGCTTGAATGTTCTTCTTTAAAACAAAACTCCCTTGTGTGGAGAATGCCTCAGTTCAGCTTTCTCCCTGGCATGTTATCTTTTTCTTTGTGGAGCTGTATTGAAACATAGGAACACCTATCTGCGTCCTGGAACACACTATAATCTGGGTATAAACCAGTGGAGTAGGGAAGCGCCTACGGTATTTCTTTTTAGATGTTTAAAGACCAAAGTTTAAGCTTTGTGAAAATGTCCAATTCAACTTTTTTACTAGAAAATAGTTAACAAACCCTACAGTATAAAGTTTCTAAAAGAAACTACACATCATTCTTCAGTAAGATAAGTTTTCTTTTATTCTTCCAATTCAATGTATTATAGGGCATTTTATACTTTACTAGGTTGTTTTACATTGGATTAGATTGCTAAATCCTCCTTCCCCAGGAATACTATAAAAGTTGCATACCAAGCAAAAATCCAGCTTTTCCCTTGGATGCCTAAGCACACTTATTAGGGGAAGACATCTAACTCTGCATAAACATGTTTAGGAGAGCACTCCCCCCTCCCCATGTTTTTAAAAGTGCACTAATTTTCAGCTGACATAATGCCGGAGGCAATAAATAAAGCCTAAATAAAGAACAGGTATTACTATGTAAATAACTAAAAATAATTGGGGGGCACCTACCGTCAAGGCTAAAAGACTGTGACAGGAGTGGGTTCCAGTGCCAAAAAAAGGGGGTGGGTGGGCCACACGTCGCAATAAACCCTCTTGTAGAGCAATCCTACTCAGAAGTAAACCCCACTGAATTCAATGGAGCTTACTCGCAGATACGTGGAGGAGCTTGCAGCCCTAGTCCTTGAGACTCCGGGTGTGCGAGCGTCAGGTGAGCTTAATCCCCTGGCAGAGGAGCGCGGCTGCTACCTCTCAGGTGTCGGCGAGGTAAAACCGGGAGCAGCTTCCGCCCTCCAAGGCGCGGGGATAAAAATGCCGCCTCCTCCTGCCCCTTTCTCCCCCCACATCCACGAGACTTCCCTCCTCCCCCGCGGGACGGACACCGGGTTCAACCGCTCGGCGGCCCCGCCTCGTCTGTGATCTCAGCAGGGGGAGAAAGAGAGGCGGAAAGAAGCCTCCTCCCGGCTGGGCAAAACCCAACCCGAGCCCTGCCTGGGGCCTGGTAGCTTCGCTTCGCCTTGCGCCTCCCCCGCCCGTCCGCCCGCCCGCCTCCCTCACACGCTCCGCTTTCTTTTTCCTCCTCACAGGCACTTCCTGCGCGGGGCCGGGCCGGGCCCAGTCGGGTGGAGACTGCTGCTGTTGCTGCCGCCTCAGCGGAGTTAAAAAGGTATTGGGGAAGGCAAGGGACAGGCGGGCGTCCGTTGACGTTCCGAGGGCCTCTGCCGTGAGGGCTCGAGGTGTCGGCAGTTGGTCGCGGGGGGGGGCGGAGGGGTCCCCGAAGAAGCCGCCCGTCAGGGAGACGGGCGGGCGGGAGTGGCTCCCCGAGCGAACTGGCGCCTCAAGGTGTGGGGGGGGGGAGGCTTCCACTGAGGGGTCCCTCCCAGGCCGCCGCTCACGGGCGCTCAGAGGGGATTAGTCGGCGGCGGCCGTTGCTGCTGCTGCTGCTGCTGCTCCTCGCATTGCTGGAGGGTGAAGTCATCGTGGCCATTGTCTCCCCTCAGCTCCCCGGCTGGGCCGCCAGAGGGGGGAGGCCAGCAACCAGCCGTGGGGCCCGCCTTGTTCTCCGAAGCCGCCGGGTAAATTCTCTTTCCCACCCCGCCCCCGGGGGGGGGGGCAATACTGGACAGACTTTGAAACCCTCATCCACTCCGCGGGGCAAAGTCCGAGGAGAAACTCGGGGTGGGGTGAGGGTGGTGGAAACTCCATATTCGATCGCTTCCACACCCCAATAAGTTTTTTTTCCTCTTTTTTCTGAGGGAAGGACTTTGGAAAAACGCCCTCTCCTTTCTCTCATACAGCTTCGGAGCGTCTCTATTTGCACTTCCTTCTTGTAAAACAAAGGTACATTCTCCGCCTTGGGGTGGGGTGGGGGATGGAATCTGAAAAAAATAGTATTTTTTATTAAAGACCCCTTTCAGAAGTTGTGACATGGAACCGTTTTCTGTCAGAAATGGGGCTTTCTGTAAAACCGAAAGCGTTAGAAAGACCCACTAACACACGCACAGCCGAAACTACGAGGAAGTTCACTCCCAGGGGAGGGGGAAATTTTCCACATCCACTCCAAATTGGGGCGAGACTAGCTAACTTTTGTCCTATAAAGGCTGCAGTGCTGCTGCTGCTGCTGCTGCTACTTCCCTTTCCCCTCGGATTACAATTTATTGGGAATGTGGATATTCCGTCGTCCTCCCCTACCCTGCCTTTTGGGGAGGTTGAATAAGCTGGGTAGCCTTAAATGTAATCTCTTTAAAGAAGCTTGTGTTCAAAGGGCAGTCTGATATATTTAAATACTTTATTGAACTGTACAGTATTTCTCAGTGGAGGAGTATTGAATTTAAAAAATGAAAAAGGCAACTACAATGCAACTCACCCTGTAGGTGGTCACTGGCATTTCACTACTTATGCCTGGAACTCCTGTGAGGCTGACTTGGGTGATACCAGTGTCTGAAGAGTTTTTAATGAATAACAGCACAGCTTAGTAGCTTGCAGAAGTGGGATCCTTTTTATACAAGTGGACATGGGAGCTTTAACATTAAGCCCTGAGAGCTACATAGGCATCAGAAGTACATCTAAAAAGCTTAGGTCTAATGAAAGGAGAGCTGTTGCTGATCAAATGAACTGCACCGAGAGTTCAATATGAAGTAATGTGGAATTTCCCCATAGTATTTCACCAGCAACCACAACTATACTGCCTGAGGGATCTTTTTGCTAGTTTCTTGGTTTGAAACCAAAACTTCAGACTGTGCTTTCAGTGCCCAGATTGGAATGCTGCTGATTGTAAAAATGTGGGGGAGGACTGACAATAGTATAACTTCTACCACAATCCACCTTTATTTCCACTTGGTGGACACAGAATTTGCTAATGTAAAACATTTTTGTAGGCACTGGTTGGTCACATCAGTGCAGTTAAAGTCACTGAGAGTTGCACAAAGGTCAGAGGGTGCTTGTGGAGGGGACTGTGGAATTGTAGGACTAAATGTGCTAATCATACATAGCCCCAGAACCTTATTGAAGTTCTGTTAGTCTCTCTTTAAAATAAAAACTGTTGTTTTTAAAAAGTGCAAGTAGAAGGACTGGTATTTGAGTTCTTACTTTTACCCGCTATAAAGTATTTAGTGTTCATGATAAGCAGATTCTGACTAAACAGATTAACTGTCTTAATTAACATGTTAAAGATGGAATAGTGAATGAGAACACTTCATTCAGTCACTATTTCAGTGAATTTGTCCAAACTAACAGGCTTAGTTTAGAAGTCCAGCTTTAGTCTTATGAATTTGAAATTGATTAAAATGAATGATCATAGGCACTGGCATTTGAAGGGGAAGGGATATAGCTCAGTAGTAGAGCACCTGATTTGCATATAGAAGGCCCCAGGTTCAATTCCTGCATCTCCAGGTAGGGTTAGGGGAGACCTCTGCCTAAAATGCAGAAGAGCTGCAGCCAGTCAGTGTGGATAATAGAGCTAGATATACCAAATTTTGACATAATAAAAGGCGGCTCAGTATTGTCTACACCCTGAGGTTTTAGGCAGCAGTTTTAATAGCTCTGCCTGGAGATGCTAGTGATTGAACCTGGGGCCTGCTGCATGCAAATAAGATGCTCGACCACTGAGCTATAACTTTTCTCTTTTAATTACTAGGTTGAAAACTGAGAGATCGGTCTATGATCACTGGTCATCAGTTCAAATTCATAAAAGTAAAGTTAGAATTCTGAACTAAGCCTGTTAAGATAGATTTACTTAAACAGTGAAAGAACAAAGTGTTCTCATTAGCTATTACTGTACTCCTCGAATTATTTTTTGCATCACTATTGTCTGCTTGCATTTCTTTTGTCAAAGTTCATGTTCCCTTTTGTTCTCCTCATTTGGAGGGGGCTTCCATTTTATGAAGAAAGTCTTCTTGCCTCTTAAAAGCTTCCTTGACTCTGCTCATTAATTATGGTGACATCCCTTTGGCCTTGATGGTGACTTTCCTTGTTTGCCGTACCACATACGTTCTAGCTACTTGTAGCTTGAATAACCCTAGGTGCTCTGGAAAGATGTGATGGTCTTCACTTTTCCTTTCAACTTCCTTTTTACCAATCCTCTTTTTTTAAGAAGTTTCCTCTTTTGAAGTCAGGTGTGACTGTTGGATTTTTTTGGCAATTGTCAACTTACATATATATAGAATTTGAAAGCACCGTGTAGTTGCTGTGGCCAGTTGGTTTGGCAACACATATTGCATCAAGTCTTGAGCACTACGTAAAAGTCCAGGCTTGTTGCCCCTCTGGTTCATTCGATGACCAACTATTTTAGGTACAGTCATTTTTTTACAATGGAGTGTGTCTCCAGGGGTAAAGTCAAACTTCTGGACAATCACCGCACCTGCTATGGCTGCAGAGACTGGTAACTTAAAACTGCTGCCTCACACGTTGTTTTTGCTGCACTAGTGACCTCTACAGGGCCCCCTCTCAGCATTGTGGCTGTGTCACATGCTGACAGCTTCTGGGAGCCACAAAGGTACTACTCTTCTGCTGACACCCCATACACCCCACATTACACCTATACACAGACATTTAGGGATCTAGAAATTCTACCTCTTTGTCATAAGTGGAACATGCATGTATCCAGTCTTTAGAAGGGTAATTGAAGTTTCCTGTTACTACAGCAAGGTCGTCTTTTAGGGACGTTCTTGATTTATTAGCCACCTGAAGATCATTGTGGGCATATTGGTCAGGTTATCATAGTACTTCCCCAGTATTGAATCACACTTTCAGCCTTGGTATTGCTACCCATATTGGTTCTGTGAAGGTGGCTACCCTTTTTGGGAATATCTAGCTTGGTCTCCTTGATGTATAAAATTACACCATCTCCAGTCCACATTTCCCTTCCTTCCTATGGAATTTGCATCTACTGCTTGAGACATTTTTTGTGTATTGTTAGAGGGGATTCCTTCTATTGTTCATGGCTTAATGCTGCTTTCTCCTTTTGTTTGTATTTCAGCTCTTAAGTTCCACTTTCACTTAGTTGGCAAAAGATATAATGGACTAATTCAACAGATGACAGCATTACAAGATTGAGCATGATCTTTAAGGTTCCCTGGCTTAATATGTACATCTGACTGGCATATGGAGGTTGATTTCCTCCAAGAAGGTAATGACTCTTGAGTTGCATTGTATATAGCACTCCATTTTTCCATAAATTAATAAATATTTTATTTTCTGTATTGAAAACACATAAACTGTGTTAAATAAATGCCAAGCTTTGCAGCTATATCTTGACATGTATCATCCTTTTGAGATACAATTCCTATTTAAGATATGATTCCTAAGCTTACCTGCATTTTGTTCTTTTTCTAGCTGTTCTGCTTTCTTTCACTTTTAACTTCTCAAGACCAAAAACCACTTATGTCTTTATAGCTCAGTTTTTGCACAGCATTAATGCAATAAACATAATTCCTTAAATTGCATAAGTTGCAAGATAAATATGTAAGCTGCTACCTTTTCAAGACTTTTGCTAAATCTGTCATTGGGCAATCTGACCTGGCATAGAATTATTTTAGGACCTACAAATGGAACATTCTTAACATGAAGCAAAACCATGTGGCATATATCACCAAAAGGAAATATTGTATGGATATAGAAGTCTCTCCCATCCAGTATTCTGTGTCCTTACTTAAGGCAGTGTCAGATTCTGCTGTAGAAGGCGGAAAGTCCTGTGCACATAGGTGAAAGAAAACAAAATTGAACTCACTCTTACCCTTGTGTAGCCACAACCCTGGAAATGTAAGATGCTTGCAAATCAGACTGATCTTTAATAAAAATATTTAAATACACAATTCTGTCTTGTAAGTGACTTAGTAGGGGCAATAGTAACACCTTTTCATATGGTGGATTTATTTGCTTCCTTGTGTTTGTATAACTTCCTTCCCTGGAGAAAAGATACTGTCCTGAGGAGATCCTCAGCAAAAAGACTGGATGACTTCCTTTAGGAATTGGGAAATGGCAGCAGAGCCTAGGAGTTGCCAATCAGAAGGTCGGCAGTTCAAATCCCCGTGACGGGGTGAGCTCCTGTTGCTTGGTCCCTGCTCCTGCCAACCCAGCAGTTTGAAAGCACGTCAAAGTGCAAATAGATAAATAGGCACATTTCCGTGTGCTGCTCTGGTTCGCCGCATGACCAGAAGCTGTACGCCGGCTCCCTCGGCCAATAAAGCGAGATGAGCACCGCAACCCCAGAGTCGGCCACAACTGGACCTAATGGTTAGGGGTCCCTTTACCTTTACCTGTTAATCATCTTTAACTTTCGTGTACATTTCCATAGGGAAAATTCCTAGATAGCAGCTTATTTTATCTACATAGCATAGAGCTATTCTACCAAATTCTTCCTACCTTAACACAACTTAAGCTTGCCTTTTTAAAAACTGTCATTATTATGGCCACCTTGCTCCTGTTCCATCCCTTCAGTAATTGTACATTTTGAGGATGTGCCCTGGAGGCTGCTTTGGAGAGAAAAGGGGTTGCTTTTCTGAAAGACACTGCACAGTAAAAGCTACATGTCACAGAAATGTGCAATATTTTGAGTTGAATGCATCCAGTTTAGATGATATAAATTCCTACCTCCATTTTATCACAACAATAGAAGTACAGTAACGTCATTTATTTTACACTAGAAAAAACTGAGGCATTCAGATATTTAAAAATTACTCTAGCCAACAGACAAAATTGTCTAGAATTTTTTAAAATAAACTTATTTTGGATCAAGTTCACCTTTTTGTTTCAAGAACAAAGCAGTGTTAGAAACAGATATGAAAGCTAGGGGCTAAATGGCACCTTAAACCTAAGTTATGGGTGCAACAATGGAATGTCTAAGCACACTTTTTTAATAACAAGAATATGAAGCTGAAAATGAATAAACTGCAGCTTAAATATTATGTCATTTTTCACATGGTCTGGACTCTGGTCCTTCCCCTGCCCTGCCCCCCTGATATTCTTTAGAAGGTCTCCAGTCTTCAGAGAGTAGCTGGCAGTGGGGAGGCAGAAAAAGGTCCTCCTTTCCTTCCACTCTGCAGTTTTAATCTATGCTTTTTAGCATATCAGTAATTATCTTAGCTTATTAAAAAAATGTTTCTTGCATCCAGTCATATTATTCAGTTTTGCTTTAACAATTATCACTACTCTCACAGTAAAAATGGCTTTGTGTTTCATTGTTCATGCTCTTGAGAGTCACTGCACTTTAAGTGAAATATTTTGCCTTTCCCTAACCCCGTAAGGATGCTTCAGTTGTTTAGTTTTATTATGCTTGTATTTATATATGAACTGCTATTATTGAGGGAAGTCTCTGGAATGGTGTTATTCTCTTTTTATAGACACTGAAGGCTGTAATCCTATACACTTACCTGGGAGTAACTCGGTGGGACTTAAATTTCGAGTAGACATGTATAGGGTTGTCATGCAAACTTGCTTGGCTAATTGTTATCCATAAGGACTCATTGGCAAGTCCTTAATGTCATAGAGGTTATTTTTTCCAGATATTGTACAAAGACCTTGGCATTCATGTGGAAGTTCCCTAATGACCCTGTAATGAATTGTAAAATTACATGTATGCTTCTAATGGCCATGTGTGTAGTACTGTTTCTGTACCATCTTATCTTGGAATATAATGTGCTTATGTGGGGGCAGGGGGATCATTTGGGGAAGGAAGAAGCAACTTTCGGTGGAAGCTCTACATAAATGAAATGTTGCATGGAGGACACTGCACATTCTGGGAAAAGGGTGGATTGGTTTTTAAATCAAGTTTTCCATTTTGAAATTGTAACATTTCCTGAACAAACATCTGGTTAGCTTGTGTTCTTGATATGGCATTTTATTTAATTTTTGGAGCCTCTAGAGAACATGTTGGGCAGTCAAACAAATATGGCAAGTTACTAAATATGGTTGCTAAAGCAATTAAAATATATAGAGCTTTTATACAACCTAGGAACATAACCCAAACCTTCAGTCATGTAGTTTGCGCACACTGCAGAATTATATTTGCTTAGAGGCAGGCAGATTTTGGTTTGGCTGTCTTTGTGCAGGAATATTAGGCAAGATTATTTAGTTAGATTGGGCCCAGAACTTTTTCATAAGCCATATCAGTTACTGTACAAACTGCCATTACTTCATGAGTTGGGAAGTAAATGTTCATTCTTTCTGGTTAGTAGAATCAAACAACAAATTGCAGAGATCAGCTAGTTGAAGGACCTAAAATAAGAATACAGTTGTTCAATGGATTATTCTAGAAATATATGGATGGTATCTCCTGGATCCCAGCACCTGTTACTATTTGCTGGTCAGTGGGTCCTATATGAAGCCCACAGTAATACCATACAAAAATTTGGCTCATTTATGCATGTGCTAGTGTGGTTCTGTCAATTGTTGATTTAAATATTTACCCATGATGCCGTATGTTCAAAGGTTTTGGAAATGGGAGTTCCAAACTTGAATCTCCAAGGGCTTACTGAGTCTAAATATTAAGCAAATTTTAGATTTTCATCAATATCTCTTTTCACTTGAGGTTTTTAACACATTTAGTATCAGTGTGTTTATATTATCAAAACCCAGAAAGTCCCCTAAAGCCTCTAGGAAAATCATGAATAAAATATTTAACTGTAAGAAGCATATATCCTTACAATAATTGATACTGTGTTGCTGTTGACCTGCAAAAAAATTGCAAAAAGTTTTTTAGGGCACTTTAGTCCAAAAAATTTCAAATGCCTTGAATAGACTGGGATCTGACTTGGCATAGTTGGATTATTTAGACATTTAGTTTTACTATCCCATCCCATTTCCAGAAATGGGCTGGAGATATGGGTATGCAGGCATGCACAAGGGTAGGCAAGCTGTGATTCCTAGGAACCTAAAATATTAAACTGCATGTTTGAAACTGCAACTTTACTGTTATTGTATCAGTTCATTATGTTAAAACAATTTCATGGGAAAAATGTACTTTTAGAAAAGGAACATTTTTAAAATGGAAAAATATAGTGGTAGAAAACTTCCTGCGGAAAATTTTTCACCCCATAGGTGCCAAGGCATTTTGGGCTTCAGAATTGCATGTGTCTTTTGCTTTGCTCTAATCCCCCCATAGGCCATTTAACCCTTCTGAAGGGTTTGAGCCTTTAGCCATTAAATTTACTCCATTTATCAGCTGCTTGATAACAAACGTTCTCTTGGGTGTTGTATATATTTGAAACATTCAGTTCAAAATTTAAAACCACTCAATAGCAACACAAATACACCATAAAACACAACTGTCATATCAAATCAGAAGTTAACACAACTTCAGCAGCAATCATAACATAGAGAGCCATAAGAGTAATATTTCTAGAACAGGGGTAGGGAACCTCAGGCTCAGGAGTCAAATGCAGCCCCCTAGCCTCTGTTTGTTTGCACTTGGGAATCTCCCCAGGCCACACCTTTTACTATCCCTACTTAATACCCGCAAGTGGTTCCCTCTCAAGGTGGACAATAGCGAAGGGCATAAGTTGTGTGTAGAAACTAGCCTACTGTACAGAGGTAAAATTTACACTTGTTGTCCACCCGCATTCACCTCTGGCCCCATCCACCAGTGGCATGTAGGCACTGGAAAGTTGCCTAGAACAGTGCTGCCCTTAAGCTGAAAAAGGTTCCCCACCCCTATCAAGGAGCATCTGTGTTATCTAGGAGGTTACCTTCTATGCAGGTTGTGTAGCTACTTTGGGGGCTTTTGGTGAACTGGAAGTCTTTGGAATAAATGAATGATGTTTTGTATCATTTGGTCTAGTATTCTTAGGAAATCTATGTATTTATAGCTTCCTTGGCTCTGTCTCCTGCCATGTTGCCAACATCCATGGAGCTGATGCACCCATTGACTGCCTCAATGGTAGTCACTTTATAATGTCAATAGTGCATTGTAATTACTAGTGTTATACATGTGAAGATTTAAGTAGGTACTAAAATAGTGTTGAAAGTTCAGCGATCACACATAACCCAATATACACTTCTTAAAAGATTAAAGGAATTTGTATGAGCTGGTGGATGACATTCCCTTCCTATTCCTTAGGACTTTCCAGAGTGGCACCAATTGTTTCCAGATAAACTGGAATCCACTTATTTAAAAAGATTTAACTTCACAGCAAAATATAAAAAAGGAAATGTATATCTTCCAGTAATAGAAATTGAACTGTAGCAAACTTTTATTCACTTTGGGCAAACTAGTATTGGCTACTTCTTCCTTATCTTTTCCATATTAGCAACTAGATATTTTTAGTTGTTAGCTTAGCAGCATATATTTGACTCTAGAAGTAATTCTGTTCTACTGACTTGCTTATATTCTTTCTCATGTTCAACACTTGAAGATGAAATTTATAGCACTTCCCATAATAAAGTCATTTCTTTTCATGGCTGAATCACATGCTTTCCAATGCATGTGTTTTAACTTTAACAGTTGTTTTTGTAGTCTGAACCATTTCCTGTTATTCAGCTATTACACTGCCAAAAGCAGAAACCAGCTATTTTTCAGCCATTTTTAAATATATTACAAGTAGTTATGAAGGTCTATTGATTGTGGGGAAAATTTCTGTACCTTTTTTGTTTTCCAATTTTCAAATTCTAAAAGCACTGGAGCTATGAACCTACCACTCTGAAAATGGTGAGATGAGTGCAAGTAAGGAGGCCTGATCTTTGTTCATCCTTAAGTATTCATTTAACTCCTGGGCTATGATTTCTCCCTTATCGGTTCTGCAGCAGTGTGTCTCAAATTTTAGATGCTTTCTTCTAGAAGCTATTCATACATGAATAGTTGCATAGTTTTGTGTACATAGTCACAGGCAGCTACAGGCTATCTCTGGATTCAGGCATTAGTCGTGTACGACATTAGAAGAGAACAGGATATTACTCACCTGCTTCAAAAGTCATGCACCAGAAAATATATAAGAACAAAGTAGCAGTTTAAAATATCCTGGTAGATAAAATATCTCTTTGTATTGTGATCCCATTTCATGTTTCAGACGGTCCTTTTTCTCAGAGAGCCTTAGCACAATTGTTTGGCTTTAGTAATAAATAAATACTTACAAAGCATCTTATAATGTTTTATGGTAGATTATTTCTATTTTAATCCAATACTGTTTTCTGATAGTGTTAACAGATTTGTTTTGTGCTCTGGAGATTTAAATGGATTATGGATGGTCAAAAGACCACTGCCACAACTCCCAGACATCTCTTTACCTTGGCCCTTGACAACCTCTCTCTGAATTGTAATTCGTTATTTTAAAATATTGTATCTTTAAATTATTGCAACCAACCCTAGAACCTCATGTTGAAGGGTGAGTAAGAAATCTAACAATTTGCATCAAACTTTAAAGAAGACTATTAAATAAGGCACATTAAATATAATTTCATATCATGTCAGCTGTAATGTTCAAATACAAATGGCAGAAATGGTTAACCAGTTTCTATATCTTGTACTACATAAGCAGATGCATAGCCAGCAATGGGACACAACTACCCATGACTTCCTCACTCTATTTACTAATTGGATACTTTTAAAAATGATTGGACTTAGTCTATGGAGAGGTAACTTTTTTCAGTCTCACGGCCACATTCAAGATTGGTCAGTCCTCTGTGAACAGCATGCCAGCAGTCATAATGGTCAAAGTGGCCATCAAACATACGGTGTGTGCATACTGCACACAAATGTACACATACAGTGCACATATCTTATACACACAAACACACTCACCACAAACACATGCTGGGACAAGCCATGCTCATTCTCCTCATAGCACTGGGTTGAGAACAGAGGTTTAAAGCTGGATTTGGAGGTTAAGCCCCTCCTTTGAGCCCAGCCCTGCTATGGAGTAAGTTCCTCATCACAGCACTAAGCTAGCTGGGAGAGGTTTATGTCTTCACAAGCCCCAGAACTGTAATGGCTGAATTCTTTCCCTCCCCTGCTGTGTGAGATTTCCTCCACCAGACATTCCTGGGAGTGCCTTTGCACCCACTGTTAACTCGCCTAGGATGAGGAAACAATCTCAGTTAACTTGTGTGGCACGGGTGGGTGAAAAATCCCCCTGGCCTAGTGCCCTAATGCGGAGTAAAATGAGGGTTTGTGCACCATTTAAAATGGCTTTGTGTGCCTGACGTGGTTGTTACCCCTGATTTAGTTGAATTGCTGAAGAGGTTTCCTGTTTAGTCCTTTAAAACAAGCCTGAATCAACGACTCAGGAATATATATTTTTAAATCAACAGTCAAGCTAACTCTTCTAGAAATTACACATATATGCACTTTGTTAGCTACCCTAATTTATGGAAAGCTGAGGTGGAAATGTTTAAAATGGTTTCTAATTATACAAAATAATTTCCCCTGGAAAGTTCTTTTGCTCTTTTTCAGCATAAGGTAAAGGTAAAGGGATCCCTGACCGTTAGGTCCAGTCATGACCGACTTTGGGGTTGCGGCGCTCATCTCGCTTTATTGGCCGAGGGAGCCGGCATACAGCTTCCGGGTCATGCGGCCAACATGACTAAGCTGCTTCTGGCGAACCAGGGCAGCGCATGGAAACGCCGTTTACCTTCCTGCCGGAGCAGTACCTATATATCTACTTGCACTTTGACATGCTTTTGAACTGCTAGGTTGGCAGGAGCTGGGACCGAGCAACGGGAGCTCTCCCCGCCACAAGGATTTGAACCGCCAACCTTCTGATCGGCAAGTCCTAGGCTCTGTGGTTTAACCCACAGTGCCACCTGCGTCCCTTTAAACCACTTAGGTATGCTGGAAAACAGGGACGCGGGTGGCGCTGTGGGTTAAACCACAGAGCCTAGGACTTGCCGGTCAGAAGGTCAGCGGTTCGAATCCCTGCAACGGGGTGAGCTCCCGTTGCTCGGTCCCAGCTCCTGCCAACCTAGCAGTTCAAAAGCATGTCAAAGTGCAAGTAGACAAATAGATAGCGCTCCGGCAGGAAGGTAAATGGCGTTTCCATGCGCTGCCCTGGTTCGCCAGAAGCACCTTAGTCATGCTGGCCGCATGACCTGGAAGCTGTACGCCTGCTCCCTCGACCAATAAAGTGAGATGAGCGCTGCAATCCCAGAGTCGGTCACGACTGGACCTAATGGTCAGGGGTCCCTTTACCTTTAAGTGGTTTAAAGCTTGCAATGAAGATGTATGATAACCAGTTTTTACCTATAGTGTTGTAGGTTCTTATATATAATTCCCCAGGAAAATAGGAAATCCAAAACAGGACATGCTGCAATTGTGGAAAAACCAGTTCTTCACACACAACTTCATTTAGATGCTTTCTCCTCTTCTTTGCCTTTTTTTTTAACAACAAAAGCCTTAAGTTAAAGTTTTATTTATGATCTATCCACTGAAAAAGGGCACTTTATCCCTTTCTTTTTATGAGACTGCATTTAATTTTATTGTTTTAAAAATATGTATGCTTGCTAGCTATTGTCCCTCTCTATTGAGATAGTTATATGAAATGCAAGCAGTTCGAAGACAAGATTGCTAATATGGCCTACATTTTACCCGTTTACTGGAAGTAATTTCTCAATAACACATATTTTCTTGGTAAGACTTGCTGTATCTTTCAAACATGAACAATTGGCAGGTTCTTCCAAAACCTTAAAAGCTGTTAGGCACTCGCATCTTTTTGGAAATTGACGAGATTTAAGAGGACTGACTCTTCTGTTGACTCAACATCTTTCACTTTGAAATACAGTAAATATGATCTTTGCACCAAGCATGACTCCAAGGACAGCATGGGTACAGACCCATCAAGGGAGACTATGCAAGGGCAGGGGAGTAACAATGTGCTTGCCACAATGCAGAGTGATAGTTGCCCAGCAAATGGTAGTTATCCAGGCGATGCACCAACACCAGCATTATGTGTTTGACAAAATTAATTGTAACTGTAGAAGACTACATTAACTGTGTGTGAGAGAGAATATATTATTACAAAATGAATGGAAGAAATTGTAGGCTCCTGAGAGTTGGGCAATTCACTGGCTCTGTCTCCTGCAGGGTTAGCAAAAACAAACTTTCTTTACCCAAGCAGTATGTTGCAGCTTTATTCAGCTCACATTATTCAGCAGGAGAGACCCCCCAAAATAAATTAATTGTAGCTATTGATTGTATACTACCTACAGTAGTAATGACCAGAGGTGTATGAATTACCAGACAACAGTGGCAGTGTTCACATCAATCAGTGTTTGGTCATACATGGAATCCTAATGAAAGTGCTTGACAACGTTTGAAATCCTGTGCTCATTCTTTAATACATCATAAGTTAACACACACACATTGTTTTTTGTGTTCTCTGAGTTTATGGCTTCTCAGTTAAAACCTATAAAAATACTGTTCAGGGTAAAGATTAAATTCAGCAAACATAGTATAGAAAATATAAACTAAGGGTGTGGTGATTTCAGTATTGACTTCCAAATATGTAGTAACTTTTATGGTGACCTTCTGAAGATTGTTCAAAATTTTCCATGTTGAAAACCTGTTTTCATTCAGCCATTTTCTAGTGCTGCTTAGTTTACATTTAAATTTTTTTCAACAAATCAGCTAGAATGGGATATCTACTATTTAGCTCAGTTAAATATCAACAAGGCGTTCTTCTATCTTTCCCCATCCTTGGGTTTAAAATGTATATTTCACAGACCTGTAGAGTGCAAATTAGGTGGGGCTGTTTTGTCAGTTTCTCTTCCCCTTTATGTGCTAAATTTCTTTTCTGTATGAAGTTGGATAATGCCTTTTGTCTCCTGTACTCTTGTATTCCCTGATGCTTAAATTGATTTGGAGTCCTAGTTTCCTGCCTGGAATATGCAGATGCTGAAACTAGCAAGGTTAAAAGTTTCAGTTAAGTTCCACCCCACCCCCAAAAATCCTACATTCCTTTGAGGCTCTGTAGCAGTTTGTCTGCAATTTGGAAGTCTTAATCCACTGTGGAGGGGCTCCTTTGTATATAAATTTCATCCACTTCAGCCAAAAGGGGGGATTATGGCCATTTTATAGATTCCACATTATAGTGAATGGGAAAACACAGAACTTCATTTCATTCAGAGTGGCTCAGGAGCTGAACTACAGAACAAAGTATGACTCAAAAAAAAATCAGACTACAAATGCAGAGATGCTGATATATAGGGCAAATTTGAAGCACTTGCACACACCCTAATATCTACTGCTGCCCCTGCCTTTTCCGGGCCTTTTGACCCTCTGTAAACACTATTTTTGTGCCCCCCCCCAATCTGTACCCAGGTGCCCACATGTCTATTTTAAGAGATCATTTCATGCATCAGCCCAAGTGGACTTCAGATTGTAAAAGCTTTTGTTACACTGTACTAAAATTTGCTACTCTTTATGGTGCCCTGGCTCTTAATGTTTTTATTGTTCATGCCAGTGTTATAGTTGGGCAGCATTTAAAAGCTTCTAGGTTTGGGAGCTGTGGCCTATTTCTGCAGAATATATGATGGCGGGGCAGGGGGAGATTCATATTTCACATCATGGAAATAGGTGCAAATTAAATTTTAATATGTGCTAGTTCATACTATGTTGTATGCAGTAATAAATAAAAGTGAACCTATTGGAATTGCTAACAACAACAACAACAACGGCTAGTTGATGATGCATAAATAGTGGAACTTTCCCTGCTAAGTGCCTTGAAGGATTGTTAATCACAGTTCATGTAAATCATGTTTCATATTTGCATGCATTGTAAAACATTTATTTCATTTTTGCTGAAGCATTAAAAGTGAAAGCAAATGCTGTATCTGTAGTAACGCTAATGCCAACAATAACTTTGATACATATATTTACTTTACTAATTTTGTGCATTGTTTATCATACATTTCCAGCTAAATTAAATAGCCACATTTATTCATTTCATCTCCATTACTAGATATGGGGGTGGACAGTTAGATGGAATAACTTGGGAAAGGAAATATCGATACTTAAGAGGGGCTTCTTTTTTAAAAAAATACATTCCAGGCCTGTGCCCTATTAAAGTAATTTACAACACCCCTGTTCAACTGTGTTTACAGAAAGAAAAAATAAATGTCAGACTTTAAATGTACAGCCAGCTAATTAAAAGTTTTAAATATATGCTTCTGCTTTAAGTAAAGTATGTTTCTGTATCAGCTGGCAATGAGCTCTCGGTGAGCAAGTGTGAAGTTGCCGAATAATTAGTGATGGCTGGCAAATGAACTAGTCTAACAGCAACTTCTCAGCTCCTTTGTAGCTGTTGCCTAAGGAATATATAGCACATTGGTGAACCATAGAATGATTTTGAGAGAGAGAATTTGGGCAAAGTCCCAATTTAGATTTCTCTGGGCCTTTCCCACTACAGCACTTTTATTTGGAAAATGCCACTACCAGATCATTTGTTAATGACAGCTGATCTCTTAATAAGAAACTCAATTTTCTTCAGATTTTAAACATTACTTTCCAATGATTTAACAGAATTTAAAAATGTTAATATGTATGACAACACATCATGTGGGTTTGAGTACAGTCGATCTGGTATTACCAGCCCACTTCAACTGCTTGAAGAATTTCTTTCTATTACCATGTATTCCTCAGATATACAAAGGTAACTTGGGTTGTTGCTATGGCAGCTGTTAGCCTTGAGAATAAAAATGTGGAAACTGCGTTTGTCCAAGGCTTAAATTCTCCTTTTTAACTAACAATAACAAATTTGTATCATTGTGCACAAAGTCAATCAAGCTAAAGAGATAATCAAAACAACAAACGAAACCCCATGCTCTAAATTTATGGTATTTAATTTTGCAATACAGTCATACCTCGGGTTAAATATGCTTCGGGATGAAAATATTTTCAGGTTGCGCTCCGCAGTGACCTGGAAGTAACGGAGCGCATTACTTCCGGGTTTCACCACTCGCACATGCGCAGACGCTCAAAATGACGTCATGCGCGGAAGTGGCGACCCGCGCATGCGGGTTGCGTTCGCTTCAGGATGCGAATGGGGCTCTGGAACGGACCCCATTCGCATCCAGAGGTACCACTGTATTTTTATGCTGAACTGCTAGACCTTAGTCACTTTAGTTACAGGAGTGTTTCTTTCCTAGCATGTCCCCCTTTTCCTTCAACTGCCTAAACCAGAGCTTTCCAAACTTTACATGTTGGTGACACACTTTTTAGACATGCATCATTTTGCGACACAGTAATTTAGTTTTACTAGCAAACTGAAGGTTAAACTAACCCCTTTCCAGCCTTGGGAGGAGCGTGGGGAACATTCATACTATACACCTAACATTGCAGCCAACACACTAACATGTCACAACACATAGTTTGGAAAGCTGTGCCCTAAACTGAATCTTCTGTTGCATTCCAACTGTCAGTATGCTCTCAGAAGTCTATTGCTTAGTCCTACATCAGGAAAGAAGCCTTATCATCATTCATTGCAGGGGGTTGGACTAGCTGACCCTTGGGGTCCCTTCCAACTCTTAAGATTCTATGATCTTGATGTTCTATTATGGTCACAGCCAGTGCTATTTTTTGGAAAAAGAGGTGCTGGAACTCACCATGAACGCCTCTTTTGCTCTTTCAATGGCAACGGTGTTTACCTGAGAAGTGCCAGAACTGAGTTTTGGTGAGTCCTGACTCAAAAAAGCCCTGGTCATAGCTTTTGTAAACAAATGCCTCCATTCTTTCCTAATAACCAGCATTTTGTCTTCTGATTCCAGTTCAGTTATGTGAGTGCTGTTGCTTATGTGGCCAAAACGGTAATGTTTAAGAGGGAAGTATTGGAAAATATGAAGCTGTGTGTCTCTTGCTTTTTGGATTGCAAGTTTTTATTTGATAGAGTTATATACCATTTTATACCAAGAAAGTGTCTTAAGGGGGGTTACAAAAGTAACAAATATATTTATAAACAATGAAACTGAAGAACTACAATACAAAATAAAATAATAACCCCCCCCCCCCAAAGCAAAACCTAGTAGTACTTTTTTTGGAAACAATTTCACTCTTATTACCAAGGGACACGTTTACTCATAATAAGCAAAACTCATTTCTATTTTAAATGTATTCTCAATTTCCCTTCTACATAAATACAAATAATGTACTACCACCTACCCATCCGTATCACTCGTCCCATTTCACTTCCACAACTCACACACATCCATCATTAAAAATACATTATCCACTCCGTTACTCCAATATCGCCCTCTCATTCGCCACATTGCTGTGACCAATCATTCTACTGTTTCCACTAAAAATGTATGCAGAATCACCAGGAGTTAACTATTCACTGTCAGAACTGTAAACTATCAAAAGAAATGCATAGCAATCTGGCTCTCACCCATTTTATTTCTCACCCAAGGATAGGTGAAACTGCACACACCCTTCCCTGGTACTCCTTCCTCTCACCAAAGAATAACCTCAGACATTTTCTACCCACATCACAGACACACCACAGAAAATAGAAACCCAACCAGCAGGAGGGCACCCTTGTTACAACCCCGAATGCACAGGCCAAAGAGGAGAGTTCCCTTTCTGTGTCTCCCTATCTGGGGTGCCCTGCCAGTGACACCTATTGCAGCTTGCCTGTGCTGGTTTTGTAACTGGATGTCCATTATTAGCTACAGCTAGTTATACTCACTTTCTCCATGGTCCTGCCTGAACAAGACGACACTCAGGGTCAGTTGGGCTATCTAACAGGGGAGTATGGTTGTTCTTATCTTTCTCCTTTGCTCTTTATCAGCTTTATCAATAACCGTGTCTCCCTTGTAAGAGTTCAATAAAATACTGGATTTAAATGCATCTATAACTTGGGAGGATTGTCAGTGTGATTAACAATCATTTTCCAGTTCTCCTCCCCCCCTTTTGTGCACTTCTACCACCTGTATAGGATATCGCCTTTTGGCATATTCAGCATTTGCGTCCCTTTGTCTTACATCCCCCCCATCTCAAAGCATATTAAGCTGCTACGATAATAAAAGGATTCTAGCTTGCCATGAAGTTATCATGTTGCTTTTTTTCCTTAGTTCTTAAATAATGCATCAATTTCACCAGAATGGAAAACTCCCAAGCAATTCTCCTTGTTAGATTATTTCTTTTTGTTGTATACATCTTATATAGTATAATCATTAAACTGTAACAAAAAAAGGTCCACCCCTTGATTATATCAACTTGCTAATTGACAGAAGTGCACAGGTGGCTGAAGCAAACAAGGTGGAGGTTTAGTTGATGAGGTAGCTGTAATAGGAGTTAGCAGAGTAATACAAGTCCTCTGAAAATAACAAAGAACCTGAATATATGTGATGCTAATCTGTCTCTTGTCTTTCCCTTTCATTTGTAGAATTGCTGTGAAGAGTTTCCTGGAATTATATGTCGTGAAGAATTTTGTATGTGAAGAAGACAGACCCGACCATGTATAACATGACTTAGCCCCCTCCCCAACATGACCTCTAAGTTTGCTGCTTCTCAATAGGCATTTTTTCCTTAAAGTGATCAGTGTTGTACACATGCTTTGATCCATTTCTGATGAATGTTTTAGCCATGAGTTTACATCGGCAAATGGGATCTGATAGAGACTTGCAATCTTCTGCCTCCTCTGTAAGCTTGCCTTCAATTAAAAAGGCACCAAAGAAAAGAAGGATTTCACTGGGGTCTCTCTTTCGAAGAAAAAGGGATACAAAACGCAAGTCCAGAGATATAAACGGAGGTGTGGATGGCATTGCAAGTATTGAAAGCATACATTCGGAAATGTGTATGGACAAGAACTCTATTTTCTCTGCCTATATGTCTTCTGACAATGGAACAACCATCATCAGCAAACAGAGCGGAGACTTCATGGAGTGTCCCTTGTGCCTTTTGCGACACTCCAAGGAGAGGTTTCCGGAAATAATGACTTGTCACCATAGATCTTGTGTGGATTGCTTACGTCAGTATCTCCGGATAGAAATCTCTGAGAGCAGAGTTAATATCAGCTGTCCAGAGTGCTCTGAGCGATTCAATCCCCATGATATTCGATTGATATTAAATGATGACATATTGATGGAAAAATATGAAGAATTTATGCTTAGAAGATGGCTTGTGGCAGACCCTGATTGTAGGTGGTGTCCTGCTCCTGATTGTGGGTAAGTTGTTATCTCCACCCTCCTTCCTACCCATTCTAATGAAGCGCATGGATCTTGTCGTCATCCTGAAATATATTATTCAGCTCATTAAATTGCTCTAATTGTCTACTAATTTGTAACTATTTTAACATTTGAAGTTTTGTGCCTCGCTCATATTGCTCAGGTTGTGCTAAGTAGTCCTTATTGTTTCATGGCATAGATGAAACAAAGTAAAAGAACAGACAGGCAGATTTATTCTGGAAAACGCTGTTATTTCACACTGTAGAGTGTTTAAAGGAGTGACTTTAGTTCTTTAAAATAAAATAGAAATATTTTAATACACTTTGAAAAGAAACCTAGCAGTTTCTTGAGTGTAAATGGTGAAAGTTTTTATAAAATAAAGAAGTTAACTTTGTAGTTACACATCCTGGCATTGGCAGTTTTAATGCCAGAAACCCCAAATATTGGCTGCCAGTAGAAATTCAGTATAAGAGAGCATAAACCCGTTTGTTGTTGCTGCTGCTTGATGCCAGCATACTTTTTCCTAAGCAGCAAATGTTTTAATATTCAAGGAAACACATTTGATTGTCATCATTAAGCCAGAACAAGTGTACCCTTTGTCATATTCTTCCCTTTCCAAGCCCACTACTTGGGAGGAGCAAGAGGGTACTTTTCATTCTAATCACTGTTTTGCTTGGTAAAGCTCCTCTCACCACTCTCCCCGCCTTCGGTTGCCTTGTTCGGTTCCCAGCTCTGGGTTCTCAAAACTTCAAGCAATCTCCTAACTGCTGTTATTCTGCTGCTACCATGTAAACACCTATCACTGACTTATTTTGTCATAGCTGTGATAGCTTGGCCAAATATGAAATATGATTGGAACAAACAAAATTTCATTAGTATAGTAAAAGCTGAATATAACAGGTTTTTATGGGATTTGCTTTAATAACGGTGTTCATTTATTTTATATTTTAACATGTGCTTATACCTCTATTCCTAACTGTATGCTATCCAACCTACTCTACCCCTTACTCCTCAGCACCCACACCAACTACTCTCACTTCCTCCAAAACCCAACTGTCACTCCCCAGACACATACCTATTCTGTCATAAGCTACCCAACATTCCATCCCTCTTTCACTCCCCCCTGAACTTGCCTTATCTTAAATCATACAAACCTTCCTACACAAAATTTACACAACAGTATGTCAACCAACACAAATTAGATACAATAACAAATACCACAACCTCCTCTGATGATTTTTAGATGATTTTAATCCTTAGCAAAACAATAACTTCAGCTTAAAGGTAAACGTAAAGGGACCCCTGACTGTTAAGTCCAGTCGCGGACAACTCTGGGGTTGCGGCGCTCATCTCGCTTACTAGCCAAGGGAGCCCGTGTTTGTCCACAGACAACTTCCTGGTCGTGTGGCCAGCATGACTAAGCCGCTTCAGGCAAACCAAAGCAGCACACAGAAACGCCGTTTACCTTCCCACCGGAGCGGTACCTATTTATTTACTTGCACTTTGACATGCTTTTGAAGTGCTAGGTTGGCAGGAGCAGGGACTGAACAACAGGAGCTCACCCCGTCGCAGGGATTCGAACTGCCAACCATCTGATCGGCGAGCCCTAGGCTCTGTGGTTTAGACCAATTTATGCATTTGTGTTTATCGTATAAATGGCATTAGTATCCATGAAGTCATTAAGCCAAGCACTTTTTACATTAAAAGTATATACTTATTCTGTGACCTGAAGTGCTGCATTATCATGTTAGCATGCAGATTGTGTGTAGCTAGGAACAGGTGGCTGGTGAGAAAAAGTATAGTGATGTTGTAAATAAAATAGCATGGAAAATGAGCTGGTAGTAGGGAAGTAATTGGTTTTCCATGGAGAATAACAGATGAGTATGTTTTTTCACTTCTGCATATGTTGGATAGTAATTACTAAATATCTATTGATTGACTGAATAACTAATTTTTTTTTCAGTTCTTCAGTAGTTCAAATGACAGTAATTGCATGTTCTCCAGTATTGGCTTTGAATCAAATTTGAATTGTGGCCCTATTTAGAAAGAAACATTGCAGAAGCATGGTTTGCTTTTCTTGCTTAGCATCTTGTTCTTATCAGTCCAATCCTAGACCAAAAGTATGGAGCATAAAATTCTTTTAATTTGAAATGTTGCGAGTTTTCTGGACAACGTTGTAGCTATTTTGAATGTCCTCCTCTGCCCCACTACAGCATTTATGAACTTGGAAACGTATAGATTCCAAACCATGTGTTGGAACATGTTCCAAGAGAAGACTACACATCTTCAAGAAAATACTAAAATTATAGGAGGCTAGATTTTGGTTAAACAGTAAGAGGAACTCCTTGAAAATAGAATTGATTGACCATGGAACAAGTTACCTGATTATTTAATCAGTACAATACAATAGGTTTTTGTTCACCACCCCTTTCCTTGATTCACAATGCTATGGATTTATTTGAGTGACTTTTCATTTTAAATGATTTTTTGTTGATTGTACCTTTTATTTTATTTTTTAATCTACTGAGTCCTGTGTAATGTTCAGATTCAGTTTTGTGTCCTAGGTTGGGGCTTCAATCTTACATACACTTTTCTGGTAGGTAGCTTCATTGAACACACTTGGATTTACTTCTCAGTGACCTTGCATATAGATTCCTTTGTTAGAGATGATTCATGTGTTACAAGAGTGGTGAGGGAGCTGCTTTTGCATGGCTGGATTGCATGTCACTCTGGTCAAGCCTGTAATTAAAGGGCTCTGCATCATTATTGTTGTTATTATTAAGCCACTTCCTGTGAAACATCTCAAAGCTATTTCACAATACAATAAAAACATATATAAAACATTTGCACATCTAAGAACAATTACATATCCAATACAGATTGGGATAAAAATATCCACTTTCCTTCTTGAAAGAGGAATGCCGAAAAGACAATACATGCATTAAAAACAAAAACTGCCCAGTCTAAAAATATTTTAAGATATAAAGCAAGATATTAGATGACAAATAAAACAATAATATAAAGCAGGGGTGGGGAACATTTTGCATCCTGAGGGCCACTATACGGTGACCTTCTGAGGGAAGCATGTAAATGGTGGGCCAGAGACAAAACATGGATGTGGCTATGGATGACTCTTACTTCTTTGAGCTCAGCTACATTCCAACCACACAAAAACCAGCCAGGCAAAAGGTATCAAGGTAGGCATAGAGTAGGGCTGGTGTAGTCTGGGGAGGAGGCATGAGCTGGGCTTAGTCCCAAGTGTCAGTTAGAAATGCTCGGAGGCCTGCATTTAGCTACTGGACCTGAGGTTCCCCCCTGATATAAACAGTCTGCATCCAGAAGTGTGCTGATTTGTAATATACAGTACACCAGTTCTCTTTTGTTGACTAGCAAGTTCTGTGAGTGGCCTGCTTCATATGTCATGCTAAGCCAAACCATGGCTTGGCACAATTGCACAGGTTCCCAGAGCAAAGATCAGAGAACTTTGCTCCTTCCCATTGTTGTTGTGCTGTGCTGTTGCTTAGTATGTTGAATCTGGGAATGACACAGCCCCACAGACCTCTCCCACTAGCCCTTGGGACTCTCCCTAGGCTATGCCACCTCTCCAAGTTAAAGTTTTCATCAGCCCTGCTCTTCATCCTTCTTGATTGCTGTTGCCTGGCTGGAGGATGGGGTATGTGTGTGTGTCTGTGGAATCCTGAAGTATTTGTGTAGCTGCAATGTAGCCTATAGTACAAAAGTGTCGCTGTCCCTCCTCCTCTCTCTTCTTCTCCCCGTCCCCCTCCCCCATGTATCTTTAAACAGCCTGAGGCTTGATGCTTCTAGATACTGAGGATTAGTTTCTAAGCATGTGAGAAGACTGAAATGCAGACGCCTAATGTTTTATACCTCTGTTCTCTGATTCTGCCAGCAAAGCCCCTATTTCTACACAAAAGGGCAGAATCTCTGTTGGTCTATTGAACATGCCTTCCCTTCTACAAATGGCATTATTGCATTACTATTATTGATTAGAGAATGTTCATGGGGAAAAGCTGGGATTAACAGCTTAATTTCAGAGTCAAACCTCTTGTGTATTATAAGAGACACTGTTAACTCTCCAGTGCTCACTGATTTTCTGTCACAAATGCACTATGTCTGTTTGATACAATGTGTCCACTTCTCTCTGGTAATTGTTGGGTTGGAATATGAAAATTAAGATTACCATCAACTTTGTGTTCTCAGAAATATTATTTGAATCTAAGCTTGTTTTCAGCTGGACCTGGGCCCCTGGGATTTTGCAGATTGTGAAATTCAGAGCAAACCTTGGGCTTCCACATTCCTCCCACTGCTTCCACACCATGGAGGGAACGTGAACCAGGAGATAACATTTTGAATGCAGGGCCAGAGACTGCATTTTAGTGGGATCTTCTATTCTAGTCGTTGGCTGCCACTGTGATGATGAGGAAGCCTGAGATGGTCCTTATTATATTAATCGTATTTTATATAGTAGACAAGTCACAGGATTGGAAGTAGTTTTTTAAAAAGTTATATTAGTTCATGCTACACAACATTGACCTTTTTGTTGCTTTTGAGGATAGTAGTTCCCTATAGTTTGGCTTTAAGAGGTTTTGAGAATAACTAATTTTATTCTCACAACTCAAGTTACTATATAAAATGGCTGCAAGCAACTGGTGGGTACTCCTTTTTGCCTTGGTTTGATGAGGTGGTTTGGGGAATTTAAGATTAGACCTATTGATTACTTGTCATTTGTAGTCTACTGTGGGCTTCACTGAAAACAAGCAACTGCAATTACATAGTCTATTTGCGCTAACTCTTAACCACTAAAATGTGTGCAACTTTGAAAGACCTTAAAAAATAACACAATTATTATAGATGGCTTGAGGTTAGCACCAAGCATTTAGAAATGTGGGAATCTGGAATGTACCATTCTCATTGTTAAACTTGGGACTTAGATCAAAGAGTACATGCTACACAGACTGTGAAATACAAGGACTTAGATTGTTAGGTTCAGATCTTCAGAGTTTTGTTAGCTAGATCACAATGACAATGGAGTTTTGTTTTCAGAATAAGGGATATTTCTTAATTTATCCCCGAAAGTCAGCTTTTCTGCTTGCCACTGTGCAGTACTGAGAATAACAATCTTCCTCCTACTTATTCTTGAACATTTTAAGGTATGCTGTAATCGCTTTTGGCTGTGCAAGCTGTCCTAAACTTACATGTGGACGTGAAGGCTGTGGAACTGAATTTTGCTATCATTGTAAACAAATTTGGCATCCCAACCAGACTTGTGATGCTGCTCGCCAGGAGAGAGCCCAGAGTCTACGCTTGCGAACAATTCGTTCTTCGTCTATTAGCTACAGCCAGGAGTCTGGAGCAGCAGGTATTTATTACCTGAAATACTAGGTGTCTTTTAAACATTTTAAACTATCAGATAACTGTTTTGTTCACTGATTATTGATGTTTATTAAGAAAGGAGAGCTGAGTCCAGTAGCCCTTATTTTAACATTATGTAAATGGTGCAAACTTTCATAAACAGATGATCCAGAAGTCGACTGATAATGGTTGACTTAATAGAGGTTAACCAATATCATTGTTGCTGTTATTATTATTATTATTTATTAAATTTCTTTACCATACTTCATCCAAGGATCACAATGCAGTGAAAGTAGACATTTTCATGAATGTCTTGGTTTGAGATTCCATTCATGAATTATTTTGTTTTTATGATTACTTTTGGGGAGACCTTCAAAATATAAGCAATGATTTAAGTAGAAAGTGAAAGACAGAGCTTACTATACTAGATTTTTTTTATTTTAAAAAACTTCCCTTGTGCTTATACTTCTGCAGCTGATAACCATGCCTATCCACCTGTTTTAGAGGCAAAAGATTTATACAATATGAAGAGAAAACAGGCTATCTGTTGACTTACCTATGATAAGCTCCTTGGTAACCTGTGCAAGAGGACTGATTGCATATAATGCCTTGCTTTGTCAGTGAACTTATTTCACACTGGACAGCCAGAAACCTCATCAGAATCTTGGGCAAGGGGGAGGAGTTGGCATCGCTTTAGAGCATAATTACTGACTTGATTTAGAGTGAAAAACTTCACTGTACTCTCTGTTGGATTTTTATTTGGATATGGATAGTCAGAACATCTGACCCAGGTGCTTCTTTGTTATACTGAGTCACAGATGTTGACTTAGAGCAGGGGTTGCTAACCTTTTGGGACCAGTAGACATGGGCATAGCGGGGGGGCGGGCAGGGAGGGACAACTGCCCCCCCCATAAATAAAAATACATAGCTAACAGGTTCTGCCACCCTAACAAAAGGCTTGCCCCTCCTAAGAAAAATCCTGGCTACACCCATGCCAGTGAACATGTTTTGCCACAAAATGGCTGCCATAGGAACATGGTATAACACAAAATAAGAGAACATGGTCAGCCTCCTCAACCTCATGTTTATCATGGGAAGATCTGTGTCCTGCTGGTCTTGATTGTGGAGATGCAACTGTTAAAGGCACAAAACCCCCATTTCCCCCAGTGTCAATTCCTAAACCAAAGCCAAGGCTGCTATTTTGTACCCACTTACCTGGGAGTAAGTCCCATTAAGCACAGAGACTACTTCTGAAGGAGGTATGGGTATTGTTGATCTGTAAGTTAACTATACATTGAATTCTTAATGAGTGCCTGGAGTTCTCCTACACTGCAAGAGACACGCCTAAGCCACTTTCCCAAGTGTTCATGTTTTGCATTTGCCATATGGAAAAGGGATTATTTAGCTTCCACCCACGCTTACTGTGTCGTAGTAGTTGCAGAAAATAACTTCTAGAGAGTACCTGATCGCAAATGAACTATCCATAGGATATATGTGTCCTGGTTGCCATGGGGAAAAGGGGCAAACTATGGAGATTCCAAGGACTACTTGAAATAAGACAGATGCAGGAATAATTCACTAAAAGGGAGAAGAAAACAGAAGTTCTTTAGGATCCCAGGTGTCCAAACAGCGCTGACTTTCCTTGCTGACTGCGAACGACAGGCTGAAGCAACCGAGCTAGCTCATTGCACAAAAATTGCGTAAAGCGTACCTGCATGTACCTGTTATTATTTATGAATTTTGTATACATCCACAGATCTCCCGGTTCTCCAGTTAAATTTTTCTCCCTTTACGTTAATTCTTTATTAAGTTAGGCTGAACTTGGAATTGGTTGCAACCAGTTAAAATTTACAAACATTTCCAGACATGATTTTCAGTGTTGGTTGTTCTCATAAGCAGCATGGGTTCATTGGGTTTCTTTTTAAACAGCTGATGACATAAAGCCATGCCCACGCTGTGCTGCTTATATAATAAAGATGAATGATGGAAGCTGCAATCATATGACATGTGCAGTCTGTGGATGTGAATTCTGTTGGCTATGCATGAAGGAGATTTCAGACTTGCATTATTTAAGGTATGTATTGAAAGAGTTCATGTACCTCACTTCATGTTGTACCCCACTAATTAACAGCAGGCTAGGCTATAAATCCTTTAAAAGGAAGGAAGGAAGGAAGGAAGGAAGGAAGGAAGGAAGGAACAAGTGACATTTGTTTTGATCATGCACATTTGATGTAGTCTTTAGTTTGAGGTGGAATTCTATTTTCATACCTGGTTAGATTTTATATATATATAAAACTGGTTTGAGAGGGAGTTTACTGACATTAGATAAGGTAGGACTTTCCATTGCATGGGTGTCAACTACAGGAAGTGCCCTGCTTTCTATAGCTTGGTGCACACTGAAGCTCTCTTCAGAATATGATAAAGTGACGGGGAAACCCCAGGACTTACTGTGGGAGATTAGAAAATGGACTTCCTGCAGTAAATTTCACTAGGAAAGATAGAAATGGAGTCAAATCTATCACAACAATCCCCGCCTCCCATCATATGTCCTACATGCTTGGAGAAGCCTTTTGCAAAGAGGACATTCTGTTTGTTATTGTGTCTAGCTGTGTTCAGAACAAGTGGGACAGCTGCTGCCATAACACTTCATCAACAGGCCTTAGAGCTTTTGTCTAAGTAAAACACACAATTCCTAGAGAAAGACAAAACTTGTCAGATGTTTCAGTTAAATTTGAGGAAGGTAAATTTTCCCCATTCATAGTAAAGAGGTTCATTTAAAATGTAGGTGGAGAAACTTGGTTCCAAATCCTGAGTTGCACATTTTAGCATCAGCCCTGGGAAGAGCCATGATCTGATGGAACCAAAAAGAAAATGCACTGGATATAAATGTTGTACTGCTGGTTTGGTACTATATTAGTTTCAGATTACTCTCTCCACAACCTGAAACGTTACATTACGTTAGCACTTTTAGCAGGATTGCAGATTCAAGCATTCTTGCTCTCTCTGTTAGAGAATGTTATTATAAAACTGATGGTTAGTTAAGACTATTCACTGTGAGTCATAAGTTTGCCTTACTTACGGAAAATTTCTTCAAATAGTCCATCAGGTTGTACATTCTGGGGGAAAAAACCATGGAGTCGGAAGAAGAAAATACTGTGGCAACTAGGGACGCTTGTGGGGGCACCTGTGGGAATCGCCTTAATAGCAGGCATTGCTATTCCAGCTATGATTATTGGAATACCTGTATATGTGGGACGTAAGGTAAGGTGACTGTGTGTTTAGAGTCTTCAATTACATAGGACTTGGATACTTTTGTACACATGTTTAAGGCTTGTTCACACAGCAACATGTACTTTAAGATATTGTAGTAATATATATATAAAGAGAGAGAGAGACTGCCTTTAATCAACTTACATAAAGAAATGTACCTAGAACTAGGAAAAAAGTATAATTTTTTTAAAAACACACTTAAAAAAAGTATAATGCAGCAGCATAGAATTAAATAAGCTAGTAATATTTGCAAACAGTTTCTGTCTATAAATCTATGGCATTAAGATGCTTCATTTAAGAAAAGGCAGCTCAAAATAATATATATATATATATTTGCAGGAAATACTTCTCAGTTTTGTGATGTGCAATGCATTCTAAAATGCTCTTTTTCTTAAAGATTCACAATCGCTATGAAGGTAAAGACATTTCAAAGCACAAGAGGAACTTGGCCATTGCAGGTGGCGTAACCTTGTCCGTAATTGTTTCACCGGTTGTAGCTGCAGTAACTGTTGGTAAGTAAAGGTGCAGGTAAAAATCAGGAAAATCCTTTCAGAATTAGTTATTTGTACTGATTTATAAAACGCTTTGTTTACACTTTGCTGTAAAGGTGGGGCACAAAGAATTGATATTATTGATTCTGCTAGCCATTCATTTTGCAGCTCTGAACCCTATTTTCAAAAATGCATTACTAGCTTATAAAAGTATGTGGAGCTGAAACAATCCCTGTGCCTAAGCATTCTTCCCAATTATTGTAGGTTTGGTAAGATTCTCTCTGAAAACCAGGGCCTCAGTACAAGATACCTGTGTGTGTTCAGATATGTATGTGAGCCCTGGGGTCAAGCCCCATCAATTCCAAGGGAAGAACCACACCCAGTGGTACAAAACAGTGTACATACAGACCTGATTCATCAGTTGAAATGAATGGAAGAGGCATTAGAAGCAGAGAATCTCCGTGTCACATAGAAACTCCTGGCATCAGGAGGTGTTTATAGGATTGAGGGGGGGTATCTTTTTCATTTATAGTAGTAATTCAGCTTTTATTTTCTTTGCCACTTTTTGTGATAGCCTATTAAATTGTATAATAAGGAGATATTTGGTGATCTCTCTCTCTCGTGTGTGTGTGTGTGTGTGAGAGAGAGAGAGAGAGAGACAGACAGACAGACAGATAGAGATATCACACAACATGACAACTTTGTACTGATTATAGTGTTCTACATTTTCATTGCAGGAATTGGTGTCCCGATTATGTTGGCCTATGTGTATGGAGTAGTTCCTATCTCTCTCTGCCGAAGCGGAGGTTGCGGTGTATCGGCTGGCAATGGAAAGGGTGTCAGAATAGAATTTGATGATGAAAATGATATAACTGTTGGTGGAACAAATGCAGCAGTAGGTAAGGGAAGTCTATTCCAGTCTCTTCTCAATGTCTTCAGTTGATGGCTGGAGTTGATAGAAGATATACATGCTCTCTTCTTGCAGACATTGTAGCTATATCGGTCTAGGACCGGCACTAACCCAGATTCTTGGGACACATGGAAAAGCATAGCAGCAACCCTAGTAGTCACTGTTCCAGATTTTCCAAGAGCAGTGTCTTTCTCTACATTGAAGGACTTTCAGTGAAATGCTTTTCCTATTAATTTTAAGTACCACCCTTTTCATATTTAGATCTTCTTCTTTGGCAATCACTCGTACCCGAGTAAGATTGTCTTCCATAAACAAAGTTTTAACAATGAGTCCGTAAGTGACTGTGGAGGCCAATTCTGGATCCACACGTCCTTCCACAGTGGGGACACTGGTTTCCGGGCAGGAGTTGATCACGGTGTGGATTTGCCAACTGTGCTTTCCTCTTAGCACGTTTCTCCCTTGCGTCCTGAGTTAGTGTCTTTACCTTTACCTTTAATATTTAGATACCACATCAGTAGCAGAGGCACGTAATAACCCCAGCATAGGGGAAGAAAGTGTTGGAGGATTGACTGGAAGCCTGAGTGCAAGTGGTAGCCATATGGACAGAATGGGAGCAATTCGAGACAATCTGAGCGAAACTGCCAGCACTATGGCCCTGGCTGGAGCTAGTATAACAGGGAGTCTGTCGGGAAGTGCAATGGTCAACTGCTTTAACAGGTAAGATAATTTGTGTCCAAAGTTCAGCTTTTGTGTCTGCTTTTGTAAACAAACTACAGTTAGCTCTTAGAGGATGAACTTTTTCATGTTGTACATTCTGATGTGATACTTTTTTATTTTGATCTTATATAGTCTCAAAACAGTTACTTTGTTTACATGGATTAAAGAAGATTTCTGATCCCTGATTACTCAATTGCAGTTAAAGGAAGGGAAGGAAGTTCAGGCGCTACAAATTACATAGGCCACTTTGAAAGTTTCTGGCAACAGAATTTAGTGCAATGTGTTTGGTGTGTCAAAACTGTTGCTAAAAGGGGGGGCTTTGAGAGAAGATTCTTTTCTGAAATGAGTTGGGCTCATAAATGATATTTTATGCCCCTCTTTTTTTTTTTGCCAAATAGTGCTATTCTTCTGTAGTTGGTTTTCTGTCTCAACTACAGTGAGCAATGTACCAAAATAGCATAATGAATTCTACCTTCTACCATGTGTATGGCTTCAGGGGCAACAGGAAAATATTGTCTAAACATGGGTCTTTTGTAGTCTGGGAAGCTTTTGTTCTGACAGTAGCCAACTAGATAATAGAATCATAGTATCATAGAGTTGGAAAGGACCATGAGGTTCATATCGTCCAACCCATTGTGGGGCTCAAACCCACGACCCTAGGACCCTGAGTCTCATACTCTAGCCACATGCCTGTGAGTAGCTTGCAAGCAGAAGCTTCTAAAAGACTCCTAAGTGATATGAAAGCTGAAAGATAATAACAGAACTAAAATTGAATTTCTCCCCAAGGTTGGAAGTTCAAGCAGACGTGCAGAAGGAAAGGTGCAGTTTGAGTGGAGAGTCGGGCACCGTTAGTTTAGGAACAGTTAGTGACAATGCCAGCACCAAAGCGATGGCTGGATCCATTTTAAATTCATATATCCCATTGGACAGGTAAGAATTAAGTAGTGGAAATGTGAATAGAAATGCAGCTTATTCAGCTCTGTTAATTGAACGATGTCGTATTCAATATGCATACCTTGTAGTAGTCTGCAAAAGCAGCATTAATGAATTCCCCTTCTTTGAAATTTCTGGTATGATTGTTGTTGGATGTAACAATATTTTTTATCTATTTATTATCAAATTTCTGCCCCACTCTTCTGAAGTTCATTCCTTCAGAGCCAGGGAGGTGGTGGGATTTTTAGTTTCTTCTTGGTTTGAGCTGCTATTACTCAAATATAATTTTCTTGACCTGCAGATACAAAACCTTGTTAAATTCATTTTTTAAAAAAGCTTTGGATCTCTGCTTTTATGAAGTAACTTTGTCAATCAGATTTCTTGCTAGAACTATCCAAAATCTTCTTTGTCCACTTAGTACATCTGTTTTGCCTTGAAATAAAAGCTCTTGGCAGAATTTTTTTCCTGGCTTGGTTTTAAAAATGATATTTGCACATTTCTTTTTTATTGACAAACTGGTGTGAGATGTCTTTATATCTCCCCACCTCCCACAGTTTGCAAAGCTTGGTAAAGGTACCGTATTTTTCGCTCTATTGGACGCAGTTTTTCCTCTCCAAAAATTGAGAGGAAATGTGTGTGCGTCCTATAGAGCGAATGCAGGCTTGTGCCATAGCCGCGCGCAACCCCTCCGGCAGGGAAAGGCTGCACGGGGCTATGGCTTCTTTAGCCCTGCGCAGCGTCTCCCGGCACGGAGAGGCTGCACGGGGCTAAAGGGAAGGCAAAACAGCGGCGGGATCCATCCCGCTCGCTGCCTGCTGCCTTCTTCCATAGCTGCGCGCAACCCCTCCGCAAGGAGAGGCTGCACGGGGCTATGGCTTCTAGCCCCACGCAGCCTCTCCCTGCAAGGAGAGGCTGCACGGGCTAAAGGGAAGGCAAAACAGCGGCGGGATCCATCCCGCTTGCTGCCTTGCCTTCTTCCATAGCTGCGCACAACCCCTCTGGCAGGGAGAGGTTGTGTGCAGCCTGTACGCTGCTCTTTGGGGCTGTGGGGGAAAAATATTTTTTTCCTTGATTTCCCCCCCTAAAAACTGGGTGCTCCCTATGGTCCGGTGCGCCCTATGGTGCGAAAAATACGGTAGATCCAGCTTGGCTATCCTGTGAATTTCAGACTTATTCCATTCACAGAAAGGACTGAGGTCTTGTAGAGACTTCCTACTGGACAGGAGCAGTGATTTCCACCAATTCTTTCTGCAGGCCACCCCCCCAATGCCTCCGGGTAGTCCTCTGACTCTTAAACTGCTTTTGGCAGGCTGCAGGAGGAAGGAGGAATTGCTGAAAATTACCTCTCACCCTTTTCCATTTGGCATGTGTGGATCCAACCCTGTATGGTTTTTTTTCTGGATATCTTTTTAAATGGTTGATGGGCTTCTGGAATGTATGCTTGTGGATCCGTGGCACATTAAAGTTAGGAAGAAGTTCTCATAATGTGCTTTTAGATATGTGTACTAAAAACAGTGACAATTCCTATGACATTTCAAGGACTAAAATGGATTGTGACAAGAACTTCCAAGGCAAAACCCTACTGCAACTGATCCATGAAGTCAACAGTGAAGATAATGGATTATGTGCATAGGTCCAGTGAGAAATCCGATATGTTAATTATTTTCTTAAAGCAGAGTTTCAACACATAAATCAGTTGCAGTTCACAAGACTATATCGGCAGTTCTAAAAAAAGAAAAAAAAGAAACTAAACTTATATTTGAATAATAGTGGCTCATTTTTCCGTAAAGGGATAGGTAGAGATAAATAGAGGCAATGTTTCAGCACCTGAAATAGTTGCGTTTGTATTGTATTACATCATTTTATTAAAGGCAATATTAGCAGAATGAGTCACCAGGCTTTTAGTGCCACTTTTTCCTAAAGCTATACTGCATTGTGTTAAAATGCTTTTAAATTGCATTTTTCCATTTTTAATTTCACAAATTGATTTTTTTTTTAATGAATACTTCTCTCTTCTCCCCCTTCTAGAGATAGCAGCAGTATGGAGGTACAAGTAGACATTGAATCAAAGCCCACAAAATTCAGACACAACAGTGGCAGCAGTAGTGTTGACGATGGTAGTTCTGCAGGTCAAAGTAACGCTGGTTGTTCGTCAGCCTGCTTGTCAGAAAACAAATCTAGTGCCACCAAGTGGTCCAAAGATGCATCGGCAGGGAAAAAATGCAAAGGTAAACTAAGAAAAAAGAGTAGCATGAAGATAAATGAGACCAGAGAGGACATGGATGCTCAGTTATTAGAGCAACAAAGCACAAACTCCAGTGAATTTGACTCTCCCTCTCTCAGTGACAGTATCCCATCTGTAGCTGATTCCCACTCAAGTCATTTTTCTGAGTTTAGTTGCTCTGATATGGAGAGTATGAAAACCTCATGTAGCCATGGTTCCAGCGATTATCATACCCGGTTTACCACAGTTAACATTCTCCCAGAGGTAGAAAATGACCGTTTAGAAAACTCTCCACACCAAAGTGGCAATTCGTTGCTGATTCCAGCTGCTCCAAACTCAGAGGCTCCACAGCTGAGTTACATTGCTGAAGAATGTGTTTATAATGGGACTTCAAGTGTTGCAGATATGGGTACTGGTGAAACACTGAAAGAAGCAAACAACAACCATTCACAGCACGCTGTGGAGTTAAATGCTGCAATTCAGACTGAGATTTAAACCTGTAAGTGCTGCAGAAATGTATTTACCACTAAAGAGCCCTTTTCTGTTAGGTGGTCAGGTAACTTTCAGCGGCCATCAGAAGCAAAGCTTCAATGCAATTTACATTTTATATATCTCTATTAAGGCAGAATGCTTTGCGTGGAACTGTTGCAGAACTATGTGAAGTGACATGAAGGTGTAAACAAGTGCATTACAACGAAATGAATATGTTGATGTTTTGTATTATTGCCATAACTTTGCTGAAGGTCTGCATTTGGGTAGGGGCAAAAGTTGACTCATGTCAATTGCGGAAGTGACCACTTGTTAATGGGTATCATGTAAAAACTCAGTAAGTGGTTTCAAGTCCCCAGCAGTAACTTAACTTCAAGCTCTGATGAATAGCACCTAGCAAAAATAAGTTGCATTAACCATACCAAATATTTCAGTGCTGTTAATATTGTCTGGGACAGAATGTAATCTGTTCTAGGCAATGCTGAGACACACAACGTTCCCCAAGCAAGGTTATGGCATTTAATATAACTTTTAAGTATGAAAAACTGGTACTTGATATATGATAGGTAGCAAGGTGACGTCTCCTTATCAAGCAAGTGGGGGTAACTTAATTATATTTGCAACTGACAGCAGAAGGTAAGGTTATGATATGCTGTATAAAAGTTTTTGTAAAATTTAAGATCATTTTAATTTGTAATCCATTATAGTGAAGCTGATATAGTCGCCTTTCACCCAGGGGACTTCAGTTATGCTGTTTAATTCTTGGTGCCTTTGGAAAAGACTGGGGGTTTAAGTGCCTGGTCTGTTGATGCTTTCACTGTACAGTTTTCCAGAATGTTTTCTCTTGCCACCTTTTTGGAAGCTAAAGGAAAACTTCAGAAAATCAACTGACTGTGGTAGATTAATGGGTATCATAATACTGAAGTATTAGCCTACCAAAGACTCACTCAGGCTTTTAGTGGATAACTTTTCTGACATCCCTTTTGCGAGTCACATGCACAGAAATAAAGCACAGTGCAGAGCTTGCACATATACAAAATTTGGGCTTCAGATTTGGCTGGCTTTTGGGGCTTTCCCACATTATCCTCCTTATGGGAAGATATTGAGCTAAACATAAGCTGAAGCTAGCTCAGGCGTCTGCACTGTTAGGTGTTTGCTACACAATCCATAATGATATGTGCCCTCTGCCCCTCCCCCAAAAGAAAAAAAATGATTATCGTTGGCATAATAGCCTCCAATTTTTGTTCTGTGTTTTTTTGTAAGTATTGCCATTATGGTGCTACTGAAAGTTTGGTTGTATGAGAAGACGGCTGCTGTGAGCTGCAGCCCTCTTCCATGACTTCCCTTCACCAGTTTCTTTAATCGGCTTATAACACTAGTGCCAGATACGTCATTTGGTAACGCTTGTTACAATATTTGTATATTTGCTCTTTTCTTTTGCTCAATGATGTGTGTAAACTGCATACCTGAAATAAATGTCTGAGTACTATTTTGGTTGTCTTCTGTCCATTTGAACAAAGAACCTTTAGCCTGGAGATCAAGCATATACACTATTGGTGTGGGATGAAATAGCTGTTTCAAAGAATGGCCCCCGAAAGTAGTGTGTCTTCCATTTTCACCTCTCCCTTCTCAGCTACTTAATCAAGTTGGGCTGAGGCCATCAGAAATAGTTTATTGTGGTGAATATAGGACAAGAAGCATAGCTCAGCTGTGGAGCACATACATTCCTGGCATGCAGAATGTTCAATCTCTGGCATTTCCAGTTAAAAAGATCTGGTAGCAGGGAATGTGAAGTTGGTCTGTCTGTCAGACCTTGGGGAGCTACTGCCAGCCAGAGTACACAATACGGGCCTACATGGGCAAATAATCTCTCCTGTGACATTTCACAGAAAATATTCAATATGGCATCTTATTTTTATTTCCAGTATTTTTTACTACATTAAAACTGTTTTATGGCAAACAGTGTGTAATATAATTTTGTATGTCTTATCCTACAGATAAATGTAAACTTGGAAACGAAAGTTTGGCATGTTTTGCCATTTTTTAAAAACTTTAATTGGAAACCTGACCTGAACATTTTATTTAAAGAGTGTTTTATAATTTTGTTTTATTTGTTTTTATAATTGTATATTCAGTTTGTGTAGCACACCGTGGGATCTTATGATGGATGGTTAAGAAGACTTAATAAAAATAATACCGGTAATATGGTAGGAATTTTGTAAAATTCCTTTGCTTCCTAGTCAGATACTGCAAAATGGTCAAAACATCCTTAAAACTGCTTGATGTAGGAGTTCCTAATGGGTAGTTTCACTTCTGATAGCATATGAGTGGAGATGGCATAAGTCAGGTTTGGTATAATGGTATGTATGTGCTCCCAGTTATTTCCTTTGCTGCAGCAACCATATATTTACTGACCAACTATTATGCAGTACCTTATGAAAAATAAAAGACTGAACCATTAGGAACTTTTTTAGTTTTGGAAAAAAATACTAAAAGGGGAGGGGGACACGATAGATGTTTATAAAATGTATGGTGAGGGAAACAAATTATTCTCCTTTGCAAAGCACGAAGACCTTGGAGTCATCCACTAAAAGTAGATTCAGGATAGACAAGTACTTCACATACCACATAATTAAGGAATTCACTGCTACATGATGTGATGGCCACTGACTTAAAGGGGAAATAAATAATTTATCCATGAATCTTGTCTATCAGTCAATGTCGATTAGCCAGCAAACTAAATGGGAGTCTCCTTGGTCAGAAGTAGTGTACTACTGAATCCCAGCTGCTGGTGACAAGCTCCTGAGGGCTGGGGCCATACTTGAAGGTATCTAAGAAACATCTGATTGACCACTGTTGGAAACAGTCTTTTGCTCTGATCTGACAGTGCTGTTAAGTAAGATCACAGGTTCCACATATTATAAAGAATTAGCTTTATGAACCACTATAGTGGAAGAAACTTGCGCAACAAGGTTTGTAATGTGTAGATGTCATCATTTTTGAATCTTTTTAATTCACTCATACTTCTGTGTGACTGCAGGGCCCAGGCTAGGAAAGAAGCTGCTGCCAAGATAGAAAAAAGCTCATGCGTTCTCTTCGTACTCCACACCTGACTAAATGTAAGGAGTTATGGAATTTCCTTTGGAGTGCACTAAGTTTTGAGTCTTGCAGTTCTTGGTTTGGATTCTTTTTAAGCAACTATGAAAGCTCAGTATTTCTATTACTCGATTTTCATACCTGTACAATTAAAACTGTGGTTGTGAATCATCCTTCCTCAAATGGGAAGACAAGTGTTAATACAGGGTTCATTTGCATAGCTTTTGGCTTCCAGTGTCTATGTCTCCATTTAAGCTCTGCTTGAAAAGCCCATTTAAATACACCCTCTTCTCTGTAGAGTGTAATTGTTGCTATCTTTTCTCTAAACTCACTTTCAACCAATCAATCAGTAGCAGTGGCTGAATTTCAAGCAGTGCTGTTAATTCACCTCACATGGGAGGTTAGCTGAATATCTGCAGGAAGGTGGATGGGCTGTGCTGCAAGAACCATGGGCACAGTACTTCCAGAAACCAGCATATGCATGCCACTTTTTGGCATTTAAGTATGGTGACAGAATCAGTAAGTTATGCACTTGTGCACCTTTGTCTATATTTGCATACTGGTGAAGGATATAGCAATGGGGAATAGGTGGACAGATAGGGACTGGAAGCATGAAGCAAGGATCTGTGACTGACACTGGACTATTAGTAGCCATCTCTAAATTCATGTTCTCTATTGGCAGCAGGATTTAAAGATTTTTAAAATTTTAGGAGAGTCACCTGCCAGACTTTGTGGAACAAGCCCATGGAAAACTGGAATATGCATTGCCTTTACGATTCCATAGAATATTAGATCAACTGTGAGCTTTTAATACTATAAGCCCTTTCTCACAGTCTTTGCCAGCTCCTTGAGGCTATTTCTACTGACCTTGTTTTATTTCTGTTACTTTGTGGAAGACTTCTATTCTAAACAAGCTTTCAGAGAGTGGGTCTTCTCTGGAGTTAGGGCTTTTTAGCCTTCTACAACATTTAGCCTGTGTAGATGACATCTAAATATAGGACTTATTCCTCTTAATAGTGAACTCACAATCAAACTGGGGCTACTGAGAAATGAGAAATTAGCACGCTTGGGGAAGCCAGAGGTTCCAGAAGTATAAAACATCTAAAAAGCAAATACCCTAACGGGACCATCTTCCTTAAACAGCCCAATGAGAGTTGAGCTTCCTCAGTGATCATTGGAAGGAGCCTCTTAAATGCTATATAAGTTGGAAAAGCCAAACAAAGTTGAAGGTCAGGAATTTGGCTGGCTTCCTTTAGCTGTTTACAGTACTGTGTTCTGGAGGAAGGCATGGACATCTGCCTGGATTCCTGAAAAGGAGCACTTCTGTTACTGGGTAAGGATATACTGCAATAGGTCTCACTTGTTGATATCTACTGTAATTGCTATAGGTATTCATATACATGGCTATGCTAAATATGTAAGTAGCAATTCATGCACACCAGTAGCAACTTTTATTCTACATATAGCAATTTTGTAACAACTCTCAGTGTGCTAGCCATCACATGAATCTTGACTTCAGAGTGGACAATTTGCTGGCCAACCTTGAGCAAGTTGCAGGATGTTTAGATGACTGTGTTGCTGCAAGTCAGGATAACTTGTTGAGCAAAGGAAATAGGCTCCTTGTCTTAGTCTAATGATTGAGTTAGAAGAAAATACTGAAATTAAATGTTACTCTTTGACTTTCTAAGAAAAAGAGGTTTATATGGTGAAATAGATATTTGTTTAGGCTGCACATGAAATATTAATCTCTGTACTTTTAAGAGCCACAACTTACATATTTTTGAAATAATTGTGATACATAAAGGCTTTTAAATACATACTAAATCAAGTGAGTGTTTGTGTTAATTAAAAAGCACATCTTAACTATAAGACTGCAATAATGAGGTTAATTCGGTTTAAGATGCAAATGAACAAGAGATCAACGGATGAGTAAGCTAAAATTACTTAAGTTCTAAATTAAGAACACTAGTAGCATTTTAATGTAAACCTATTAGCATTCCAGGAAGCAAACCATACCATTTAGGTACCCTGCACCTATCTGCAAATCAGTGTCCATGGAAGAGCCCTGAACAAAACTAGCTTAGGGTTGACAAGGTGGTCAAGTGACAACTAATGAAACATTGAAGATAGAAAATGATTTTGAAGTACTTTTAAAAAGTTTCATATGAATATGAATATGATCCTGGTATCCTTTGACTGAACGAAATGATATGACTTATAGGGCTATCAATGGCTAATAGCTGTCAATACCCTGAGAATTTTGTAATCGGACCTATCAAGGCTATTAAGTAGGTAAAATGCAAGCTGTATGTGCACGTGTCTTGTGTAGGGTAGGACTTTTTGACAGATTTGTCCAAGAATTATGGACAATGCAGCTTTTTGTTTCAGTTAAAAAGAGTAATGTTTAATACTAATCTACCCTACACATAAGGATATAGACAATATATAATATGAATAAATGAAACCTAATAGGGAAAATAGCTAATTTCACGGTACTAGGATAATGTTCAACACTATACATTAAGTTACAAATCATTCAGGTACAGATACCCTTCAAAATTAAATCTGTAGGTAGGTTTATGTTGTTGTCTGGTATAAGCAAAACACTTAATAAAATACCGTCTACCGTTAGTTCAAACCAAAATTAACTAACATCCACTGAAACCAGGTTCAGGTTGCTAAGTTAAGCCTAGGCCCCAGAAAGCATATACAAGGAAAACAAGAAAATACTGCTTGTAATAAATGGCAGTGAAAAACTGCCTTAAGCATGATTTTACTTGGAGCAGATGAACTGCTTACCCTGATTTTTTTGTGTATATGGGCTTATAGGACACAGCCTTGCTCCACCTCACAAATAGGTTTCTAATGTGAATCTGCCTATAGAAGCTGTTATGCAAGAGAACTGTCTTTAGAGAGTTTATGCCTCTTCCTATTTAAGAATGCAACTGAAATGTAATATCTATTCTTTGTTATTACTTGAAATGACCTCTAAAAATGAGCTAGAAACTGATATATGACAGAGAACAGAACCAGTTATCAGAGGATACCAAATTATTACAGAGGACATTCCTACATTTGGACTGGGCAATTAACAAGAGTTAAATTGGGAGCATAAAAGTCCCCATTTCATATTTACCAACGATATCTAAATTATTGCAGTCTTCTAGAAAGTATCTTGCCAGTGTGGAAAGCATCCTAAAACTGTTGCCTTGCTACGCTAGGGCAATGAAAAGGCAAAAACACAAATATGCCAAATATATTTATTTTTAAATATTTTCTTGTAAGGGTTCTTCAAGGAAACAACTTTCAACCGGGTTAAAGTCTTAAGGTAACAGAAATGTCATACATAGGTTATTTAATAATGGGGAAAGTCACTGACTAACATCACCTTCAAAATAGTGCAAGTACCTGAGCAGTCCCTCCCATAATAAAATTTGATATGCACACTAACAATAAATTACGAATCTCTGGTTTAAAAATATAACAATTCTATTGCTTTAAAACATTTAACAACATAGTCTATCCTGCTCCCGTTTTGCTGTTCACCAGTAGTCCACAAGCCATATGAAATGATTTTTGCATACCTAGAAGACACAAAGTAGAAGACGACCAAACTGTCCCTTCTTGGAACCTGCTTACCAAAGTGCGGATTTAACTTTACACATTCAGTGCCATAAAGCATTTTACTGCATATATTTAAGTTAGCATTGAATTTTAAGAAGTGTGCCAGTGTTTTCCTTTGAAGCCACACAGAATTGGAGCTAGATGCAAATGTTTGTCCAAGTGCGTCGGCAACTGATGGAAAGAAAGGTAGGTTTCAGCTGCACTGCAGTTAGATGTGACTAGCAGGAAAAAAATGAAGGCTATAGGCACAAATGCACTAGGATTGTTTTTCGGCATAAGCCCCACTGAAAGATAATGATGCACAATTTCCATTCTGTCAATGGGACTTTTGTACAAGATGTTCTCCATCAATTCTGCTACATGTCCAAAGACATTTCTGAAATAGTAGCATCTTTAGAAGACTCTCCTGTATTACAAGAAAGGGAATACAACATAGGTGGCTATATTCAGCCCCATTAATACAGCTTGATGTCATTGAATACATTCTGATTATTAGATAAATATACTGTTATACATGGGACCCACATTTTAGAAACTGTTGATTTGTCCCAGAGAACCATGTCCTCACTGGCTCATGTGTTCTCTCTGAAAAGAATGTGCAAGCCTGAGTCCTGTGCTCCCAATCTCATTGTATAATTGCAGGAACAAAATGGTGAGTGAACAGGCCCATTACTTATAAAGCCATGCGTGTGTACTCTGTGGGATAAAATATATACAAGACAGAAGAGCAGACTTTTCAGTGTGCAAGTACTGTAAAAAAAAATGTACAGCATATTGAACAGTCCAGATAAAAGACTGACTTTACCTCATGCAAGCCTGCATAGTTTATATGCCCGTCCTACAAGCATTAAGGGAATGCATGCTAGAGGCAGTTCCAAAATGAAGTTGTTTAAAGTTCAAAGTCTCTCTTAAGGCTCTTCAGATCATCTAAAGAAAATTGTTGGTTTTCCTCTTTGGAAAGAGAATCAAACAGTTGTTGAACCTGTTCTACTTCATTCTTACTAAGTAGTGTTAGCACCATCTGAAAAGGAAAAAAAAAAGTGTGGTTAGCCTTTATAAATGGTATCGGCAAATGGTTATTTGTCTAAATGCCTAGTAAATGCTAGCATTTCATAAACATGTACATTTTCAGAAATAATTGGCAGCAAATGCCATAATTCCTTACCTTAAACCTTTCTGCTCTACTCAGGTGGACAAGATGCTGGTACACCAGACCAGGGTCTTGGCAAAATACATCCGACTGCAGGGCTTGGATAAAGAGCAGAAAAATGTCTCCTTCTAGTTTGTTGCTTAAAAGGGCTGGTAAATCTTTTGGCTCAATCGCTGTCAAGAGCTCTGCACAAGCGGCGATGTCCTTATTGGCATTCACAACATTTATAATCTGACCAAATTCATAGGCATTAGATGGCTTTGAAATAATGAGTTTTTCTGAACTATTCATTGGCACTGTGTCAGGCTCTCCTTTAGCGCTGTCATGCTTTGATGTCGCCTTCTCTGAAGCACAGGTCTCTCTAGCTTCCTCTTCCACCTTCACAAAGAAATAACCACATGCCCAGTTGGTTTTGATATATGTATGCAACATGTAACATTTCATAATTGTGATAAGCAGGAGCACAGTCAGAGAAATTATTATTGCCACCTGAGTAAAACTTAAAATGTCTCTTGGGAGAAAGATTTTCATAAGTTAATTCGGTCCTAGACACCATCAAAATGATTTATTCAATGTCTGACCCTGTTCACATGTGCAGCTGCCAGATTATAACATAGATGAGCTTGATTGTGGTGGCTCCATCCCTCTCAGTGGAGTGCTGACTGCATGGTAAAAAAGGATGTAAAAAATTATGCCTGGCTCCACCCATTTGCTCATGTTCATCCTCTGCACGCCCATGCCGTGCAGGTCTCTCATATGTTTAACTGACCTCCACATAGCTGGCTGCACATGTGATGGGGTGTCTGCAATCAGAGCAGCGTATACTAAAAGCAGTAAACAAACTGGTGCACTTACAAAATCAGAGAGGTTGTGTGAGGGAGGGACTATTAACTCCAGCATCAAAAAACTTTTGTTCAGAACCAAGAGACTGGGCTGAGTCTAGGATAAGAGTTACCAACCTTTGGCGGCCTGTGGGCACATCTGCAAACCAGGGAAACTGCCATGGGCATCACACCCACACTGTAACACATTCTACTAGCTACAACAGAAAGCTACTTTCATACCTACCATATTGGCCTGGATATACGGTAAGCCTCACTTTCCCCCAAAATTTCGACCATGAAAAGTTAAAAGTGCGGCTTATATTCGCGACCTTACAGTATGCATCCAGGAGAGCGGCAAAGCAGCACCCGCCCCGTGTGCAGTCCCCCGTCCTCTCCCCCAAGGCTGGGAAGGGAGAGAGCGAGAAAGGGGAAAGGCCGCTGGCAAAGCAGCACGGCTCCACCGCCACCCAGTATGCAGCCAGGAACACCTTATATTTGGGTTCTTTTCTTCCCCCCCTCCAATTTCAAAGGTGTGGCTTATATTTGGGCCAATACGGTAATTTCAGTGGAGGAGAGGAGACCCTCAGATGCCAGGGAAGCCCTTGGTGATCACATGTGCACCTGCAATGCAATGTTGGTGGCCCTTGATCCAGGGCATTTCCCTCTTGCTTCCACCCTGCCCACTTGCTGATTTGGGCTTTTGCTGTCCCTCAATCACTCGACAATAATCTTGACTCAACGGCAAGTGCATAACAACATTGATAGTTAAAATAAAGTGCAAGTAAACACTAACGTGATACTCATTCCTATTTTATAATTATGTTTTTCATCTTTTCATCTGTTAGGATTCTCTGTTTTAGATACATTATAAAATTTAATAATAATAAAGCTTCACAGAAAATGAAAATGGGGAATGAAACGGAAATTAAAATGAAAATGGGGAATGAAATGGAAATTAGGATCAGAAATTATATACAGGCAAAGATGACAGAGAACTGGCAGGACTGAGAGATGAAACTATGGCAAAACTGGAAGGAACAACTGATGAAATGGAAGTACCCACTATACAAGTGTTTGGAGAAATGAAGGTAAGATTTTGGAAAACAAAAATGACATAAATGAAGAGAGATCTGGATAATCTTTCATCGATGGAATTGAGAGAGAAAGAATTTGACCTATGACTTGGAGTGATCCCAGGGATAAAGCAATTAAATCTCTGGCATTCTTTTTGGAAAGAGAAACACAAAAGGAAGAGTCAGTACTAGATAAGGCTGAAAAAACATGGCAAATACAACAGGAAGTGGAAATTGAAGATACAGAACTGGGTGTGGGCCAATGGCTACATAAGAAAAGGATTTTGGAATATTGTCTCAGTATACTATCACAGCAGATAGATTCTTATATGCACAAAGGAGGAAACTGGAGGCAAAGTTTAAACAATTAGAGGGGGGGAGCATTCTTGGCATTTATCATTATTAACTGGGAACCCCTTTTTGAGTGAAAAGGAAAATGAACACATAGTTAATATACCACTCCTCATCATAAAATCTCAGGGTGGTTCAATTTTCACATTTATAGTTTTTTTAAAGAAAATTTGCCAAGCACATAAAGCTGAATGCAAACAAGTTGTGAGTTACCTGTAATATAGAAAAGGAAGCAATGGGACTAAGAGGGCATTTTAAATTTAAATACAGCATCAAGATTTTAAGCATTACAAATACTTTGGCTGTAATAAGTAACATTCTAAACTACCTTACCTTAGTACTGTAATGGGATTCTCTTTATGACTGCTATATAATAAGCAATAAGTAAGCCAAAACTATTTACTTTAATGTGGTGTTTACTATGTGATAATCAGCTGGTGGCTAGCCACATTTGTTTATAACATCAAACAAAACAGGATCCTGTTAATAAAATACAAGTCCAGAAGACCTTAAGCATTATTTGCAAAGGTATAGACTAGCTGGTCCTAGCCTTCCACTATTTTCTCAGAAAAGAGTCCCCATAACCAGCAGGTCTACAACTGCCTTGCACAACTTACCGTATTTTTCGCTCTATAAGATGCACCAGACCATAAGACGCACCTAGTTTTTGGAGGAGGAAAACAAGGGGGGGGGGGGGGAATCTGAATCCCAGAAGCCAGAACAGCAAGAGGGATCGCTGCACAGTGAAAGCAGTGATCCCTCTTGCTGTTCTGGCTTCTGGGATAGCTGCGCAGCCTGCATTCGCTCCATAAGACGCACACACATTTCCCCTTACTTTTTAGGAGGGAAAAAGTGAGTCTTATAGAGCAAAAAATACGGTACTTAGCTTGCCAGTTACCACAAAGTGCTTGAGAACTCAGCAGTTCAATCCAGACATTTCATAAGGAGGTCTGAATCTTACACACTTATAGGCCCAGTACATGATTTTTTTTTTAACTGAATACCTCTTGGATTTCAATTTTTTTCCTTTGCTTTTGTTGCCCGTTGACTGTATGCTCATTTTTCAGTTTTAACAACTGTGTTGTTTCCTGCAGCTCCTTCTTTGCTTCATCAATATTTGAATCTATTAGAAGAACTTTCTTCAAATCATCAATACTGGCTTTGTAGTTCTGAAATGTTTAAAAAGTCAATTATTGGCCTTATAAACTGGATAGCTGGAAATATCACAAAACATAGTAAGAACTGGCATTAAGACTAGGTCAAGTGATGCTGTGACTACCACACAGTGTTCCTCCAAATCAGCAGTCAGCATTTTTCCATTTCTGTTTCTTCAAACAACAGGAATTCGCCCTCCAAACTTTTGATAATTTAAATGTTATCATTTATGCTATAACTAACACTGAGCAAGTTAAGAGCTAAAACTCTTTTCTTACCTGTAATCCTTTGTATGCTAGAGCTCTTCTATATAAAGCTTTTATGTTAGAGTCATCAATCTGAAGAACATGATCACAATCCTTTTTGGCTTCTTCATATTGAAACAGCTTCAAGTAACAAAGGGCCCTATAGAGTAAAAAGAAAAAGCACTGTAAGAACATAGGGTAGCACCCACAGAACCCTGAGGCCAATTCTCAAAGTCCCATTATTTGTATATTAAGAAATGTGTATAGTTGTAGTTATAAGAATGGCTAAATCCAACCTAAGTTTGATTCTGATATACAGTCGTACCACGGTCTTCACAAAAAAGAAGAAGAAGAAGACGACGACGAGAAGAGTTTGGATTTGATATCCCGCCTTTCACTCCCTTTAAGGAGTCTCAAAGCGGCTAACAATCTCCTTTCCCTTCCTCCCCCACAACAAACACTCTGTGAGGTGCTTGGGGCTGAGAGACTTCAGAGAAGTGTGACTAGCCCAAGGTCACCCAGCAGCTGCATGTGGAGGAAGCGGGGAATTGAACCCGGTTCCCCAGATTACGAGACTACCGCTCTTAACCACTACACCACACTTGCGTTCCGGAAGTCTGTCCGACTTCCAAAACATTTGGAAACCAAGGTGCAGCTTCCGGTTGGCTGTAGGAGTGTTCTGCAGCCAATCGGAAGCCGCGCCAGACGTTCAGCTTCCAAGGCAAAGTTTGCAACATCTACTTCCGGGTTGGCAGCATTTGAGTTCCAAGTTGTTCGTGAACTAAGCTGTTCAAAAACCGAGGTACAACTGTACTAGTTGGAAAGGCAATATGAGAATTGTGTGCCCAGATGTTTATGGTCCTCCCTGCATAGCAGAGTATAAACGTCTTAATATAAAGGCATAGACTTTCATATAACAGAACTGTAATGAAACTAGCTTTCAATTACAAAATTAAAGTTGGACAAAATCAATTTCCCACTAAAATGAATGACAAATGCCTGCTGATTTGAATAAGCTGGGTTGCATCTGATAGTGTTTTAAAATTCTTCTTACCTGTTAGTGTAGATAGTCTGTTCCTGGGAATTTAATTTGATGCATTCATTGTACTTTATCAATGCTTCTTCATAGTTACCCTTTTTCACAAATTCATTTCCTTTATTCTTAAGTGACTTGAACATTTCTTCTGGTTTTTCATCTATTTTCCCAAACAGATAAACAGATTATCAGTCATCGGCAAACTTGAGTAGGGAGAACATTCATGCACTAGTTTTGCGGCATTCAGAAAGCAAGGCTGGAATTCATAGAGTATGGATCTATTTCTTAAGAGCAAGTTCATACCATCACGCTTTTCACTGGATAATTCAGGCTTTGGGGGAACAAGAAGTTGTAGAGGAAGCAAAAATTAAGAACTCCCTCCCCCAGCCCATGCAAGGACACTGCAGTGAGAGTATGAAAGCTATATATGCAGCTCTTTTGTTACTAGCAGGAATTTCCCAAGTATTAAGCTTTCTCAAATAAAACATTTATCAGCAATCATGTTACACATACTAGGAAAATGTGACTGTTGATCTCCATGCTTGGCTGCATTTTTCTTCTGCTTTGGCTCTGCAGTAACACTTCCTCCATCCCACCAATGTAACTGAGCAGAAACTGGAACAACAGGAATCGGGGACAGCTTCTCCCTCCAATTTGGGCCATCCTCCTCTATTAAAGTTCTTGTTATCCTAGAGAAAAACAAGGTGTTGTTTTTTTTTCACCGACGGCAATAAAATGCAGTAAACTAATTAGGTACGGTAATTAAAATACTGCAACAATTTAAATGGTATGCATTCAAGTTTTTAAAAATCTTCTTTAAAAAATCACATTAAGCTGTTTTTATTTATTATCCATACCCATGTTATCTTTAGAATGCTAGTAACAATAACATTATCTATTGAATATGTCAACTAAGTACAAGCATGAAAGCCACATTGAACTGTTTATCTCTTTCAGACCCAGTGAGAACCACGTGCATAGTACACACAAATCAGCCCCAAGATAATCAGATTCTGTTTATTTTGTATTGCTAGGAGCATTCCACTCATATATTTTGAGGTATTCAATAATTACTTCATAGGAATCAAATTCAAACCAAAAGAGTATTTTTTCAAACTTCATGTTTTATAATACTATGCCAACTTAGTTTAATTCTATTTCACATAGTGCAGAAACAAATACTTTGCAAGCTGAAAATGAATTACCAGAAGGAGAAGGAAGCAGCTGAAATAAGGAGATGGGTTGCCAGGAAGAGAGCAATAAGCAGTGAAGCAAAAGCATAAGTAAGACCTAGAGAGGGGCTGGGGAGTCCATGTGTTCAGAATTACGCAGGAGAAGCCATCATAAGAAGCAAGAAAGTAGAAGGTATTTGGAGTAATTCTTAAAACATCTAAATGCAAATATAAGATGAAAAGAATGGAAATCCTAAGTTTATGACCTCCAATTTCTACTTCATCTATTTCACATGACAGAAAACACCTGAATATACATAGCCCCAATTAAATATATTCAGTGATATTTGATGTCAGTCATATTCAGAGCAGGACAACTGAAATCAATGGGCAAGTTATGTTAAGCCCAAGGTTTTCAGTGGGTCTATTAACACTGGGTGCTTCCCACCATTTCTCAAAGCAAATATGGAATAAAACATTTTCTGTTCAACCAAAGCAAGACACAAATCTCTCAAGCACTTTTCAAAGACTGATGGACATGCCATGAACACTGTTTATTTCTTTAAATATCACAGGGTTTAGTTTCAAATAGTTTACATCTGCACCAGACCACCACAGTACAAAAGGCTATCCAAGCTAGTCTAAAATACATTGTATGGCCTACAATGTTTTGTGGATTGAACATTAAAAAATGTTATTCAGTGTGATGAATACAAGATAAAATGGAAATATTGCACATATGACTTAGTGTTGGAATGTTAAACTCTTACAAAGCTCCAACTGTAAACTCATTAAAATTCCAGGGTTATGAACCTAAGCTCTTGTTTGGACAAATGATGGAAAAATAGTATCTTGAGAAATCACAAGAGCCATATTTAATAAAACTTAAAACATGAACTAAAATTGATAGCACTTAAGAGACATGTATAATCATCTCAGGTGACAAAAATAAAAGGGAATTATTTATTATATATAAGCAGTTTTATAACTTGAAAATTATTATTTTTAATGATTACCCCCTTTTTAATAACATCCAAAGTGTGCTAGGAAAGAAAAAAAAACTTTATAGTAGCAGATCTTGGTAGATAGCTCCCTAATTGGCATGTCAGTTCAGTTTCCAAGTAGTGTGTCCCAAAAGTGAAGTGGGGTTATTATTATGGTTCCTCAAACTAATATTAGACTTTCAGTGGTGACAGACATATAGGTATATTATGTACATTAATAATTGGCCTTTAGTGCAAGAAACACTTAACTGAGTGGTCAACAACAAACCACTTTTCTTAAAGGCTCCCTATTAATACAGTAATGTACAGTACAGATCTTAGAATTAAATCTGGCAGTACACTAGAGATCAATTTACGGGGAAACTAAAACTGCACTAAATTTATTGTGCCAATACAGTTATCACAGCAATAAAGCGAACTTATTAGTACATTAATCAAGATGTTTAGGCCAAATGGTTTCATTTTGAAAGCTGCATTCATAGCAAACCTCTGCAATGGTATTCTGCTCCAATACATGCAGGCTTCTTCGTACAAATATCCCCAGCAACGTGGGAGTTACATCCACAGAAAAGGATGTTGCACAAGATTATATGCATGTTTTATTTAAAAACATGTACATATATATCACTTAGTATTTTTAAAAAACAAATGGTATACAGTCTAAAAAGGAACAATATTTCATTAAAACAAAAACACAACCCAAGACCCGCAAGAAATAGTAAAACACATAAAAGCAAATAAAGCAGAAATCTGGATGATTTCAAACTTGTACAACTTTATGAGTCAGGGAAAGTCTGGGCAAAAACATAAGTCTTCAGCAGACATTGAAAGCATCTGTCCAAGAGGGACACTATTTGCTTGTTCAGTTCTCTATGAAGGTCACCTACCAGGACAACCAAAGTAGTTTCTGTCCCAAATCCAAACAAGAAACCAGACTGAAAAGGATCTAAATACCCTCTATCTAGAAATATAAAGAATTTGGGTGTCATTTATGCTGGTTTACGACCATAATAAATATTTGTTGCTGCTGGGTTCCATCACTAGATGCTTAAGCACTTTGTCCAAAAATGGTATGCAGGACACAGACGACTAATTGCCCAGATTGGTGGCATCCAAGAAAACATTGCAAGTCACCTTTTCACCATAACTTCCTTTCCTGCCTTCTCGCAAAGAAGCATTTACTGATTCACCTAACCAAGCAGTCCACCTCTTGCTGCAAGATCCTTGGAGGTATAAGGCTATTATGTGTACAATCGATCCTTGCCTGTTGTAGGCTTCAAACCTCCAATGATGCACAAGCTGAAGTGTATCCATAATAACAGGGTGAGCAAGAGTTCTAAATGCACATAATGATTCTGCAATTACTATGGCATTCAAGACAGAGTGGATGTGAGCGACTTCATGCAGGAAATGTCTTGTAAACAAGTGTAGACAACAGATCAGTTGGGTAGAGCATGAGACTCTTAATCTCAGGGTTGTGGGTTTCAGCCCCACATTAGGCAAAAAGATTCCTGTATTGAAGGGGGGGTTGGATGAGATGTCTCTTGTGGTCCCTTCAAACTTTACAATTATATGTTTATAATATTCTATGAAATCAGTTACAGTAAGGGTAAATGCCCTCTCACCACTCGGAAAAGCTACACTTGCCAAAATCACATGGACCAAATTATGATGGAACAGTAACATTTAATAGCCACCATCACTACTACCACTGAGTACCACCAAAGAGTCTGAAAATGGGCTCTAGTCCATGTTGGGTTGGATTCACTTTGAATATTTCACCACTGTGTGTCTAGCTGATGTACCTGCTATTTCACTGTTTCAATCATCCCAGAAACTGTGGAGCTGGGCTTTAAAAAGTGAAGTAGAGATTTAGAAGCAATCATGTCAACTGCCCTAGTCATTTCCCCATTCTAGAAGCAGCACTGCTAGACATGGCAATAGGAAACTCCAAAGAAGCATCAGGAATCCATTTGGATGAATCCATTCCCAGGCAAACTGTTCTAAATCGGTTCCCCACCCCTGCAGAGATTAGAGGTCCCAGTGAACCTTAACACTGTGAGGCAGCAATCTGTTCCTTATAAAGGGACCACATCAGGTTCCCTAGAACCCATCATTCTGTCAAGTACAAAACACCATATCAACATTATAACCTGCCAGAAGCATGAAGCTCAATAATGATTGAGACTGACCCATGGTGGTCATGCAGCCATGAAATCCTTAAATTCTCCAGACAAATGTATAATTAATTCCCTCAGGTTCACCAACCTGGGTGACTCCAAACCATTTTATATCAAAACCACTACTGCTAAATAAGGCAGAGAAACTGATGGTGGTGAGCATATTTACTAAATCACCTTCCACATATATATCTCAAGGTAACGTACAGAACAGAATAAAAAGCAACTAAAAACAGCACAAAAAATAATAGATGAATTTTAAAAGGAGGGTATGCAGTAAAGGAGGCAGTATACAGCCCCCATTTTTAATTATTTTAACCCATCATATGGGTTAAAATATATATATCTAGAATTAGATTATCACTAAACAGGCACCTGGCCACAAAAGATTTTGGTCCCCATTCAACAGATCAGTATATGAAGTCCATTTAGATGAACTGACACTGAAGCTTGTAGTCGTTCCACATTGGCATGCTACAATTTTATGTTCATGTTATAAATGGTTTTACCTGTTAACACTGTCATTTGCTACCTGGATTCCACTGTCTATTTGTAGTACTGTTTTATAATCGACATATGCCTGCCGATATCGTTCCATAGACTCATAGGCCATTGCTCGACGCAGAAGAGGTTTCAGAGAATATGGATGAAGTTCTAATGCACTAAGGACAAATGGCCAGAAGTTATTACAAATAATTGAAAGAAAAACACAGAAAAAAACATGCAGAATTCCGATATGCTTATAAACATGTATATTTCAGATATGGGCCTATCCTAAAATAAATCGAAGGGAAAGGAAATAATGTACCAAGCGGTCTATTGCTATTTTATTATATTATTTTTTATGTTGGGACAATATAAAGGAAAGTCTATTAATCATATAGATAAGAGATAGATTTAAACTGAGTGATACTTATTAGCAGAGAAGCAACTCAGAGGATTAATGGTTATCGCGCTTAAAGTAGTATCTAGGTCAGGAGTAGGGAATTTATGGCCCTCCAGATGCCACTGGACTACAGCTCCTATCATCCCTGACCATTGGCCATGTTGGCTGAGGCTGGTGGGAGCTGGAGTTCAACAACTTCTGGAGGGCCACAGATTCCCCATCCCTGGAAACCCAGCCAGCTGGGCGGGGTATAAATAATAAATTGTATTATTATTATTATTAGTAGTAGTAGTAGTAGTAGTAGTAGTTGTTGTCATCATCTGTATCTATATCTATATGGCTTGCAGATTGTTATAGTTGCAGAACGTTCAGTAATGTACAGGTACAAAATACAGTGGTACCTCTTGTTGCGTTCCACTCTTGTTACGGACTTTCAGCTTACAAACGTGGCAAACCCAGAAGTGTTTACTCTGGGTTCACCACGTGTGCATGCACAGAAGTGCTTGATCGCGCCGCGCACATGCGCGGAAGAGGCGCTCTAGTTGCAGACTTTTTGGGGTGTGAACGGCACCCTGAAACGGATTAAGTCCACAACTAGAGGTACCACTGTACACCCAGAGCCTAATAGCTGAAAAAAGTATTTATTTAATACTGTCTCCTTGCAATATACACAACTGCCAATTACTTGGTCCAAATTATCTTTACAAGTAATATTACCTGAATTTGTCACCCCTACATGAAGATACACAATACTGCTATATACAGAATTTACCTACAAATAGTTCATCCCATTATATGGTGAACTCTGTAGTTTTAATAAAGATATCATAAAAGAGTAACATCCAATATTTTGGTATTTTTATAACGGAGGGAGAAGCACTTGTTCTGAGAATTCTAAGCATTTATGTAATAATATGAACAATGCTAGGTAGGACTTGAATTCAAATAAACATTTTGAATCAAGAAAAGCTGAATTCTGTGGCTTATATAAATTATGCAAATTAAGACTGTTTAGAAATATTTCCTCTGTCTGCATAATTTATTATGTGTCAGGTAATCATAGGGAGGGACAAGAGTTATGCAAAACACCAAACCAAGGTTCTTAGCTCTGGAAATCCTGCTGTGCCCACTCTCTGCCTTCTAAGACTTAAAGCACTGCACACAACTTTCAAGCCTATCTTCATAGTTTCAGTGGTGAGGAACTTCAGCAGGTGGGTGAGTGGCTCAGCTGAAATTTCTCAAATAATTTTCTGGTGATTTCCTTTTCTGAGCCCCTCCTGAAGCAACAGATAATTCCATTCCTCCCCTAGAGAATTTTTAGAAAATAGTCTCACCAATCTCACCATTCAGTAATTTGGGATACAGTTTTAATATTTAAAACTGGTCCCTACTCCTACCGCTCATCCTTCTTAGCTCATTCAGCATTAAGTAACAAAAATTTCTCAGAAAAGAATTTTATGATTACACTATACAGTATGTCCATTATTTTCAAGGCAGAGTTCTGAGCAGTGAGTAATGACAGAGTTAAGCACTGTCTCCAATGTTATCACTACCCATTACTACAAGTTCTTTGTAACTTCTAAAACTCTCAAATTTCTAAACCAACAAAAGTTGGTGCAATTAAAGATGCCAACCTATTTTGTACTTATTTTTATATAACAATGATTAGTTGTCTCAGACAACTCTGACACCTGAAAGCTTGTGTGAGTTGCCTAACAATTAGGAATTATATGTCACCTGTGAGATTCAAGAGCTATTAAACAAAATTGTGATCGAAAAATGTTTATTAAATCAGAAATTCAGAAATTTAACTATATTAAAACAGAAATTGAATCAGAAATCCTAACAGAAGGTAGCCTACATGGCATCCTCCAGAGTCCAGGCGTTATTGGATTACAACTCCAATCATTCCTCATCATGACCATGCTGCAGGCAGTGCAGTCTAATAACACCTGGAAGGCATCACACTGGCTACCCCTGTATAAAATACACTGACCATCTAATGTCTGCATTTAACAAGGCAAGGCCTGGACAGCTATAGCTCTGCTGCTATGTCTAACTCATTAGATACTGATTAAATACATTCACTGTATAAGAGGATACATTTTAGAAAAGCCAGCAACAAGTTAGGAATATATGAAGCTGCCTTGTATTGAGTAAGATCATTAGTCAATCTAGGTCAGTATTGTATACACAGACTGGTGACGACTTCCCTAGGTTTCAAACTGCGAACATTCCCACTCCGATCTGGAGGTGCCAAGAGCCGCACCTGGGACTTTCAGCATGCAAAAGCAGATACTCTACCAGTGAGCTACACCCTTCCCCTCATGTTCTAGATGAGAGAAGGGATTCAAGACATTTGCCTTCAGAACTATACCCTATACTGCACCATACTTAAGAGACCAAGAATGTGTTTTCTGGGAACCACTGCAACACAATTGCAATCATGTTGCAATTATGATGCAACTACTTAAAACATTCTGGATAATATCAAACATAATTCTAGGCTCCGGAATCAAATGGAAAATGCATTAATAGCTATAGGAACTTACATACAATTCTGTAATGAACTTGCTTTAATTTTACATTCAAACCAACCTTACATGTTTATATAACTTGGAGAAATATTAACTGTCTTTCTCATCTTCCTCCCTCTTAGCAAGGAAGTGATTTCCAACACATTCTGACGAAATACATACTATCATATTCATAGGGGTTACACATTTCAAACTGTTTAAACTCTTTAAAGGAAGGTTAAATGCTCTTTTAATCATGGGGGGAATTGTTTATCTGCGTAAGATTGGTATTTACCTGTTACAGTCTTGAATGCAGTCAACACAGTTTCCTTCTTTTAGGTAACATGCTGCTCTGTTTGAATACAAAATACTTAGATCCTCTGGACTTTGGATTCCTTAAATTACAAAAAATTACAGTGGATTATGATCACTGAAATCAAGTTTTATTAGTATGAAATACTTCAGTAGATTGTAAGTTGCATTGCAGTAGTGCAATTGTGCTGATGAAGCAAAGCTTCAAGGATCTTTTTTTTAGTGGATCACCTATAAATACATCCTACTGCTTTAATATGCAGCCATAACTCAGTTACAATGAAATTCTACATGATAAATCTGATTCTCATGGCAACCGTATATGAATATTTTCACAACTATATAATTAGTACAGATAAATTCAGCTTTCCCCTAGAAAAATATTAATTGAAGAAAGGATACATTTTAAAATCACCATAAGAATTGCATAAAGATATAACTCACCAGAACTAATTACATTTTCAATTGCTTCTGAGTATCTGAGGACGGCCTCTCCAAATTGTCCATTTTTAAATAATTCATTTCCTTCAGCTTTCAGTTTTGCTGCAGTGGAAGGAAGCAAAGTAGAACTGTTTTTTCCAGCTGCTGAAGATTCTGCATTTTTCTGTATTACTTCCTTGTTTTCACTATTATTTTTGTCACTGCCCAGATAGCCATTTACTTCATTTTCAGAATCTCGTAAAACCTTGGCTGTCTTTTTTTCAGGTGTGCCTTTTTTAACACTATTGTCCAAAGGGTCTCTGAGCTTCTGAGCTTCCTTGTGTTCCCATTTACAGCCATCTCCTTTGCTGGGAAACTTCTTTTGTGCATTCCCCATTTCTGTCTTCTCAGTTGTGATCTCTCCTCCCACTAGCACAGCAGTTTCTACAAGGAAGTTAATCGGCTAGGTTAGACTCTGCATCATCAGAAGGAACCATTTGTAAAAGCAAAGGAGGGGTGGATTAAAAGCATGTATCGGTATATCACACATATTAGCTTACTGAAATGAATTAAATGAAAGATAACATTTTCTGCAGTCTTTTTAGACTGCACAGCTAAGTATAAACGGTTTGCTATTGTGGGAATTTAACACTGTCAAATCAGTATTTTTTAAGAACTGGCACTACTCTCTTCTGAATGGGATACAATCACCTTGAAATTAACCTTTTAAATACTAGGTGCTCAACTTAAAATTTGGCCTGACAAGCAAATTAGACAGCAAATCACAACTGCATTTCAAGTCACAGTTGCAACCTACCTTTTTGAGACTATATCAAACATATAAAAAGATTAAGCCATGTTCTGTATTGTGAAGTTTCACATACAGTTTCAGGTCCACTAAAAGGTCAGGATAAATTCTTCTACCCTTTATTTCAAAAAGGCTTTCTATTCATATCCAAATGGTCTAGAATAGATAGCAGGGGCCAAAATGGTACTGGATAAATCAATTAACAGTTTTTATACTAGTAGAGCTGTATTCACTTGCTATTCTCTGAAAAAAGGAATAGATTGCTTAAAGTGAACAATTTGGAGATCAGTTTTAGAAACTTTATGAATATTTAATATATAAAATGTATAGCAGATAAACAGATTTACCATATGCTTTATCTCAGTTAGCCCCCATAATAGTATGAAATAATCATCTTAAAGAGAATGACATTTTAAAGAGATTGTAAAAAGGTGAAATAATCATTTTGCAGCATCTTCCTAAAACAAATAATTCCAGATTTTAAAAGTAAAACTTGCAATATTGAACATGTTTATTTCTTACTTATCTAAACACAAAATTTTAAACAAAATTGTTTAATACCATCTTAAACCAAAAATAGAAGACCACAACTTTATGAGCGTTTCCCTCTTAAAATAGCTCCAGTGTCTGCAAATCTACTGTTAAAAGACATATGAAAAACAACTGTTCAAGGTTATGCTATGAAAACTTTTTAAAGGAAAATTGGAGTGGGTGGGGAATAATGTGCAATATTACAGATTGAAAGTATGTCTAAGTACTGTACACAAACAAGTTGGGAAGCTGGTGAATCAGAGAGATATTTGATTTCTGTTTGAATTCCAGGCCACAGCTATCGGGGAAGCAAGACCCTCTTGGGATGTTAATGCTGTGAACCCCTCCATCGTAGGCTCAGGTATACATATATATGTGTAAATAAACCATATATCATAAAGACACCTCAGTCTCCACTGTGCCTCATTCCGAAGGAAACACGAACCCTGGGTAAGTGCCTGGAACCCCTGGAATCTCACACTGCTCAAGACTGGGATGATGTGCAGTACTATCTTCCAGTGAGGTGACACTACAGTCAGCTCCATGTCCTTCCATTAACAATTAACAAGTTAAAATTACTTTTATCTCCACTGCCATTTTCACATTCTGCTTCCTTTCCTCCTAGTTCTTCATCACCATCTGAGTCTTCTATATCTTGAATAAGTATTTTTTTCCCCTTGCTATTATTTTGAGAAATAGGTTCCAACTCTTTCAGCTTCTTCTCAATATCCAACAAGTTTTTCTGTAGTAATACAGCAATATTTATTAATTATTATTTTAAATACACAAATTATTCCACCGCTGAAAGATACACTCAACATTTTCAACATTACATAATACTGTAATTGCAAAAGGAGAAAATTAGAGAACCTAGTGTCAGAAGTGAGATCAGAACCAAAGTACTTAAAACTGAAAAGTACATATACCTCTATAGGAAATTCTATTTAAAAAGAACCTGTTCAGTACAGTAGTAGTTCTCTAATAAATTCAGGTAATACAGTTGTAAACGTAGGAATATTATATTGGGAGTTGTGCTTTAAATTATCTGTAGTGGTATTGTAGTGGGAGATTGTTAAAGTAGAAATGTCTAAAATCCTGAATGAGGCCGCTGTTTTAGTACCATAATTGATATTACTGAATACAGTTTGTTTGATGCTTTCATTACTATCAGTCTATCAAGATGGCCTTTGGAACCAGACTGGCTATAGGTCATCATTAGAAATCAGCTCAGGATTTCTCTCTCAATTTGGCCCAAAGATCTGTTGAATACTGCTGTACGTATTAGAAAGACTCATTCACCAACTTAAGTTACTGAAAGGGCAAGAAAAACTAGACTCTGTTTTTGCCTTTTAGAATATCTTCTATATTAAATTCATCATGTGTAATTGGTAAACCACCCTGTGATCCTCAGACAAGGGGTGGTATAGAAATTTAATAAATAGATTGTGTGGAGCAATTATACATTACCATACTTCTCCTGACATGTATGTGCCACTTAGGTCACCTGCCAAACCAGAGTGGGGAAAATAAGCTACAGGCTGACATGCCTTCCGTGTCAAGAGAAACACTACCAAAGCCCACCAATCAGGGACGGTGCCAGTGACAACACCCACATAGGGAGCCAATGAACTCACAATACCACATCCCCAGCATACACAATACCAGATTGCCCCACTCAATCTGCTGCAATGGCTTAGCTAGCAATCTTGTACTCCACTGGTTGAGGGCTACAGGATTTGTTGAAAGCCATGCTATGCCACTGGAACTTGAGATACCCATTCTGGAAGGAACTGGGCTGCAATTGGCCCACTCAGTGTACAGAACCATAGCAATATCCACAACAGAGTGGCTACAACCACAGAGGTATTCAATTGCTCAGATCTCTCTTGAACCCTCAGAATGTGCAGATTATTTCTGTGTGACCTTCCCTCCAAATCAGAAAACTTAGGTTGCGGAGCAGCATCAAAATTGGGAGAAATATGGTATTGTAATAGTTGGGTGAATGGTGGGCTCTCCACTATGGATCAGCTGATGGAAACTTATTGCTTTTGTCCCTTTTGAAAAACCAGTTTAACCTGCCGCCATCTGTGGGATGGCAGTATTTGTATCAAATACAGTATTTGTATTAGATATATTTCATTGTGTACCATCTTTCAATAGTAAATATGTCTAATACAAATGGTATCCATAGTTTACAATACGTCCATGAAGTCAACAATTAATACTTACCTTAGCAATAGCATTTTCTGGCTCAATATGTAACACTTTCTTCAAATCTTCTGCAGCTGCTTTGAAATTATGTAGATTAGTGTAAACAGTGGCACGGCGCATAAAAGCTGCAGATCAATAAAGAATGCATTATTTTATTGCAATATTCTAAGTTACATAATAAATACGTCAATATAATGTGAAATTGTGGAAATGTAAAATAATTCTGAATTATATAATAACTTGCAACTATTGCAATATAGCTTTGTAATAAAGAGGAATGGTTTAAAAATAATTTCAATTTGACGCAGACAAACCATCTTCACATATAAGGATCCATTTTAGTGCAGGGATGCAGAACCTCAGGCCGAGGGGCCAAATGCAGCCCTCCAGGCCACTCCATCTGGCCCCTGAAATTTTCCCCAGGCCACACTCCCTTCTGAACCACACCCATCACCAGTCCTTCTTTACACCCCACTCTAGTGTTTTTGCCTGGCTGGAATGTGTCCTTAACTCCAATAAGGCTTCTTGCTTCCGCAATGGAGAATACAGAGAGATGTGCGAGTGTGAAGAAGCCAACCTACAGTACACAAGGCAAAAATGGCAGTAGTTGCTTAGCCCACTTTTGCCTCTGGTCTTGCCCATCAATGGCACAAGGTCCTATAAGGCTGCCCAAAAGCGAATGAGATCCTCAACCCTTATTTTAATACTGTAATCATTCCGCTAAATTTCTGGTCTGTCCCAGTCTCCCATCAAAGTATAATCTGTTACCAAAAATTAGCCCACTAGAAGAGATGTGATTACAGCTGCAATAACCTATATAATGTAACATGGCATTATTTCTTATTTATTCATTATATTTTTATGCTGTTCTTTCTCCAAGGACCTTGGGGTGGCTTATGTTACTCCCCAGTTTTATTGTCAAAACGATCTGTAAAGTGGGCTAACCTTGAAGCCAGGTTTCCCTGGTCCTAGTCCAACAACCACACTATAAAAAGTCTCCCACATGGTATATGTATGTATGAGAATTGCAAGACATGTACACATAAATTCAAGATGTAGTATCTGTACACAATCACTTGTCATGGGAAAACAGAGCAAAAGAGATAACAGTTGCTGTGAGTGGGAGAGGCCAACTATCTCTTAAAGGTGCAAGCATTATTCAAGGAGGAATTCTACACTCCCAGGAAAGGCAGCTGTGGAACCCTGAATCCCTTCCTCACCAGGTGGAGGAGTTCCACTCCTGGATGCCTCTTCATTGCAGTAGTGGCAAGTTTTATACAAACTATGCCAACACTGGAACTGGCATACCTTTCCACCTACTGAAACCAACTGGGGATAGGAATAAGGGAAATAAGTCCACCAGCACCACTTTATGTCCTATTTTGTGCTTAGACTCTTGTGCTTCCCCGTATCTCTGTAGGATTGCTCTGTTATTCTCCCTTTTTATTTACTTAGTTTGGTACTAGGAAAAGGCGGTACCTAGACATGTGGGGACTTCCCTTTTACACTGTCTAGAAAAAGCCAACTTTTCATCTGTCAGGATTGCAATAAATTGCTTTAGACAAAGTAGACTGAACTTCCTTCAGCTGATTAATAGTTGGAAGGGGAACTCTTGTTGCTTGGAATAAATTTTTCCCACCATCGCCTGGCTAGCCCTCTCTCGGAATTTACTTTGAATTGAAGGGATACAAGCTTTTCCAGGGAATATTGGAGATGAGTGGGAAAATATTCAGGGTTCTAATGGCAAAGCACAGATACTGTACCCCCATCAATTCCCTTCCACTAAACCATGTAAAGCACTTAGCATGGGTACTAAGCCACTATGTGCTGAACAATTCATTTCCCACTATAGCAGAAGTGGAAAAATAAAAATTTGAGAGTTGTTACTCCACAGAATGCAATCCACAAATTTCAAAAACCAGTGTTTGTCACCTATGCTGATTTTGCTCCATTACCGGTAATTTAAAAAGATTTGTTGCTAGCATTAATTTCTCAAAAGTGATTTCTTTAATTTTACCTTTTATGTTTTCAGGGTCCATTTTTAACACTGTCTCACAATCCTGGTGAGCAACATGCCAGTTCTGAAGTTTTATTTCTGCCTGAGCTTTATTATTGTATGCAGCCACAGTGGGAAAGGCAGATATGCTCCTGCAAAATACTGAGGCATTAGGCAGGCTGAAATGAACACAGACACTTCAGAAAAGAGTCAGGTGACGCCTTAAAGCCTAAGGTGCGGGAATGTTGTTACAAAGTAAAGCCAGAAGACCCAAGAATGAAAAAGATAGGAGTGTTACAGTACCTTACAGAGTACAAATGAAAACAAGTACAGGTCAAAAGAGTAAAAGATCCAATCAGAGTGGGTGTGGCCTCCCATCTGCTAATGAAAATGGCAAAGGAAGATAAAGAATACACATAAAGGCCTAAAGAGGGACAAATTATTTTCTGTAGTTACCTAACCATTTTCATTCTCTATTGATCCCATGCAACTCAATGCAGAAAATTGACTACAAGTCATAATGCTATAATATAAAGACTATATGATAAAGCATGTAAGAAAGGCCAAGTGATCTACAATTCTGCCTGTCACCCTTGTCATGGCAAAAGTTACATATGTCAGTGATGAACTCTCCAGCTTAGAAGTGAAGGTAGAGCTGGGATAATCCCCTGCAGCTGCACTGAGTTACAGAGCAAACTAAGTTGCACCAACTCCAAGCGGAAGACGAAGGCTGTGGCCTGCCATGTTGGCATTGGGCAGTTAAAGATTCACAAAGTGCCTCTGCTGCCTAGTACCAAAACAAGCACAAGTTTTCTCTCTGGCTTTGGAGGTGAAGGTTGGCATAGGCTCATTTGGGTAATGGGCAGCAGGGGTACATCAAGTACATCAGCTGTCCAGTGCCAAAATAAATTCTAGTTCTCCACCTACAAATTTGGAACTGGAGGAGGGTGGGAGTCATCCCCACAGTTATGCCGGGTTTCAAACCTCCAACAAAGCCCAGCACACTGCAAAAACCAACAGGAAGAAGGCATCTATATATACCATATTCAATACAATCAGGATCAGTCCAAGCCATTTTTGCTGCCTAATAGGACAGGATAAGAAGGCAAAAAAATAGTGTCATGTTGCACTTTCAAGTTCTTGAGGTTTTTGTCAATACACAGTCTCAGTCTAGAATGCCTTATTGTGAGGGTTGCTGTCTGGCTAAACAACATATGCACAGAAAAATGCACACCATAAAATTGATATATGTATACTAGTACAAATTTTGTTTAAACTACTTTTAAACAATGAAGTTGATAGTGAAGCAGCTAAATGATTTTTTAAATGGAAGTTGTAACTTTTAAGACTACATATTAATGCCTGCCTTGCATCCAGGTTGCTACTGTATTTTAATATTTTGTTGGAAGCCGCCCAGAGTGGCTGGGGAAGCCCAGCCAGATGGGCGGGGTATAAATAAATAAATTATTATTATTATTACTACTACTACTACTACTACTACTGCAGCAGGCTAATAATTACTATGGATGACTCACCGAGTATAGTAGATAACTGCTTCTTTGTAGTCTCCTGTAACAAATGCTTCATTTCCTTTTTCTTTTTCACGATTAGCAATGAAGATTTTTTCCTTTGTAGTCAAACCTAGAAAATATCTATTACATATTAAAGCAAGAAAAATTGCAGGCAAAACCAAAAACATTTCTCTTTAATGCTACAGAGAAAGAATATGAGAGAGAGAGTATTGTAAAAGACATAATCTACAAGTGCTCTATTGTGTTGATTTGAGCCTCCACCCACTTCAGACAACACGCTATAGCTCAATAGTTGAACACATACTTTGTATACAGAAGGTAACAAATTTAATTAACAGTCTGTCCAGTTAAAAGGAACTCCTGTAACAAGGCTGGGAAGCACCTCTGAGATCCTGAAATACTAGTAGTAGTCAAAGTAGGCAATTATACAGTGGTTGAAACTACACTTTGGAATTTTTTGCTTTATTGTTTAAGGGTATGCTATTTTTTCAAGGTAAGGGTTATAACATTTCCAAAAAAATGTTTTCTAGCTATATTGCTGATTTATCTACTACCTTAGCAGAATTATGCAATCAAAAACACAGGATTTTTAAATGCTGTAATTCAGCAGTACTGACTGCATTACTGAATTTTGAAGTAACGTGGTAAAATGGGGGGAAATGTTTCTGGGAAAGGATAGGCAGACATTGGATATATACAGGAGTTACTGACAATGCATACAACACTGATAAACAAATTCATACAAAATTGTCATAATTCTATATGAGCATCACGTCACAGTATTTTTGAAAACAGAGATTCCTATGAGTAGTAAATTTCTTATTTTTCAATAAAAGGCAACAGCAACCAAAATCACTGTAGTATTGAATGAAAACCTACCTGTTGTGTCTATATCAGATTTTGGTAACCCTTTGTTAGTAGTTTTAAAGCTGGGTTTACTCTTATTTTCCTCATAACCATCAATTTTGGAACATTCTTTTTCCACATCAAACCTTAAAAAATGGAAAAGCATTTAATATATTTACATTGTAATAATAAACATCCATAAATTATACAAATGTGTGTTTAACTATAGCAAGACTTCACACCTACATAGTTTAAGGGTATGATGGACCATTAATCTGCAATGTAGGAATATGAAGGTGGCCCATACGGGGATCAAACCCATGATCTTGGCATTATCAGCACCTCACTCTAACCAACTGAGCTGCAGCAGTGGGCACGTTCTACTCTTAAGTAGGAAGAACCAGCTGTACAAATATAAGATGTGGGAAAGGATCTAGGTGTTTTAGTAGACCACACATTTAATGTGAGTCAAAGTGTGATGCAGCAGCAAAAAAAGGCTAATGCTGTTCTAGGGTGTATAGTGCCCCTATCAAATGAAGTAAGAGTACTGCTCTATTCTGCCTTGGAAAGACCATACCTGGAGTACTGTCCCCTGGTCTGGGCACCACAATTTAAGGAGGATATTGGCAGGGCAAGCAAGATGTTGTGCAAGGAAAAATTATTGCACAGATCAAATACTTGCCTTATCATGATGTTGAATACAACTCATCATATTTAGAGCGCTTTCTTCCAACATGCAATTTTTGTGTAAAGTTCTCCATTAATACTAGACTTTCGAATACCATTTGTCTATAGTTAGCCCTGTGAGATTTTGAGAATTTCAAGGGCACGTTAACATAGAAACAACCCTCCCTTTTTCAAAACCAACCTAGATAAAACATTAGAAAATAACTGAATTAAACAATATGCAGAAGGTATCTGACATACTTATCCCACTCTCTATAGTCCCTTGGTACATTTTTATTCTTTATTACACCATTTCTTGAAGTTTTGCTCTAGAATGAGAAGTCACACAAGATATAAAAAAATAAGCTTCATCAAAGAATTTGTTTTGTTACTTTTCATTTCATGTAATATGAGCATTATAACATGTTTTAGCTACCTCAAACTGAGGTTTTGGAGTTCACATATGTTCAGTAAGGAACTCAATCACTTGCTAACCTTTCTACAATCATGTGCTTATCAACTAAGAATAAATGTCAATATTTCGATATTAAAAATTCTCATATGGGAAAAAAATGAGAATTGCAAACATATCATCTGCAAACATACATAACCAAGTGGGACTTGCAATTAAACATTGCAGCACAGAGTGCTGTCTCATCAAGAATCCAGCCCCTCCCCCTCCAGCTTTCCATTCCTCACCTCCAGTTAGTGGGCATGGAATGCTCTGCCATCACTGGGCAGATTGGGGTTTGTTTGTACTTTTTCCCTATTTCTGCAAACCTTTGAGATGCCCTGAACCTACTGATAGCTTCCTTTTACACGACTGGCACTCACAGAATTTGAATGTAGGGTCCTGAATTGAATTGAATCAAGTAGGGTCCTGTGACAAATGTTCCATTGTGGAGTACTTCTCTCCAGGGTTATTAGATGTTTCCCCCCTCCCATTTGACATATGACCAAGTCATACTCAGAGTAGACCTACTGAAATAGGGACAAGCTGGCCATGTTTCAATGGGTTTCCTTCAGGTATGACTTAGTCAGATGCCAACAACACATTAAAAAAATCATATATAGATATTGAATATTGTATAGAAACACAGATTCCCACCTGTCTAGAAGGAAGAGAGCTATCTGAACTACGAACTGGTGGCAAATTTTCCATTTTCTCCTTGAACACGTCCGTTGTAGCATACCGCATTTTATACTCGTCTTCTTTCATTTCGGTAATCCAGCTCTGAAAGAAATCGAAAACATAAACATATTTCAAAATCTGAAATTGGTTTTTTACCAGGCAACAACTATTTGTTATTTAAAAGTCACATACAAAATTAGCATGCTACAGAATGAAGAAGTGCAATACCTTCATTTCATTCTCTATTTCTTTCCATTCCTCAGTAGTAAAATCAGAAGCAGTGGCTGCAGGTTTATCTCTTCGCAGAGCTCTGCTATTTGGAGCCAAAGACTCAATGCGTTTTTCACAAAATAATACAAGATCAGGATAGAAGCCTTCTTCACCAGATCTAAAAATTAATAAATGTGACATTATACAAACTTCTGTAAGCACAACAGGAATTCTCTTCTGTCCCCTGTAGCCCCTATGCATCCTCAAAATATGCTATGACAGGTTAGGGAAAACTCAGAGAGTGCAGAGAAAGAATAAGTCCTGCTGGATGAGTGGATCTCCGCACATACAACAATAGATATCACCAATAGCAATTTTTAAAGCATAAATCATAAATATTAAGTTCAGGAGTTGTTATAACACCCCCCCTTCTGATATAAAGACTTCCACTATTTTTGTTTGATTTGCTCTAGACTTGTAAGTAGTTTACAGCTGACATTGCTACATTTTGTATTGTTTTTGTATTGCTTTTTTAAGCTCAATAACCATTCAATGGCTCAATTCTGCATGACCAAAAGGTCTGTAAAATCTTAAATCTGAATATCCCAGCCTTAGCTAGTATAAATATATCACCTCCTCAGTCCAAACAACCAATTTATGTTATACTAATGCCATGCTAGCAAGACTAAACTATTTTCACTTATTTTAAATTATGACAATATTTAGCTTTTAAACAAATTTTCTGACAAGGTTCTAAAAGAAGTGATGGCCTTGTTAGTTTCTAGTTAATGTTTAGTTAATATGAATAAAAATATGCAAACCATAATAAAATAAATATGTAATTTAAATGTTTACCTTAATATCTTAAGAATCTTTTCCAAATGCTTAACATCTTTGCATGTTTCAATGAATTTGTAGTCCAGATGCTCAATAGGAATTTGATATGTTTTTGTTGTTCCTTGGCTTAACAAGCATGAAACTTGGTCAGCACTCATAACTAGAAATATAAAAGGTAATATTTAAATTTTCCCAGTGTTCATATATATTTTGAAATTGCATAAGCTCACTGAATAATGTGTTATAATCTCTTATGTTATAATCTCTTATGTACATATGCACCTGTTTTAAATCCTTCTAGCTTCAGTCCATTGAAATGGAACAATTTATAGGACCAGGACTTTTTGTGTGGGTAGTACTTTATGCACCATGAATGCTTATATGTATAAATAGCTACTGCTAGAAAAAAAAACATGATTAAGTGAAAAGAATTTCCTCAGCAGAATTTTTCACATGTATAATTCTGCTTTTGTTTCTAAATCTTTGCAGCCACTGTTTTCTTATTTGTATTTGCAATAACAATTGCTTTTTATTACAACATGCCAAGTGCAGACTTCATAATATTTATGTTCATTCAGATTTGGCAGCCATCTGAATGTCAAACTTTTTTCCATAACACAGACTAACTGAACATAATCCTATTTGTGAGAATTATTCTCAGATCCATTTGCATATAAATAAATCCATTGATTGAATTTTGTCTGCAAATTATGTGACTAATGATCTTAGAGAATCATAGGTTCAGAGAACATTGTGTATTTGTGAATTATCTGTTGTGAGAGATCTTCCACATTATTTACCTTCTGTTCTCCTTATGCAAATCATACAGAATACCTACAAGCTCATTTCTTGAACATGGTTTATAATGCTACAGTTTATAAGAAAACTGAGTATTTTACTGTGTACAGGTTATCAAGTGCAAAATGTCAGCATCAGTTAAAAAACAAACAAACCCTCTAATTTCCCATTAAAATGGAATGCCAGAAAATTTTGACCCATCCCATTTTGAAACATAAAAAATAAAACAAGAATCATTTAAGCCTACAACGTAGCATCAAAACACAATTTCAGCACTGTAATGGGGAAATACGTTTTTTATAAAGAATAATTCAAGGACAATGCCCTCTACAGTTAAAAAAAAGGAACAGGTTGCAGCAAATAAATAAATAATCCACTAGCAACTGTTGCTATGTACTGAAGTGAGCCACAAAGCTCAGAAATTTCAGGAGATCACCATCTCCTGAAATTAGGCCCTGCCCTACGCAGTTTCACAACACCATGGAAACAAGCCTCACTTTTTCAGTACATGCAGCAAGCTCCCAAAAGAACAACATTTTGAAGGTATTCTGCTTTATTCTATATGAAAGTCTGAAATGACTGGCTCATTTGTGCTGGGCCCCGATCTCCTTCCCTCTCCTTTTTTTTTTTTTAAATAAAAAAATAAAAATAAAATGCTTTTATTTGCTTACAGGGCATCTGGGCATAGATTTAAAGCACAGAGCTGGCAAGACTCCAGCCACCAACCATCTAAATGTGCCCAGAGGTCTAAATTTTTACCTATCTGTATAAAGCAGCACATACGAATTTGTGGTAGGGACCTGTACCATGAGTATTTTAAGGGCCTAGCCAGCGCCCCTTTATCAAAGTAATTTCTACAGCCTTAGCCCCAGTTCCCACAAAAATCAACAACTGACCTTAGCAACAGCAGTAACACCCCTTTGTTCACCCTTAGAGCAATGAGGGTGGTGGTGGGAGGAATGGGCATAGACAGGATTTTGGTTAGGGGGCGGGCTTTTGTTAGGGGGGGCAGAACCTCAAATTTGTATTGATTTTAATTGATTGGGGGGCAGCTGCGCCCATGGGGAGTAGGAAAAGGAGCATGAAAGATAACAGCTGCGCATGTATGCTGCCCATGTAATATATACCGTTGAGGCTTTTTGCAGTTTCAAATGCCCATGTGGTTGAGCATGGGCATAGCCAGGAGTTATGTTGTGGGGGGGCAGGATTTATGTTGTGGGGCAGAACTGAGCTCCATGTGACACGATTGGTCAGTTACTTGAGCATTTTTATTTATTTACTTGATTGGGGGGGGGTATCTGGCTACACCCATGTAGCTGAGTGACTTCAGGCCAATTACCACCACAATCTATCCTACCTTACAGGGTTGCTGTGAAGACAGTCAGAGAAAAGCATACCCTGAACTTACTGGAGAGAAAAATCAGAATTATTATTTTTTAAGAAAGAAAAACATACATTGGCACACCACCTGTTTGCCCCTCTAATGAAGCCTGTTCTACCAAGTATAGCTGCCTCTCAGCATCATTGCACCTTCCCCGTTTGCATCACCCTAGACTCGGCCCCCCCCCCCGATCTCCCACAGCCCTCCCCATCCATCCTCCGCGATTCCTCGCCCTCCCTCTTCCTCCTGCCGTTATCCTCAAACGGCCACACACAGCATCCCCTGCCCGGCACCGGACGCTCCTACCTGCTTCCTTCCCCAGCGAACGCCGCCACTCCAACGTCCTTTCCACAGGAGAGAGACCCCAGCAACGCTCTGCCGCCACCCCTCGCCGCTCGGAGCGGCCTTGAACCGGCGCCGCTGAGTGAAACCCTACAGGTGGCCCCGCCGAGAGCCACTTTTTAAATAGAATTCGCTCGAGCAACAAAACGTACCCCCTCAAGCGCATGCGCAGAAGGCGAGCGGCCCACCACCACCTCAGCACCGTCGCCCGAGGAAGACAGTCTTCACCGAGGGCCGCGCGGGGCGGTTGCTAAGGAGACGCTGCTTCGCCAACGCCGTCGCTCTGGAAAGGGCGGCTTGCCAACGTTGTGAAGGCAGACGCTCGTTCCCCTCCTTCCGCACTTTATTAAAGCGTACATCTAAAAACGATTTATTGTTTCGTCTTCTTGTCTATTGAATTTGTACTAAATATATCCCAATCCTACCATGTTTTACACTCGCCGGCCGAACAAAACCAGCGAGCAATTAAAAACAATGAAGTTCAGCAACTAAAAAGCATCATCATAATTAATTAAAAAAAAAACACCCAGGACTAAACTTCTGCTATAAGAACAGTACAACCGATATGCCGCCTTAAAGGTGGCTTTTCATTAGTAGGCTCAAGGAGGCAAACAAGATACCTGCACAATGGAATACACAAGTAGTAGCACAATTCTAACCCTGTACACAGAGATGCAAATCCTATTTAAATCAATGGGGCCTCACACTACTAGGTGGAGTTATCGAGTTGCAGCCTTAGCCTAACCCTCAATTAAATTCAACAGGATTTATTTCTGAGTAGATGTCAGGGTTACGCTGCAATTTAACACAAAAGAGAAAAAAAGAGATCCAGCTTTTCTCCATCTGCTTGCTGGAAATTGATGGCATAGGAACAGTAAATGGAGACAATACTTGGTTCTTCATACAGCTGGTGGCAATTTGTATTATTTCTGCACCATCAGATGGCAAGGCATTTAGGACAAGTTATTGGGTCTCTGCAAAGTACACAAAGCTAAAGAAAAATAGGTTTGATGCCCTCAGAGGGCTTCAAGGCCAAGCAAGCATTTGAAGATCTGATTCTTTTAACCATTACACTAACCTGGTTCTGTACCCACTATCATCACCCCATGCATCTTTCCATCCCTTCAAACATAAGAGAGTCTAACAACTAGATTTAGCCACCTGTTTGACTTGGATGCTACAATCACATTAGACCTTAAATGATTTTTTAACTATTTTAATTGGTTTTTCAATGATATACATATTGTACAAAGTCACAAAATAGAAATTGACTATAACAAGAAACAGGTAAGTAATCATGTTCATTCTTTTATATAGTGATTGTTGCCTGTGTTGTTCTTACAGAGTATATTGCCCGAGTATTGCAGAGTATATTGTACCATTTCCTTCAGCCAGAAGAGATATCCAAGGATAAATTTCAGAGCAGAAATATGACATACAAATTTGTGATGATGCTGGTGATAAGTTGTTTTGTAAACCTGATTTGTTGGCCAATGTAATAAATGACCGTCAAACAGCATAAAATGTGTGTGTGGGGTTTTTTTGCCCTTTCATAACCACTACACTAAGCAGTGAAGTCCACATGCTCCTGGATAATTTGTGGTACTTCCAAACCTATTGTCCATCAATAGTCCTGGGCCATAGGGAAAGACAATCACAAGGGACATGTTTCCTGTGATTGTATCCCTCCCAAAAGGTAGGAGCAAATCCATACGTCCTATGGGGTAATTGCACCAATGTCCTATACCATCTATGGATTATCTTGATAGAATTTTCCCAAACATATGCTGAGACAGATTTAACTGGTTTGTCTAAAGTTGTGTCCAGTCACATTCACAACTGTCTTCCATACCCTCCCATAATCCCTCTAGAGGGCCTATCAAATTGCTTACAAATCCTCCATAAATTAATGACACCATACCCTTACATGGTCACACATAGATATTAAATTCTCAAACCATGTTAATGGCTGACAAGCCTGTGTTTTCAATCCTGGGTCCAATAACAAATGTTGTCATTGGTGTATCTGGAACCACGCTAAATTCAGATTTCCTGTATTAGTTGCCAGCTGTTCCAAAGAAACGAGATTATTATTAACATAAAATAGTATCCCTTTCGTTCCCAGTTAGGAAGAGAATTAGATTTTAGGGTAGTGGGTGATATTATAGAACTTTAAAAGATTTTAAAAAGTTTTATCAGATCTCATTACTGGCAAAAATGTCAAGCGAGTACTGGAATAAAACTTTATTGTCATAACAGAATAATTTACACACTGTCAGAATGGAAGAATGCATATGCCTATAAGAAAATCAAAGTCTAACATGAATAATCTAAAGTACACTGCGATAAACCAGATGCATCTTCTGTTTTCTTCATCGGGCATCAAACACAACCACTATAGTAGAGTTAAAGAAAAAAGTTGGAGAGCATGAGAAAAAAACAGTTAGTTATAATAAAGAATTATGCAAGCAATTATTTCATGCTCCTAACACATTTCAACAAGAGGCATAAGCAAGAAGCAGAAATAGTTTGTGCTTTGTGTTCTCTGTGCTTCTTTCCAATGTTCAAGGTGTAACTTTCACATCTCCCTCTGCAGTCAGCTGTTCTATTTATTTAAACACCACTAAATGCAATGGCACTGACATGCAAATAAAAGCAACTAGGGTACACTATATACATATGCACAAGTATGGTGCTATGTGGTGTAACAACCTTAGTTGAAAATATTTATGACTGCCATTACACTTCACAATATGACTAATCCATCCAAGCTGTGTATAATGGCAGGCAGGCAAAGAACACATTTACCAACCAGAGTATTTGTATAGGAAATGTAATATATAAAGTGGCTTAAAGTACCGCAGCACAAGTATTTTAAGTATTGATGAAATTTGTAGACCTTTATTAGTGTAAAATTATGCCATCACATTACAACAACTCTAAACAAATTCTAAAAGTTCAGGTAGTTAGGATCAGCATGCAATAATCAAGCAATGAACAGGCCCACATAGAAGGATACATCTTTTTGTTCTTTTTTTGTACATTATTCTGTATCCACATTCTCTGCATCTGATGGGATCTCTTGCTTTTATTTCATTTTCTGTGTGACATTCTGAAAATATATTAAAAATGAAAATTGAAACAAAGCAATGAGAACAAAGCTTAGCAATATGAGAGGAAAACTGTCCTTTTATTATAACACACAAAATACTATAAACAATGTCACATTTTATTGAAAAGAACAGAGTCTGGCTAACTCATTCTACTAAAATGTTAGAGAAGTTAGGCTGCAATCCAAGTCCTGAGGGGTTAAGGAGAGATAATAAATAATAATAATAATAATAATAATAATAATTTATTATTTGTACCCCGCCCATCTGGCTGGGTTTCCCCAGCCACTCTGGGCGGCTTCCATAGAAACCAAAAATACAGTAAAATATCACATATTAAAAACTTCCCTGAACAGGGCTGCCTTAAGATGTCTTCTAAATGTCAGGTAGTTATTTATCGCTTTGACATCTGATGGGAGGGCGTTTCACAGGGCGGGCGCCACTACCGAGAAGGCCCTCTGTCTGGTTCCCTGTAGCACTCAAAGTTGGATTGAGTGGAGGTGTCCCTCTGTCCAGCCCTACCGGACTCTACTTGTGGAGTGATGCATCACTGCAGGCATACAACTCTCCATTCCACCCACTGAACATGCAGGTGGAGGTGCTAATGGGGGGATGGGGGGGGGGATTCTGCCACCAGCAGCTGGCAGAAAACCCTGAATTAGAACATTCCAGGTAGCGGCTGAGCTGGCCTAGAATCCTCTGAATCCCAGACTGACCCTACTATCATCATATTACGGCATTGACATGATCCAGATTTAGGGGGCAATCCTATGGCAAGACATGCTGCAATTAGCAGTTTACAATGCAGATTTCTGGTTCAGCTGGCTAATTCCTAGCTCAGCTGAAGATACAACAGTGTAACTTGCTCATCTTGGTTGAGCTGGAGCTGAGCAGAGGCCCATGTAGGTTCAAAACCAGGGGTGTTCCAGGTCTGCAACCATAAAAGGTGGGTTAGGCTGCCCTGCTACTGAACAGGGCTTGGATCTGGTAATAACTACAACAGCTTATTTTATGCCAGTTTTGTGTGCATATGGTTGCTCCCTAAATCACAGTTGTAGCTCCAGCCCTGCCATTCTGTTAAACCCATCTACTCCTCAGTTATGCTTTAGATTGTGAGGACAGAAAACCTATATTCACACTGTATTTTATAAATTAGTTTACACTAGAATTATGAAAGATTCTTAACATTTCATATTGGGGTTCGTCAAATTAGAATGGCATCTGAGTTCAATACTTATATAGACAATTTATATTTTGATTTTTCATCAGTCCTCAAAGTACAACAAATACACCAAGAACCACCCAGTCAAAATAAAACTAATTCCACTGGAGCACAAGCTGGGATCTGATATTCCTTTCCACAGGGCAGCTGGTAGCAAATGGCCCTGTGGTGGGGAGCAGAGACCCCAAACAAAGCAGCAACAGGCACTTTGTGTCATCTCCCTCTCATTTAAACCTAAAGAATTCTGAGATGCAATTAATGACAGGCTTCATGAACGTGAGACAAAACTCAATTTCAGCAACACTCTGTGGCATGGTCAACTTACCAAGAGGCTATACATCACACAACTCCTAACAGTTAGGCATGAAAGGATCTTACCTCCACAGATGTATATCATAGGTTGCTGCTTTGGAGGAGGAGCGTCTTTCTGGGTGTCCATATTCTGTCAGTAAAAAGAAGACAAATCATGCACATCTGTTATGAGTTTCGTACGCATAGTTCTCTTACAAGTCCACTTCAGGCTTGTTGTTAAATAAAATCGAGTGATGGTGTTACAGGCTGGAAAAGGGAAGTTTTCTACCTGATTTCTTTATTACGCCGATTTTTTACTTTTAAAACCAAGCAAGAGTATTGCCAAAAGAAAAGAGCACGCGACACGAGGAAGACGCTACATTATTTACCCGCTCCTCCAAGCAACCCTCGCGGGTCGATCTATAGTCTCATCCCGGAAGGCAGGAAACTGCACGAATGAGCTACAACTTTTGGGGAAGGACCTGATTAGGGAATTTATCACCTCACCTTTCAACAGAAACAATCCCCCCAAAACAGGTTTTTAAAAACCAGCTCCGTTACCAGTTCGTATCTCCCATGCACGGCTCTAAGGCGCAGCCTAATGAGCACTACTCTTGGGCGCAGGCTGATGACGTAAGAAGCACACACAGCAAGCCCGCAAGTTCCGCCCCGCTAGTTCAGGCGCGTTGTTAAAGAGCTGGGTTGCAACCCTATTTAGCGCTTTATAAACTTTCAGAATTACTCAGTAAACTAAGAGGCTGCAGTCTTAATCGCTTTTATCTGGGAGTAAATCCCATTGAATTCAGTGGGACTTACTTCTGAATAGACATGTTTTAGGATTGCGCTGTTAATGGTTTGCTCAGCAAATACTTCGTTATAGGAATTCAAAGGAGCAGTTTTATCTTACAACAACTTCAGTATGTTAGCTTCCAGTATTACACTGCACTGCAACGTACGTTTTGAACATTTATCATAGGTAAAACTCGAACTGTGGCTCAAAGCTCAGACCCAAAATCTATATTAGGGGTTGTGTCACCTACTGTAGTCTAGTTCCCGACCCCTCCTTTTTCTCTCTCTTAAAGTTTATAGGCTGGTTATGATTAAAATGGATCTGAGCGTTTGCAACGTGTATTTTTCTCTTGTCAAGTAGTCACGCCAATTCCCACCCCCACCAAGAAAAAAAGAGTTAGGAGGCAACGTGTCTTGTCACAAGGTGTCTTTTAATGCAAATTAGTTCTGTATCTTTCAGATAGGTTGGGTGCCCTTAAGGCTATAATAAACACTTTCCTGTAAGCCCCACTGAACGTAGTAGGGCTTGTTTCTGAGTAGTTATACACAGAATTAGACACTCTAGGAGTAAACCAAATACAGTAGGAGCAAACAAAAAACAGAAGCAAGTAGTAAGAATACTACTACTACGCTTTTAAGGAGTATACAGTTGTATTTTAGACTGCTCTGTTCATAAATGTACCAAGCAAACACATACATAAATACGGTATATAAACCACATGTCTAAAACCCCACAGAAAAAAAGTCCTGAACAAATTGACCTCAAATGTTTCTCTGCAAGGCCAAAGTGGGAAACCTCCCCATTGGCTCTTTTCTCACAAATCCTGTCTTAAGGGCACATTTAAGATATGAATAGGGTGTGAGCCTGTGACCTGGCTCAGGAACTAAGTATTTATCATTACAAAAGACTGGCCAGGCTCCCCAGGGTATCCAATCAAGTAAGCATTAACAGGTAACCTGCCAGACAGGTTAACAAAGACAGGAGATAAACGACAGGAGATAAAAAACGCACTCAGATTTCTGCCCTTTCTGTGATGTATTTATGATGTTTCTGGGGGTGGTCTTGAACTCCAGGGCGGGCAATTTTAAATGTCTATATAAGGGCAGACACAGCTGGGTTCTGGATCTTCCTCCTTTCCTGCGTGTGAGGGGAGCACCCTGTTGCAACAGATCAATAAAGATCAGGCTTACTAGCTGCTTTGCTTCTCAATATTCTCTGGTTGGCCTCTGTTATTTTTCTCCGACCGATGGAGAACCTGCAAAGGACTCTACAATGGCTCTTGTGTACCCCATAAGGGAATAAGGGCAGATTTCCGTTTATTATTCCGTTCAGATATTCCGTTCAAAGCAATTCACTTCCATTATCTTGCAATGTTTTGTAATAATATTTATTATTATTTTAATTTTTAATGTATTGATTGCCCTTCACCCTAAAGTCCCAGGGCAGATTGCCATTTAAAATACACTTTTAAAAAACTTATAATTAAAAAATACACTCACACCTAGCCCACACTGCACTTAGTCAACACTAGTCAACATTGCAGGTGGAGAGAAGGAACTGCAATTTGTGGTCCTTGCAGGATTTGGACCTTGGATTTCCTGGCTCATTCTTAACATTAGTTCTGTCTGCTGTGAAAGATGACATTTCTCTTCTCCTTAATAGGGGGGAAGTGGAAATTCTAATCTACTATAGGGAAGGGGGGGAGAGAAGGTGTACATCCACATCAATTAATACAGGGTATAAAATCATGTGTGGCTGAAAAACACCGAAGACGGCCAGAGAAATCCAGTTCTTGTGAAAGGAAGTGGGTCGCGGGGTAAGGAGGTCAACCATAGGAAATCGACAGGCGAAAGCCCTCCTTCACACGCCCCCAGGTTATAAAAATGCACGCCTTTTTTAGCTAGCACGCCTTCAGAGAAAAGCTCTGCAACTTGCTCCTTGCCCAGCCTCAGTTCACAAAACTTTCTGTCCTTTGCAATTAATGCACAACGGCAACTTCTCCCCTCTGTCTCCCTCCCTCCTTCCCTCTCTCTGCCGGTCTTGCGCGTGGCGTCCGTTCTCAGCTCCTCTCCTAGGAGGCAACGCGGAGGAAGAGGGAGCGGAGGAGAGAAGTTGCAGCAGTTGGGAAAAGGCGGGTAGTTCAAAACTGAGCGAGGGAAAACCACGGCAGGCGCACGCGGGCAGTGCAGCGGGAGGCGTTTCTCTTTCTCGCTTAGGGCAACGCTCTGGGGCTGAGGCGAGCTGGAGCGGGGGAAGCCCAGAGCTGCTGCTGCTGCTGCTTTTTCTCCAACAGGCAGAGAGCCGTGCTCTTACTGCATAGATCTTGTGCGCAGCCCCTGCCAGTTCTTAGGATGGGTGCGAATTCGTTCCCTTTTAAAAGCCCTCTTTAATCACTCTTCCCAGCCGCCGCCCCGCACCCATCTCTTGCTCCACATGTGGGAGCAGAGCCCTTTTCACCGTCTCCATTGATTTGTGCGAGGATTTGGGGTGTGTGGAACTGCTGCTGGTGGTGTTTTGCACTCAAGGTGACTGAACCCCTCAAAGTCCCGTTTCTGTCCCTGTTATTTTAGGCCATTTACTAAAAGAAAACAGTACAGTTAATTAAATTTAATGTTAATCCATTCATTTGAACATTCTTTGACTCTAACCATATCTATCAGTATCATGATTAAGATTGTATGTTTGGTAGAGTGCTTGGCTTGTTCTGTTTCTTTTTTTCAACCTTGGATGCCTTTCCTCCATTTCACCGTTCCCTCCTCCCCAGGTTAAAAAGGTATTCTGATTTTAACAATAAGGAAGCCTTCATGAGAAGCGACTCCTGCCTTTCAAATTCACAAGGTAAGTAGGGCTGTTGTGTGTTTTGAGGGAGATCTCACACAGCCACTGTTCTCCCCTAAATCAGTCCTGAATGATGGAGTTAATGAAATCCTAGCTGGAAGAGAGAGTGTTCTGTAGAGGCTGTACACAATTATCTGGGAATAACAATGGGAGTTACCGTACTTCTGAGTAGACACCTGTAGGATTGTATTGTTACTGTGGGATAGGTGATGAAATGATGAGGGTGAAGAAAATACACATTTGCACCAGAAAATCCTGCTTTTCTAATGCTCTTGCTTAAAACAGACACATCGACAAATAGTTTTTTATATTCAATATTTTAAAAAGTCACTATAGAGTAAGCTATAACATTAATACTTTACATTTGTAGTTTTGTTTTTAGGCACAATTATTCTTTTTTGCAGTAATTTGCAGGCCACTTAATTAGAGCATACTGTGGATGGTGCCTTAAGAAATTACGATCCCAACCTAGTTGTTTCCAGAAACACACATTATTGCCTTATGTGTCTTCTACTGGCTCTGCATTTATACTAATAACTGTTTCTTTTCTTACTTACTTAAAGCAGAGGATCATAGTTCTAAATTCTAAACATCTTCCAAGCAAGTGAGGAAGATGACACTGGTATCTTGTGTACAGGTGATAATTTCCTGTTTGCTCCGGATAGCTGGTACTTACAACTTGCCACCAACGGAGGTTCCATTTTGCAATTTTCCTAAGCAATAAACAGTGTGTATATATCTAAGCCTTTAAAAAATAGTCAGTTTCCACTTTTCCAGGTTTGAAAAGCTCCTCTGTACTTTTAAGTCTACCACTGAATGAGACTAATCATGCATGATTTGCAGCTGATCAGGAGTGCTTACTACCACAGAGGGACAAGACACAAGCAAAAAGACAGGGAAATGGGGAGAGAGAAATTAACCTAGTCCTTTGATTCAGTGTTAGATTAAAAGTACAGGGGGAACCTCCGGTTGTGATTTGACAACCCTAAAGCCATCTGTGCAAGTGGCTATAGCAACAACTGTGACAGTTGATTCTCTAGGTAAATGTTTGTATTGTTTGAAGTACTTCCATCTCCCTAGTAGCAAGTTCAGAACAATCCGTTTTGTTAGATGACCCTTGGTTCTCCTGTGTTGAGAGCGTGAATAACACTTATTCTAGTTACTTTCTTTATATTGTTCATGGTTTTTATAATCCTGTGTCATGTTCCTTCAGCTGTCTTTAAGCTAAAAACTCAGCTACTTAAGCCTCTTTTTTTTTACAAGACACTAAAAATGTCAGTTTGTTCTCTGCGTTGTTGTGTTAGTCTTGTGCCTTAAAGAGTGAAACATTTATAATTCACAATACCTTTGTAGAGTCCACTTCATCAAACACATGAAATGTTATCCCAAGCACACAGTACAAACTTAACTGGAGGGTGGAGGTAGTAACTGCATTACAAATGCATTTTCAGACTGTATAGGTCTACCTTGGATTATAACTGGAAGGCTGTGCAGGACTTGGGAGACCTCATTTATACTGTCAGCTGATAAACTATCATGGGATAGGTTGCTGTGTTCTGCACAACCTGTGATTCTCATACAATCATAAGAAACTTTGGCCCACCATATACTAAAGTCTAAGAAAGCTATGCTATGTTTTGTAATAGCAAATGTTTTTGTCCCTCAGCATCCTAGGTGATGCCTATACAGTTGTGGAGTATTTATTTAACTTCAGCCTCCTTGTGACTCCATCAGGGTAAGTACAAAATCTTAGTTTGTTGAAGAGTCATTGCAAATACAGTGGTACCTCAGGTTACTTACACTTCAGGTTACATACGCTTCAGGTTACATACGCTTCAGGTTACAGACTCTGCTAACCCAGAAATACTACCTCGGGTTAAGAACTTTGCTTCAGGATGAGAACAGAAATCATGCTCCGGTGGCGCAGCAGCAGCAGGAAGCCCCATTAGCTAAAGTGGTGCTTTAGGTTAAGAACAGTTTCAGGTTAAGAACGGACCTCCGGAACGAATTAAGTACTTAAACCCGAGGTACCACTGTACTGGCCAGGATCGAAAGAACTGAGCAGCTAGTTCTATTATACCATGAGAACGGGATTTGTTTGTTTTTTGAACAGCTCCTGAAAGGTGCATGGCAAACCACTTGTAAGACTGGCTGGATTGGCAAAAATAATTTGTGATCTGTCATGAGAGTCAGCGGTTTAAATAAAACGAACAATTCCATTAGACCAGCAAGCCTTAGGGAGAGAGCGGAGGGTTTCAGGCCCAGCCTATTGGCAAGGCAGGGTGAGATGCCCACTTTGAGCGGCAGAATACCAATAGGCAGCACCCACCTCTCCTCCACTGCCTGTCTCTCTGCCTCCACTGGCAGTGGTGCCGGTATCCAATGAGATCTCTCCGAAATCTCACGAGATCTCATGGAAGCCAGCGCTGCTGCTGGTGCTTTGTGGGTGCCGCTGCACAACACAGGTAAGTGTGGTATGGCGAGGCAGCAGCAAGCAGCAAAACAGAATGCATCGCCCCTGGAGTGGATTGATTTTAAATTACTAAAAACAGAGACCAATTTAAGCTAATGTTTAAAATCATTTTTACTAGCCAACCACTATAAAAATCAAGACACATTTGCTTGCAGTTAAGCAGAGCCATCATACCACATAGGAGCATAATCCGAAATCTCTCTAATGCCCTTCATGCTATTTGCAGTACAACATTTTACTGCTTATTGATAAGACAGATTTTTGTTTTGCTCTGTCTATATATGCAAGGTTTCTAAGCCATATCACTCAAATGAAGGCTATGACTGCATTTCTAACTGTACTTACCAGAGGGGGAAGCCCTATTAAATTAAATAGGACTTCTGATTAGATATGGTTGAGATTGCATGGCGGGGGCTTCCGGTTACTTCAATACGAGCTTTTTGAAAAACTATAACCCTTATTTGTGAATATGTAATGTCATGATATTTTTAAAGGAGGCAACTGAATGGTAAATAACTTGAGTGACCTCTTACTACGAACATAGTGGAGTATTTTTCCTACAACTTTATAATAGGTACATAGGCAATCCTCATTCTAGCAGCATTCAACTGTGGTGACTGGCTTCCTTCTCTGATGAAATAGCTTCATATAAGTGTTTTGTTTGGTACCCAGAGATTCCAGGTATGATGTTATTAATTGTAAAATGCTGTTTCCACTTTACAGATCATAACCAGTTCCAAGCACAAGATGTCAGAAAGCCACTCAATTCTATCCAGTATTCTTAAAAGAGGCAGACTGTCCTCTCCCGGCAACAGTGCAAGATACTTCAGCTTTAAAGATTCTTGCTCCCCTTCCATATTTCATGACAGTGGATACAATGGATCATTAAAAGACCCAAGCTTTGATTATAATGATGCAGAACATAAAGGCGAACAGAATGAAACAGGCCTGCCTGAATATTCAAAACATGCACATTCTAGTTTAAGCACTTCATTGTCTCCCATTGACCATGAAAATGTTATCTTTTTATCAGAAAGAAAGGAACCAATTACACGTACAGACTTATATGAAACACCAAAAGTTGTTAAAAAAGACTTGTCACTTCGCAGAAGATTGCTTGTGTCTAAATCAGCTTCTGTTGGTTCTTTAGGGTGTTCTGAAAAACAAGTACCTTCAGGGAGCCGTCAGAAAAAAGCATGTTTAGCTCACTTTCTTAGTCTTGATGAAATAATTTCAAAAGGTGCCTTGGATTCTCCAAGAGAGAAGAGCTACAAGCCTTTGGCTACTAGTACTTTAAAAAGTGAGGACCCTATTTCTGGTTGTCAGAAACTCAGGCTTGTTTTCTCTCAGCAGAGGACATCTACAATAGATGATTCAAAATCTAAAGGTGGCTGCTTGTCCGAGCCAGGTTGTTTATCTCCAATCCAGCCTAAATCATCTACAAATACACCTAATATTTTTATTGACAATGTTCTTAATAGTTTTAATGATCAAAGCACTTGTCCAGAATTGATTGAAACTCCTAACTGTACATTGTCTGAGACAAATGATGATAGATTTATCACACCCATCAATAGTCTTGTAGAAGGATTTAGTCTTAATGTATCTGAAATAAATACCCCTCCAGTTAAAGAAATAAGTGACTTGAGCCTATCAACCCCTGGTAGCAGCAGCTATAATTCACTTAGTTTAGATAAATCGGAGGAGTCCTTGTCAGAACATGAGGGATCTTTCCAAGAACTACTTCAAAAACGTACAGAATCATCTAGCACTCTAAACTCTAAAAGAAAGGTAAGAAAGCTACAACGCTCAAGAAGATTATCCACACTTTCAGAATGTGGTTCCCAATCAGAAAAAGAGGAGGACTGTGATACCACTGTTGCTCATTCAAAATGCATACTAAAGATAGCTGGCTCTATCACCGAAAGCAATGAATTGGTTTTTCATGAGGATGACAAATGCATGGCTCCAGATTTTGGCAGTCTGTCAAGAACCCCTGCTTTGCACATAGTGCGTGTGCTATTTATGCAAAACAGAAGTAAAAGAACAAAACAAGATGACCTGCTGAAGAAAATTGATGGAGCTGACATATCTGCGCTGAAGTGTATTGTGGCTCAACTCATTGGCAGGAAAATGGGCATTGAGAAACTAGATATATTAACAGAATTAAGAATCAGAGACTTAAGACATGTTCTTACTTTGATTTTAGATATCCTGACTGTGGAAAGCCTATGCAGGTAAAAGAAACAACTTTGGGACTTTCACTGGGTGCCCCCTAGTGACATTGTACAAGTGTAACATAATTGAAATTCTGTATACTAGTAGTGAAATCAGTTATCTGAGTGCTTATGCTTATGTAGCCAAAATGGCACCATCTACACACATGGAAGGCACCATGAGGCTTGTGAGAGCATCATAATTTGCAGAAGAACAAAAATTATTTGGAGAAAAATCTAAGCAAAACCCAGAGCAGGCCACAGAAGACTGATCATCCTTAGCGGGCACAGGTGCCTGGGGTGGGGGATGAAAAACGGGGAAGGAAGGAAAAATGGAAGGGAGTGGCTATAAACCTGAAGGATTCCATGTTTTGTTGCAGTTACAACTTCACTCCAGTTTTCCCATTTGGATACCCTGTTTTTGTATTATGATAACCTTTTACAAAATGACAAATCTTTTGGATTCCTCCATTAATTAAGGTTTGGGAATTTGGCATAAAACTATTAAGCATAGCAAGGTTGAAGCATAAATAATATTTTTAAATGCTATGTATTAATGGTAAACATTAGCAAATAAAATAATATTGTTGTCTGTCCCTCTGTGACAAGAGGGTATGATGATTAAAAATGACCAATATATATGTAAATACCCCTATACTTTGATGTATATCAGCTTCAGAGCACTTGTCCCCTTGATCCTGTGCTGCAGCTATCATTGAAGCTGATTTATTCGTTCTTGGTGAAGACATTAATGCAGATCAGGTTCCTTGAGGACAAAGCAGCCCCATTCTGAATTCTAGCAAAATGTTTGAATTGTGGCTGATAGCGATTCTTTATTTTAGTATGTGGAAAGTAAGCAAGAACTGGCGAGAAATTGTTATACAAGATAGACATGCGAATCGGAGGAGAAAGTTGTACATAAAACAGCTGGCAGTTGAAGCTAAGGTAATATACCACTGGACGGGCATTATTGAGGGTGTTTGGTGAGGCAGTATGGGTTGAAGAGGAGGAAAAGCAGAAATAAAACTCCGTATCTAATAGACATTTCATCAGATTAAATTTGTTGTACTGCTTACCTGTGCTACTTATTGATTAAAAGATTTAGGGTGATAACCAACAAATTCATACTGAGAATAGAAATGTGTCTATAAAGTAGATTCATAGTTTATTGATTTCAGTGGGCCTACTCAGTATGACTTAGTTGGATATAACCCACTGTCTTTAGTGTCTAGCCACACATTTAGCACATTTATTTTTAAATAGTTCTTTCAAGACCTCTTGGGGGTTTGTTTTGATTTTTTAAAATGCTTCTGGCAGATCAGTTTTGGATTAAACCTGGTCCTTTCCGTAGTCGTCTCCCTTTGACCCGTACTCAAATCATCTTTATTTCCTTTCTGTGCCAAACTATTTTTTCAAGCTGTGTTGTAACAAAGGTGGCACACAAACCCCCAATCTCTGCCAAGCAGTGCACAAAATTCTGGGGGGTTCCAGCCCCTCACCCGGAGTTGTGCTTCCATTGAGAGTCAAGATGTGGTGTAGACTAGTGAATTTATTCACATATATACAACCTGAGTGTAGCTGGAGGGAGCTGTAGATCTTACAGCATTGTCCTCTCAAGAGTGTCTCTCCCTGCTTCTCTCATGGCTTCAGGCAGCTTGAGTCTAGAGCAGCCTGCCATGCTCCCCAGTCTCTGTGTTACCACCTCTCCAGCCAGCACCCAAGATGGTTCTGACCGCATGGCATCCCCTTCTTCCCAGTATGGGAAATGGCTGGCATTAAATAGTAAACAGTACATTTAGTTTGTTCTTTGAGGAAGTGATTTGTGGTGTTTGGTTATTTTACCAGAGACACCTGCCAGATACTGAAGATGCTGCCACTAGACTTCTGATGACCAGATTTGCACTACGATCAGTCCAGGCTCAAGCAAAACCTGCTGTATTACAAATGCAGCCCTCTTGTGACGAGTCTTTGACACCTCGTGGATGCAGCCCTGTTCTTCAGTCAGCTAGCAAAGAAGAAGTGTGTGTAAAGGTAGGAAACTGCAGTATGTGTGAGAAAGATTCTTTTAGTAATGAATGTTGCCAGATACAAGTTAAGCGAAGGCTGCCACAAGAAGTATGAGGGGAAAGTGACGGGGCTATCTAAATAGTTCTCCTAGTGCAAGGACTTTTAGCTGGACTTTGCTCACTCTGTCCTTTCCTATGTGACCCCCTAAGTTGGCCCCAGAGGGCTGGGGAAAACCTCATAACAGATTCAGGGGTTGCACAGGGAGAGAGGAGATGATGGGGAAGTTCCATTTTGCAGCTAAAAGTCCTTGCAGTAGGGCATGGGTAGGCAAACTAAGGCCTGGGGGCCAGATCCGGCCCAATCGCCTTCTCAATCCAGCCCACGCACGGTCCGGGAATCAGCGTGTTTTTTACATGAGTAGAATGTGTGCTTTTATTTAAAATGCATCTCTGGGTTATTTGTAGGGCATAGGAATTCGTTCATATTTTCCCCTGAAATATAGTCTGGCCCCCCACAAGGTCTGAGGGACAGTAGACCGGCCCCCTGCTGAAAAAGTTTGCTGACCCCTGCAGTAGAGGAACTGTTTAGTTGGATACTGCCCGTAGGCCCATATTAGTAACATTTACCATTTGTCTCTTTTGCTGTATCTTGTCATCTGGGATAAAATTTTGTTGACTCTTCTATCTTGATCTATTTCTATAGTGAAAATTAATTTACTCATTCTGTTGCAACTCTCTAGAAATTAAAGAAACAGGATGGGGTAGTTAGCAGTCTTATAAAAATGAATGCATGACCAAATCTTAAATATCTCTTCCCCTGATGTAGGTTGCCCAATCCCTCTTCAGTGATGAAGCTTTAAAACCTTGTCCAAGATGTCGGTGTCCTGCAAAATACCAAGCCTTTCAAAAAAGAGGACTCTGTAGCCGGGAAGACTGTGCATTTGACTTCTGCACTTTATGTCTTTATGCCTTCCACGGATCAAGAGACTGTAGCAGTCCATCTGCTAAACGACAAAACAGAAAAGATGCTCTGCCAGGAAGTGCAAAAAGCAAGAGAAACTTAAAACGTCTCTAAATATCTTCAAATGAATGGAACGTATTCCCCCTCCCCCTCAATTCTATTTTGTATAGGTAGCACTTTTAAATAATTATGCATTTTGAAAGTATTACATATTGTAATTTTGACCATTAATCAAGTTGATAATTTAATTCTCTGTGTAAATATCCTAAACTTGACTTTTGATACATTTCAGAAAAAAGTGAAAACATTTTAAACTCTTTGTCTTGGTGTTTGTCACTTTGCCAGACACATTCAATGAGATTTCAATAAAGTACTTTCAGTGTAGTTTTCACTACATCTTACAACCGTCTTCTGAGATTTTAAATACAGTTCTTGTCACAATGGTAAATTAAAAATAATTAAATATTCGTTACATTTTAAGGAGTTTTTTATGATAAATGTGATAAGATATTGCCATAATAGTAATTAAAACATACTGCATAGATCAAGCCAAAATTATTTTATTTAATATCAAGCATCACTATTATTATTTTTGAAGTCTTATACAGACATCAAAAGAAAGACTCCCTGCTTGCCCAAGTTAACAATCTAATAGACACACTGCAAAATGAAAAAGGTGTGGGTAAGGAAGAGAAAACCAAGTAAATTTAGGTAACAGTTCTTGCAAGTTAATAAAATTTGTTACTCCTTAAATTGATAATCTCAGCAGTATCATCTGAGCTGGACAGAGGTGCAACGCTCCCTGCTTCTAAGTATGCAGAAGCATGTAGGCAGTCCATAGCCTTCTGCTTGATGGCTATTGCTAGACCATCATTTCACCCCCTTCCACAGTTCCAAGGCAACTGGCAGTTGCAGCTGAATAATAAAGTCACAAGAGATCAAACATAAGGCAATCTGGAAGATATACAAATACATTAAAATAATCAGTTCAGAATAAACAAATATAATTTCTTCATTCACGACTGCTTTAATTCCAAGCTGTGTTTATAATACATCATCCTCCTAACAAGGAACAGAAATTGATTGATAATACGCATTTCCTCCTAATCAACTGTGCTGTGAATGCAAGTGAAGCTCTACAAGTGATAATAGAATCATAGAATTGTAGAGTTAGAAGTTATCTCAAGGATCATCCAGTCCAATCCCTTGCAATGCAAGAAACACCATCCAACCTGTGCTTAAAAACCTTTAAGAAAGGCAAGTCCACCACCTTTGGAGGGAGTCCATTCCACTGTTGAACAACTCTGTCAGAAAGCTCTTCCTAATATGTTTAGTTGGAGTATCCTTTCTTGTAGTTTGAATCCATTGGTTCAGATCCTACCATCTGAAGCAGGCAAAAACAAGCTTGTTCCATCTTGCATGTGACAGCTCTTGAAATATTTGAAGATGGCTATCATATCTCCTTTCAGTTTCCTCTTGCCCAGCTCCTTCAACCATTCTTCACAAGGTTTCCAGTCCCTTGATCTTCTTGATTGCCTTCCTCTGCACATGTTCCAGCTCGTCAGCATCTTCCTTAAATTATGGTGCCCAGAATTGGACACAGTCTTCTTTCTTTGGCGATCACTCGTAGCTGAGTAAGATTGTCTTCCATGAACACAGTCTTGTCTGTAAGTGACTGTGGAGGCCAATTCTGGATCCACACGTCCTTCCACAGTGGGGACACAGGTATCAGAGCAGAAGTTGATTAATGGTGAGGGTTTGCCAAATGTGTCTTTCTCCCTTTCGTCCTGAGTTTGTGTTTCTTCAAAGCCCTTGACGTGTGTGTTTCCTCTTCTGCAGTCACATAGTCGGTGGCAATTTGTCCACAAACCAGTTGTTGCACGTGGAAATGCCTTGGTGTGTGTAAGAGAGAGAGAGAGAGCGCAAGAATGTTTACCTAAAGAAATTATGGATCAGCAGCATAGACGGCAATTTGTAATAGGCATAAATAAGGGCACAGTGTTTCTAAAATACATAGAAGATGGCAACGTTAACTGTTTCAACATGAAGTATGTTGAAGCAGATAATGATAAAGTTAATACGAGATTCATAAGAAAGGGGCAAAGAGAACAAGCCAGAAGAAATCTTTTCCAAAAAAAAGTTCTGTCACAGCATGGAAGTATGGTTCCAAATTGCCTGTGCTTTTCCATTACTAAAATGAAATTAATTACAGCAGTATCCATGCCATACGAACCCAAGTGATATAAACCAGACACTAAAACGCCTACTCTCCCCCCTTCTGAGTACTTTAAGTTGCTGCCAGATGATCTTGTGAGAAACGGAGGGCATTCTTTCTTTGTTGAATTTGGATCTTCAGGGGAGCCTGGGCTAAGAGGCGTGTAGGAGGGTTTGGAGTGAGTAGGTTAAGAGTACCAAACATCTTTTTATTCCCTTGGTGTTTAATATCTGAAGCTCTTCTGTGCATTGTTCATTGAAATATACTCAATTTCACCGCCAGGGGACATCAAAGATTCATCTTCGAAAAATACTTCACAAAACCTTGGGGGGGGGGGAACCTGAACTAATGCTTTTAGGCTATTCAGTGCATCTGTAAACTTAGCATTGTAGGTTCATGCTTCAGCCTTGCCTGCCAACTATAGCCAATGAGTATTTAATATTTAAAATGTGTTTCCTTTGGCTATCAGTTATAACTTATGGCTCTGAGAAGTCTTTGCTTGTTTCAGTGAGATCATGTTAAAGACCTGGAAGGCAAGAAGAAGCTGGCTCATCAGGACTAAGTTATGACTTCTTTCTTGGTCTCCCTAGCAGCTCAGCTGGCTTAGCGCACATAGGAGGACATTTGCTGGAAAAAAGAATATTCAGCATAGCTCTGGAAACACAAGTATTCCAATAAGTTGGGGTGTCATTAGGTTGCTGACAAATCCCAGGCTTGTTGCTTCCTTGTGGTGATAGGATGATTAGAATAGCCTAACCATGGGCCTCCAGAACTCTGTGGAATATATCCTCTCATTTAGTGGGTGTTTTGTTGGTCTCATAGAATTATAAAATAATAATACACTTTGGTCATCAGTAAAGTCAGGTTTCAATATCAGTTTCATTGTAGTGTCAAAAGATTTGTCTTTGTTGGAATCATTACATTTGTAAAGTGCTATTCAACAGAGCTAGCATAGGAAGTAAATGGGCTTCTTAACCTGAGCTGTATCTTGATTGCAGTGATAGTTTTATCTGGGTTGACTCTACAGTGGTACCTCGTGTTAAGTACTTAATTCTTTCCAGAGGTCCATTCTTAACCTGAAACTGTACTTAACCTGAAGCACCACTTTGGCTAATGGGGTCTCCTGCTGCTGCTGTGCCACCGGAGCGCGATTTCTGTTCTCATCCTGAAGCAAAGTTCTTAACCCGAGGTAATATTTCTGGGTTAGCAGAGTCTGTAACCTGAAGCGTATGTAACCTGAAGTGTATGTAACCCGAGGTACCACTGTAGTTGTCTGGTTGTTTGAATCTGAAGCCGGGATTTGAGGCATTTAGAGGCTCAGTACTGTTCACTTATGTTGATTAATTTCATCTGATAATCCCCCACAGATATGGAAGAAGGGTGGGCAAGAAGGATGCCAGACTGGATGAAGGCCTTATTTTTTTCTCTGAGAGAGCAAGCCCCCTTGAATGGAATTGGGCTACTTCTGAATAAACATGAAAGGATTGCACTGTCAGCCTCTGCTAACAATAAAATAAATTCTGATTTTATTGTTTACTACCAAAGTGTTAACATGTACAAATCCACGGGGATCTTGGACGTTCAATTTCCATTTTATATGGAGAAATAAATATACAGTAAATTACAGGCTATTATGGCCACTATGAAAATTAACTTGAAGCAAATCTACTATTCTTGGTGCAAAGGAGACTGAATGAATTAAGAAAATAAATGGCAGACAGCCAACCCATGAGCAGAGATAGGAATAAGGGCATAATCAGGAGCAGGGATTCAGAATTAATACTTTAGTGAGACAGTGGAACCCTTTGATACGACTTACTATTCACCTCTCACTTTTCCATAGCCCAAAGTAAGTTTCCGCAGGATTAAATTATCAGCTTTTAAACCATCCATATTTTCACATATCTCTAAGGGGGGGGGGGAAGCCTGGAAATCCTTAAAATTAACTCTCAAAGTTGATGACATGTAGAGAAATTAACTCTGATTACAAATGTCATCAGCACCGTTTCTTTTGCAGAGATATTTTGAATCTCGGCTGTACTAGGCTGAATTGTTGGAGGTATGTATTCTGAATCAGTCAAATCCGGGGCAACTAAAGGCCATACACCCTTTTTCCTTTGAATTATGGCGTGCCTCTTCAAGTTATGGAGAAAACCTTTTGCCCCTGTTGAGCCCTAAACCTGCTGGAATCTGCACCAGGATAGTTAAGAAAAGCCTGTTCAAAGAGCAACTCCTCCATGGAAATGGAATGTACGTGCCCCTGCCAGACTGGTCGACGTTATTTTGAAGCCGAGGGGGTCATGCCAAAGAGTTGTTTGCTTAAAGGAGAGAGGGGGGAGGCTTGCCAGGAAGGGCAGATAAGAATTCTACACAGCACAATCGTCACCAAGGCAGCATTACGCGTTGCTAAATGCATCACAATATCGGCGAACCAACCCCCTCCTCTTGCAGGTGATGGGAGCTGCAAGCAGCGTGGGCAACACCTGAAGGATCCTATCACCAACGCAAATCTTTGCAGCCGTCTAAACGCAGCCGGCTTTTGGGGGGGCGGGGGGGAGAGAGGGAGAGACCCTCAAGCTATTTCCTAACCGGCTAGGACTGGAGAGGGCGCTGTCGTTTGCAGACCCGGCAGGGCGGACCTGCGCCCCCTCGAGGCTGAAAGTGAAGGCAAGGCGTATTGGAAGGAACCGGTCGCCTGTCCACCGACGGGGAGATTTTCTCCCCCCAGGTTAAACCACTTGTGTGCTCGTTGCTTCCGCGCGCCTCGCTTTATCCGGCTGGCTAGCCAAGCCGAGAGAAAGCCTTCGCTCCCAAGAAGACAAATGTTTGTTCATGGAGTCAAGGAGCCTCGTTTCCCCTGTGCACGGTCTGCAGCAGCTCCATAGCAACCCAGCTCAGCTGTGATAGCGCGCAATAACTAGGACAAGTTGTAAACGCCGAGCAATTCGTGCGTGCCCAGGCTTAGGCCCGCTGCAGTCTCTTTGCCCCGGGCCCGGCAGAAGTTATTTCCCCGGGCTCCCCTGAGGACCATGAGGCTTTAGCTCAGGCGCTTAGGCGGGATCCCGAGCTATACAGAGGCAGTGCGCCCATCCTCACCATGCGGGAGAAGAAGCTCACCACGGGTATGTACTGCGGCCGGAGAGCATAGCAGGCAATGAAGAGGATCGGATGTGCTCCGCTTTCATCCCGTCACAGTTCATGTTTCAGTGGGAGGGAGAGGGAGAAACGCTGAAAGGAAAGTACATTGTCAGCCAGCCAAGCCCCACAACCCTAAAGGGCATGTTCACAAGTGATGCTCAGAAGCGCTTTTTAGATTGGAATGCGTCACGTGTGAACATGCAGCCCAGGTGGAAACAGCAATCTGCTCCCATGTTCCAAAAGCTCATGCAAACGACAGAGGACTTGGTTGTATGTATTGTCCAATTAGTGTGTTTATGGACTCCACACTATTCCACAGGGGAAATACCCTGTTCACTCTTTAACACAGAGCGGTGCGCTGAATCATGTCACTGAAATCAGTAGATTTTATGTGTCCCAAATTCTGGGATTGTTGTACACAAATTTGGTAACATAGGCCTATCTTCTTTTTATAAAGGTGCACAGTCATATATTTATTTACAAGTGCTAGCATGTGTAGCCTTCATTTTCTAATCTACATGGTAAACTGAGTTGTACAGGTAGTGACTTATTGCACAGGGTCAGATACTGAGGCTGTGCAAGGAAAAGTCTAGTTACCAGGCATAACTAAGGCCCTACAGGTGGTGTTGCACCCACTCTCATCATCAGTCATCATGGCCAATGCTCAGGGATGTTGGAAGTTGTGGCCCACAGGTTAGCTGCACCTGTGACAGGTGTCTGTCTTAAAAGTTCCTGGATTAGAGTCCAGTTCTGTATCCATTGTATCAGCCATTCAGCCATTCAGGATTGCTTCTGTTAGCAGGATTCTTCCAGGAGTTGAACCCATTAGATTCTGAATGCACTAAGTCCTAGATAAGGATTTAGTGAGTTCATAATCTATGGCGCTTGAAATGACGATCATTCAACGTGCATTGGCAAATGTTCTTAAAAGTCTTCTGCTTTTAATTTTGATGCAACAACTGAAATTCTAGAGTGTCTGTGCATCTTATAGGTGGATACTGCAAACTCATAAGTTGGCTGATTGAGTTGTCATTTCCTTAAAGTATATTTCAGGAAACTATTGTTTTTAAAATCCCAGGTTTTTTATTGCTTAGGCCCACTACATGTTTTCACTTCTGTACATCAATTTTTAGAATAATTCATTAGAATTGGCCACTGGCTAGAAAACAAACCCATTCCAAAACAGTTCCTTTGCTTTTAGCAGCAGCTTCATATGCAGGAATCAGCAGGTGAAACTTCTTTGTGGGTGGTATATAGAGCTAATAAGCAGATGATATGTTAATATTTGCAAAACAAGCTGCTCTTACATATGCAAGAAATGAGCTGATGACAAAGTTACCAAGGCTAAACTTACACACCCAAACATCCTGAAAAGGGCCCAGTGAGGTCCCCAATATGGGATGAGCCCCCCCAAATGATCTATATCTCCATCTCCTCCTTACTGTCCTTTACAAACAGGTACCCTATATCAGTCTGTATCTTGCAAAGAATATTATCTGGAATATATTTATTTTATTGTGAAATAGCTCTATTTTTGGATATGCAAATGGGTTCTTGGTTCTAAAATGTACATTGTTCTCAATATTTACAACTACATTTGCATAGTTAGTGATCACTGATTTCTGGTGAGAGTAAAAACAAATGAAAAATGCTTTGGCTGAATAACTTTTATTCCCTTTCTCTTCTTGTGTTGTGTTTCAGTGCCCCCCAGCATAAGAGATGATGAGTTTGTAAGTAAACTTTTCCCCCTCCTGCCCTCAGTTTATAGATGAATCAGGTAGTAAATATAAATATGATATAAATATAACTGCTGTATGTCATGCCATTTCTTAAGTGAAACAAGAATGAAACAGAGGAGCAACAATGCCTCACACTCTACTCCCTATTAGTTGTCATCCACTCAACCAAGAAAATTAACTTCTTATATCACAAGACAGGGATAGAAATTGGAAAATATTTTTTAAACATATTATTTCAAAATTATTATTATTTTCTTTATAATGGTGCACTATGCGTATTTTCCTGGAAGTAAGTCACATTGTGTCCAATAGAACTTACTCCTTAGTAAATTTGTATAGGATTAGACCCTACAAAAAATTCAAATTACAAAGCAGAGGGGATATTAATTTCAAAATTAGGACAAATTTCAAAATTAGGACAACAGGATAAATTGCATTATGGACTAATTAAACTAACAAAAGCATACTAATTTTTACTAATTAAAGGTTTGCCAGATATGCATTTAATTACTAGACACATACCTACAGTGCATTCCTATGCTTGTCTATTATTTCATTGGGACTTACTTCCAGTAAACATGTATAGGATTGCAACCTTAGGCACACATTTTATTTTTTAATTTTAATTTTACCTGCCCTTCACCAGCAGGTCTCAGGGCAGGTTACAGCAGTTTAAAGTTCAAAATTAAAAACAGTTAAAACAGATTGCAATCAGATTACAATCACAGGAATAGGATGGGCCCTGAAATAAGATAAGATAACAAAGGTTTAGGTTGTAACTGCTGCTGAAATGCTGCATGTTAACATCATCCATCATTTCCCTGAAACATGTAGCTCTCATGCTGTTATTACATTGTGGCTTTGAGAGCTTGGCCATGTCAACACTATCCAATTTTTCTTTTACCCACCCACTTATTGTATAGGCTTAAATATAGTAAGGTTTTTCTTGCCCCTTTATCTTTGCAAGGCATAGATGGCATCACAAGGCAAGCAAGGCCCCATGAAAATTGACTTGCCTGTTCTTTGAGCCCTTTCCCCAGATAGCTAGGGATGTCGGAGAATTCCAGTGAAATTGGGAAAGGAAATGGAAATATCTACAGTTAAGAAGCTCGTCTATGGTCAGGAGTGGAAATCAGTCAAGTGAATGCGATCAGTATTCACTCACATGGTTGTTGTGGTTTTTCTGAAGTCTGCAAATGATGCATAATTAACGATTAAGTCATTTTTATGTTGTTTTGATGTTTCCTTTACATGGAAATGAATATGTTACATGAATAGTTATGTAACACATATAATTTATGTTAAATAGCAGACAGTGAGATGAGTATGATAGCGTTTGGCACTAACCCAACTGCAGTGGAGAGGAAACAGTACTGATTAAGATGAATACAGGGCAGAATGGAAGTCTCTGCTATCTTACATCCCTGAAGCTAGCAGAAGATACAGTCCATTTCTAGTGCTTTTATTGGTCTTGGCTGCTAGCTCAAACTCAGGGTTCAGGCAAAAAATAGCATAATTATTTGGGAACAAGTGGGAACAAGTAGCATAATTATTTGGGAACACCCCCAATGTTGATAAAATACTTGGTACATTTTGCCTCGGTTCTAGAAAGTTGGGATGGTTCCCTGTAGGCACAGCAAGGACTGATCCAGAATGTACTAAGTGCTGTATTATCAAAGGGCTCAAAGCACTCTGTTATTAAATCTGCCTGAGATGAGGACACAAAGACCCTTGGATGCGTTTTTAGGCAATAGGGAAGAGAAGGGAGGTAACAGTATCCCAAAATGCAGTCACTTCCAAATGAACTGTTTATTAAGCATCCATTCTGATTTGCAGAAAGATTAGATGACCTTATGTCAAAGCAAGTGCTACTCACAATTCCAAATGTATTTCCTCATCGCTTTTCTTATTGTAAGACTCCAGTCTTTTAAGGAAATGGATTTGTTGCACAAGACTTCCCAGGGACGTTTCCCATCAGTGTAACATAAAGTGTTAGCAATAACTTCCTCCTCTTGAATTTCTGTCATACAATTGTTAAAAGCAAATGTATTCCTACAAGATGGATCAAGGTTTCCCAGGATTGTTCTTTAGTCAGAAAAAAAGATTTGTGTTTCTACCAGCACCAAGGGACAACAACTAAATCCAAAGATAAACAGAATCTTAAATTAGAAGTTTCAAGGCTTCAATTCAAAACATAATTGCTCAAATCTAATTCTTATGGAATTCAGAGTAACTTGTGAAACACATTAACGTGATATCTACAGCTGTTTTCATCTGAGAAGATTAAGCCTTAAACTGTAAGATGTGAATTGGGACTGGCTCCCTCCAAAATCTACTTTATTCCTTCTCTCCCCTTCTCTCTATTTTCCCCCTCTGATGCTGCCATTGTTGCAAGGGGAATAAAGGTGGATTTTTAAAAGGGGAATAACAATTAACAGTCTATGGGTAAGTTTTGTTTATATTAAAAAAAAAGATAATTCCATTAATATGCTAAGTGTGTAAATAATGTAGTAAAATATCTTAATTG